GGACGACAGTTAAGGGATGTAGTCATCTCAGTACTACAGGGATGACTCAGTAAGAAAAGTCTGTTCTGTTTCTGCCTTAAATTCTATTTATTCATTGACTGAAAATAGGTGTGGGGAATCTTTGACCCCCTAGATGTTACTGGACTACAACTCCCATCATCCCTGGCCATTAGCCAAGTTTGATGGGAGTTGTAGTTCAGCAATATCTGGAGGGACAAAGGTTCCTGACTCCTGGCTTAGAGCAACTTCACTGCCATCACTTTATAGAGTTCTTTTCCTTCATTTCCCATATGGTGCCTGCTCTAATCCACCCCATGTAAATTCTAGCATGTAGATGAAAGACCACAAAGTGATTGCAATGTGCACCCAAACACAACAAAAAAACGGGGAAGCTTTAACTAGAACAACATATTATTTACACTGCATTATAGCCACAAAGTCAGTAAAGCAGGTATACATGTGTAAAACAATAATACAAAATTAAAATGAGTTGAATAAATATTGACAGGACGATGTTGTTGTTGCTGTTGTTGTTTAATTTTCTATACTGCCCTTCATCCAAAGATCACAGGGTGGTTTACAATATAAAAACACAAAAATACATAGGCCTGGGAGAAGAGGAATGCTTTCACCTGATGCTTAGATATATGTAACCAGAGTTTTTTAAGTGTAGATCACATTTTTATTCTCCGTGTAATAGAACCTAACTTAAATTTGAGACTAAAATTTAGAGCCAAACATTACTGACTGTCCATTCATAGTGTAGTATTTGTAATTTGACTCTTTTATGCACAATACATCATATTTCAAGTAAATAATAATAATAATAATAATAATAATAATAATAATAATAAATATTTATACCCCGCCCATCTGGCTGGGCTTCCCCAGCCACTCTGAGTGGCTTCCAACAAAATATTAAAATACAGTAATGCATCAAACATTAAAAGCTTCCCTAAACAGCGCTGCCTTCAGATGTCTTCTAAAAGTCTGGTAGTTGTTGTTCTCTTTGACATCTGCTGGGAGGGCGTTCCACAGGGCAGGTGCCGCTACTGAGAAGGCCCTCTGCCTGGTTCCCTGTAACTTGGCTTCTTGCAGTGAGGGAACCACCAGAAGGCCCTCGGCGCTGGACCCCAGTGTCCGAGCAAAACGATGGGGGTGGAGACACTCCTTCAGATATACTAGACTGAGGCCGTATGAGAAGAAAGAAGCATTTCTGTAATACTATAGCTCGCTTCTAACCCAGAAATGTATGTGTGGCCTAAAAGTACTATGTCCACATTTATAATTTACTTAGGAGATGAAAACATTAGCAGAATTTTAATATCACTTGTAATGTAACAGGTATTATGGTTAATATGGATGAATACAAAATATAGATTAGATTATGCAATTGAAAATGTTCACAATAGGACTCATGGAAGGGGGAAGTCGTGAGACTCAGAGAAATCTCTGTATATGGATATGCATTTGGTATTGTTATAAACTCATTTTTGTAAAATCAAATAATTTTTTTTTAAAAAAAGGACTATTCCAACTACCAGTGAAAAAGCATAGGGTGGGATTCACCTAATTCATGGTGGCATGGCTGGCCATGGAAACACTACAATGCTTTTCCTGGGTTCCCAAACTTCTATGGGCAACTCCAGGCTAGATACTTTTCAGGTCCCCTGTAAGCTAAGTACTCTGTGGTTCTAAAGCTAATGTAGATTCATATTTTCAATTTAAACTTAAACAGTTTCATAAGGGTGGATAACCTGTGACCCTCCAGATATCACCAGACTCGAAATCTCATCATCCTCAGCCAGCATGGATGATGGGACTTTTAGTGGAACAATATCTGGAGGATCGCAGGTTGGCCATGTCTGCACTGGCGGACATCACTTCTGCCTGGTGGCACCCTTTCATGCATCCTCCCTTCCTGCTGTAGTCCTGTATGGTACCTTACACTGTTCTATAGACTCTACCAACCCCCATGACTAGTTTTTAAAGGCCTGCCTGGTATGGGGAGTCTTGCAGTGAGAAGGGGACAATTGGTGAAAATCAGGGGCCCTGCCTTGCACGTGTGGAAATGCTTTCACTAGTGCAAAGCCACCATTTGTTATTTAAAATACAACAGTATAGCCACACATCTAAGTAGACTATGGAAAAGCTGGAGATCCATGTTTTCCTGCAAGAGACAAAGTTTAAAAATTAAATGTTGTGCATTTCTTTCTTTTCAGATTTGTTTGCTCTGAATACCTGCAGTAGACAAGGAGAATTCCATAAGATGCTCCACTTTGATCATCTTGAGCAGCTAAAGGCCATAAAGAAGCATCAGAAAGATCAGCTTGATTCCCAGAGAATAATTCACAGCAAAGGGTCTGCAATTCCTCTTTGAAAAGAAGAAGTGCAACACCCACACTTGGTATCCTATTCTCTGTTCCTGCATTCAATATCTTCTTGTTCAGGCTGGGGCAAAGATTAGTGCATTAAAGCATCCTGGCAATTATTTACTCAACCTTCTTTCCTGGACAAGTGTTCAAAATTGTAGAGGTTTATCTTTTTTTTTCCCTTAGAAGGAATCAAAGGCTAGTCCTTGCTACACCCAATCAATGAAGCACTGTCTGAACCCGTCCCAGTAAGAGTGCAGAAAGGGACAAAATGCTAGAGGCAACTTTACGGCAACCTTGTCTCCAACCTCAATCCAGCTGCGCTGGGACCAGCAAAGCAAAGCAAAATCCATACGGTTTTAAGAAGCCCAAGCCTGACTTGGTTGATGGATATGGCTGCTTGGAAGGCCTGCAAGGAAAGGAGAGAGAAAGCAGTGAAAGATGTCTCCCAGCTGGGAAGAATCGCCCAGCAGAGCCAGAAGAGCAAGAGGTGAAAGAGTCAGCAAGAAAGAGTTTCTTGCAGGAATCTTGGAAAACCAGTGGAGATATGCTACCGTTCAAGGGAGATGGCAGCGGGCTGATATCAGGGGGTGGGTGCCCCAGGGCGAGAGACTCTCCAAGGCCAGCTTTGGACTTGCTCCAGCCTGGGTTTAGCAAAAATGGCGACCCGAGTCAAGAATGGAAAGTGGTGAAAGTGAAGCGAGTCCTTATTTCTCCTGTGGCTGAACCTAGGAAAGCAAGTAAGTGCGGCCTTACTTTTTTCTCCCAGCCCTGATTCTTGTCATGGGAAAGAAAGAAAAACACTATACGTTCCATGTGGTCACTTATGGTGCAGCCCTGTGCTCAGTTACTTGCTTATGAATCCCATAAGATTCAGTGCTGCTTCTCCTGAATCACACTGCATGTATGGTTTAGCAGCCAGTACTCACCCACTCCTGTGAGTATCGTTCAGTATTTTTCCGTCATGGTGAGGCTCTTCACCCCTGCTCTCCTTCTCATGTGGGTGTTCTTGCCACACTGCCTAGAGCAGCAAGCTAATCACTTGTGGGAGAGGGACGGGACAACCTCACTCTTTCTTGTGGGTAAGGCAAGTAGCTGCTTGTTTGGCCATTATGAGGCTGAGATGGTGATCATAACTTTCCTAGGATGCAAGATTAGCTGGAAGTAGCTTCCAGTATGACACACACAAAAGGTGCAGATCAGAGCAGCTTTTAATGTTTGTGTGGAGATGGGAATTATTTAGCCAGTACTGCACTCACCTGATTAGTGGTTGACAGAGATCGGCTCAGCTGGATCTGAGTTTCCTTTGACTTTTTATTTCTCGATTGCTTTAATGATTAATTTCTATTACATTCCGCCACCTTTTGTGCTAGGAGAATATACTGAAGGGCCTAACCAGGTATTACACCAGGTCCACAATAACAGCAGATTTTGCCCCAGCAAAGCAACTGAAAAAGGCTTATAACATGTTAGGTGCCATTCATTATGCAGAGAGCGTGTTCTCAGGTGCATGTATATAATTTTTCTAAATGTGGTTACTGTACATTTAAAACAACTTGGGGGGGGGGTTAATGTGAGCCTTGCTTCTCCAGGGTGGCAGCAGGGGAAGGCAGGGTGCCTGCAAGGGCACTGGCCCATGGGATTCTGCCACCTGAGGCAGCTGCCTCAGTCCAGGTGGGCCAGCCCTGGTTGCACATTACACCCAGCCAAGGGTGCCCATGAAAACTCTATCCTTCAGTTATTCTCTTCCATACTATGTAGGATCTCTCGCCTCAGGTTTTGATGCTAGCATGCTCTGTGCAGGGTAAAACAGCAGCATAATGTCACGGTCTAGGGGACAATATGGCTGTCTGTCTTAGAATCTCACATAATAACCGTCCATCACTATAAAGCCATATATATCTGTGGATGTTTGTCTAAAAACCTTGCTTTGGGATTCCCATGATTAGACTTGCTGAGTCTCACGGGAACCAATTAGGATTAGAATCTGACGAAACTGTGGCATCTTGAAGAGCTGCCCTTAGCTCAGAATGTGGAGATGGGTGGAGCTTTTTAGCTAGCTAATCTAGTATGGCCATTCATATGCTATGATGCCTACCAACAAACCATTTCCAGAAATTGTTGGGTTACTTTATGAGTCCAGGTTGGCAGACATGACGGAACTGCAGTCTATTTTCCAAAGTGAAAAACAATTGTTCCTGGATCATTTTTTAAAATGACAATTAAATAGCAGAGCTGCTACATAAACCAAAGCTATGACGTACATAGAAATTATAGTATATAGAAATTAGACGTATGTGGTGCTTTGCCCTGAAGTATAAGGTTTGCCCTGCCAACATTGTTAATGATAAACTTTAAACTGTTTCAGCTAGAGTTCTCAAAACTGGCCAGTGATTGGAGATGCTTGGACTTTAAAACTTGACTGATTAGTTTTGTAATGTTTTATAGGGACAACTTGAAAGATATAGCTTATTAGCAACAGCTTATCTGGCGCCTTTGCTGTTTTGACATTCAGCAGTCATAAAGCTAACCAGTATTATAATTGAAAGGCCTATCATGCACAGGATTGTCTACAATGATTGGCATGGCTGTCTGGGATTTTAGACTAGGGTTTCTCCCAGCCTTACCTGGAGATGCCAGGGATCAAACCAGGGACCTCCTGTGTGTAAACTAGATTCTCTGCTACCACTGAGCTACAGCCCTTCCTTATGTACAGCTGCCTCTTTTGTAATCTGCTTTTGCTTGGCAGGTTTCAGGAAGCCTCTGTGCACCAACCTAATCTATGAATGGGCCCTCGCTGTTGCGCAGTTGGTGATATTGGTGATAAGGGTCTTCTTGCCTCGGAGGCCGTGTCTGCACTACTTGAATCTTTGGGTTTATTTATTTACTTGTTTCAACAATTTCTATACCACCTAACGCCATAGTTTCTAAGTGGTGTACAATGAAGTTACAAAAAATGTTACAAAGGATGTTGTTGTTGTTTAGTCGTTTAGTTGTGTCCGACTCTTCGTGACCCCATGGACCAGAGCATGCCAGACACTCCTGTCTTCCACTGCCTCCCGCAGTTTGGTCAAACTCATGCTAGTAGCTTCGAGAACACTGTCCAACCATCTCGTCCTCTGTCGTCCCCTTCTCCTTGTGCCCTCCATCTTTCCCAACGTCAGGGTCTTTTTCAGGGAGTCTTCTCTTCTCATGAGGTGGCCAAAGTATTGGAGCCTCAGCTTCACGATCTGTCCTTCCAGTGAGCACTCAGGGCTGATTTCCTTAAGAATTGATGCGTTTGATCTTCTTGCAGTCCTTGGGACTCTCAAGAGTCTCCTCCAGCACCATAATTCAAAAGCATCAATTCTTTGGTGATCAGCCTTCTTTATGGTCCAGCTCTCACTTTCATACATCACTAGTTACAAAGGATAAAATCAGTTAAAATTAAAAAGTCAGAAAGCCTCGCTGGCAGTAGTCTGTTCCCATCAAGTCTAGCCACAACATTTCTCACCAGCTGGAGCTTTCTGGACTAGGTGCAAGGATAAAGCATTTGCAATGATCTGGTCTTCAGCTTACTGGCGCATGAATTACTGTGGCCGGGCTCTCCAGGTTGCACTGATTTACTGTGCATTTGCCACAGATGTACCACAGAACAGAGACTCTGGAAAGGGAAGAGATAACAATGCAAAGACCAACAGGAAAGTAGTTAATAATAATAATAATAATAATAATAATAATAATAATAAATTTATTGTTTATACCCCGCCCATCTGGCTGGGCTTCCCCAGCCACTCTGGGCGGCTTCCAACAAAATATTAAAATACCGTAATACATCAACCATTAAAAGCTTCCCTAAACAGGGCTGCCTTCAGATGTCTTCTAAAAGTCTGGTATTTGTTGTTCTCTTTGACATCCGGTGGGAGGGCTTTCCACAGGGAGGGCAGCACTGCCGCGAAGGCCCTCTGTCTGGTTCCCTGTAACTTGGCTTCTCGCAGTGGGGGAACTGCCAGAAGGCCCTCGGCGCTGGACCTCAGTGTCCAGGTAGAACAATGGGGGTGGAGACGCTCCTTCAGATATACTGGACCGAGGCCTTGGATGAGAGGACAGTGCAAGTGGGGAGAAAGGGAAAGATCCAGGGGTAGAAAAGACATCAAGGTAACCTTCCCCCACCTGGAGTACTGCAGAGGTTTTGGACTACAACTTCCATCAGCCCCAGACACCACAGCTGGCTGGAGCTGATGGGAGTCATAGTGATGGATCTTAAGGTTCTAGTAAAAAAAGGAGGGGGATAGTAGACAAACTGAACATGAACTGAAGGTGCCACCTGCATTATATTAGAAAGATGTTAGGAAGTTCACAGTTGATCTTTGACTTGGAGAAGGCTGGTATAGGAAGGCAAAGACAGATGCATTTAAACGTATTTGGTTTCAGAATTCACTCAAAAAAAGATTCTTGAAATATATCCCCCAAACGGCTGGGGAAAGCTACAATTTCATGCACATTAAAATATCCCAGTACCAGAGATGTCTGCAGATGGGACATTTCTACATTTCTGCCTCAGAATAAGGCGCATGTGGGCTCCCAAAGATTGAGTTACTGCCACAATAGTGTGAACTCTGCAATTTGGTACACAGGTGGACTTAAACAGCATAGTTCTGCATGGAAGCCCCCTTGTGTCAGCAGAGCTTGCAGTATCAGATATGACCCTTTGCCCCTTATCCTCCAAAAACATGGGGCATGAACGTTACCTCTCAGTAGAGGCCCGCACAGTGCAAATCATTCCTCACCTGGGATTCCTCCTCCCTTTTGTTCATTCATTCAGAGAGGATGGAGAACATATAAATAGAAATATAGAGGGTCACATTGCCTTGGTAACCTGTTGGGGACATTGGAGCCAACTCCTAGGGGCTGAGATCCCTTTGCCCCCCATAAAATATTTGAGGGGGCTGCCCCCCGAAGTTGATGGGCATTGTGCATGCACCACTTCTTGTGGTCGATTATGCGGAGGTGGGGTGGTTTACTGGCCCTCCTCCCAATATTTTATTCAAGTTGGCCTCCCTAATAGAGGGCTGCATGCCTATAGCGGGCAGAGCCCCCCTTCCCCACTTTTCCCTCCCACCTTGTCACCTGCATGCAACTGAGGCCGAGGGCCATTTTCAGCTGCCCTCCGGTCCCCTCCTCCTGGGATCAGCTTCGGATCGAGGAGGGGCGTGCCTGGATTTCCAGTAGCCGCCCGGAGGACCGAGCGGAGGAGCGACTGTTTTGATCTCTGCGCTTGCACAACGCCTAAGCTGCGTTTGCTACTATTAGGTACGACTCCTATTCACCTTTTAGGGAACTGACAAGTTGTTTGTTTTTTTAAAAAATAGGCAAGGGGGCGGATAATGCTGCAGGAAACCAAAAGGGCTATATATCTGATGGGGAGAAATTTGTGTGATGAGTTAAAAAGAAAAGGAAAAAAGAAAGAAGTGCGCGTGGCGATCGGGGGTGGGAAGGAGCGAGCGAGCGTTGAAATAAATAAATAAAAGCCGAGAGCACCTCGGCAGGCACTAAGCTTGCGAGTCCCAGTGAGTCAGCCGGGCTGAGGCCAGCGCACTCCCTCCGGCTCTCTGGCTGCCGCCGCTGCACACGCAGCCAGGGCGTGTGGGGCAAAGTCAAGTCCCCGGCTGGCCCATCCTTGCTCGCCGTGGGGAGTCCGAGAAGGGGTTTGGGGTGGCGGCGGCTCTCCACCCCTTTTCCCTTTTGACAGACACGGCCAGTTGCTGCGAAAAGCCGGGTCACCCGATCTCCCTTTCGGAGGAGCCCAGGGAGCCGCCGCCGCCGCCAGCACACAAACAAACACAGAGCTGCTGTGCAAAAAAAAACCCCGACAGCGGGAGAGAGAGGCTGGCGGAGGAGGCGCCTGGAGGAGAGCGAGGAGCCGGGCGAGCGGCAAAGCGGGGAGTCGCGGGGTCCGGAGCGGAGGTAAGAGGCGGGGGCGTGGAAGGTGGAGGGGCTGCGGGGGAGCGGCGGGCAGAAAGGAAAGTGAAAGCTGCGCCTGCTCTCCTGGCCTCCAGCCGGATGGGCTCTCAGGCGGAGCAGCGGGCGAGCTAAAAGGAGGGCCGGATGGGTGGCTACTAGCCGCTGGGCTGGGAGTTGAGGGGCGTGCCAAGGCGACCTGCCCCACGAGGCCCCAGGTAAAACCTCTCTCTCCCCCACAAGCGAAACCTCCTGGGATCCCCACCCGGTGCGCTTCTTTGGTTGCGCTACTTGTTGCTCGCGGAGGGCGAGTCGAGGGGCGGCTGATGTCACTTCTTTGGCCGGCTTGCGGTGTTGGCGTCTCCTCGCTCGCTCGCAAGAAGTCCCTCGGAGTCCAGCGATTGCCGCCCAACTTCCCAGCTGTTGCCGGAGAGGGATCCGATCGCCTCCTGCTGCGACCTCAGCAAACTCTTGGGGGTTGTTTTCCCTCGGGAAGAGCTGCCACGCGCGTCTGGGCACATATTGGGTGGTGATGGTGCTTTTGGATAAGTCTAAGGACAGCCGCTCTTGGAGGGGAAGCGTCCCTTAAGGGTCTTCCCCATCCGTAATGGTATAAGGCATCGATCAGTATATAAACACTCGCAGGATGAAGGACCTGCTGGGTGACTGAGGTTGCTGCTGCTTTTCCCTCTGCTTCTTTCCCAACGTTTGCACTTTCTGTGGGTTGAGGGGGTTTACTGCATGTCCACATTCCCCCCCCCCCCCATGCATTGATTTGGAGAATCCGATTCCCCATACAGGGCAACGATGATGCCCACAGCCTTGCTGGTGTCACCGGTAGCTGGCATGGCAGACTAGAGGAATTGCAATGGTCAGCAGCAGCAGGTGTTGGGAATGCCATTTGGGAGGGATGGAGGGAAAAGGCCCTTTCCCAGTACCTCTATTCCAGGTAGTGCCTTGGGGATTTGCACTAACAGAGAGTGCACTGGGAGCTCCCATGATGTAGGGATGACCTCATTCCAAAGGCACGTGGGTCTCTTTGGCTGCTTGGGCTGAAAATGCAGTGAGGTCCTTCTTTTTCTCAATTCGAATTGAGGCTGGTTTTGGGAGGAAATGCATCAAAATGCACTATTTCATAAGAAATGGCAGGAGAGACATGGACTGTGGCTAATGTTGTGTGGTGGGAGAGCACTGGATGGGAGTGTAGACACAGCCTTTAATTATATATTTGGCCTCTAGCCTCTGCAGACCTTCTTCATGTGGTGGTCTAAAAGGAATGGGTTGACTTTCAAATTTGTGGATTGTGGTGCCTGAAAGCAGAGGCGGGAGGAGAACAATGAAGGGAATCCTGTGGGATGTGATGGAGCTGAACATCTTCCATATTTTGGTCATCAGGTCTTGCATCATGTTATTCACTCTCCACTCTCAGCTCAGCCTCTCATTCAGGGTTAGTTTTGCCCTTCCATCTATTATCACCTTGAAACCCAACAGGCAGAAAGAAGGGAGTATAAATAGAAATTATAAGTCAGTAAAAATAATCTGCCAACCGGAGAGCACTTCTGGGGGATGAGTCCATTCACAGCCATGTCGTCCTTTGCTCAGAGCCTGGGTCTTTGGGCATTGCAGCCAAAGCTTTCTATGCATCAGGGATTCAGATCCACCATGCATGTTTTTAGACTACTTAAGCTACCTGTCACTTTACTCATTTATTTATTGCATACATATATCCCCCACCTTTCCTCCAAGGAGTTCAAGGTGATATAGATGGCTTTCCCCTTCTCCATTATATCTTCACAACAGTTGGGGAGGGTTCGTGACTCGCCCAAGGTGAGCATCATGGTTGGTCCTAGTTTATCCCTCTAGTCACCGCACTAAAAATACCCAAGGAGAAGAATACTTCTGAGCCACCTCTGTGGTGTCTCTTTCCCTGTGTCTAGCCAACAATTCTCCTGCTAATGCTAAATCAGATGAAACTTCTTGAGAGATGTGGGACAGAAGCCACAGAAAGTTTAGTTGCTGTAACTGTCCCTCCCACTAGGCTGCCACACAACGCTGGGCAAGTCACCTTGCTTTTCTATTTGCCAGTAATTTTCAAACTTTCTACATTTAAAAAGAACCGTTTAAGAATGGACTTTCTTTCTGAGATGAGAAAACCCCAAATGTCTGCACAGAGGACCCCTCTGTGTTAGAGAAGAGTCTGGCACATGCTGGAAGGAGCACTGAACATGCCACTGGGTGTCATCAATGTTATTTTTTTTGGCCCTGATTCAAAATTGTATCCTCCACATCACTTAGGCCAATCTGCATGAAGCCCTGCATGCACTCAGAACATATTTTAGAATGTACCCTGTAGTGTTTCTGCGATTGTGAAATACAGTAAAGATTGCCATTGGTCAACTTGGCCTCCTTAGGAATGTAGGGACATGAGAAAATGCCTTAAACTAAGTCAGACAAATGGCTCCATCTAACTCAGAATTGTCTACATTGACTGGCAATGGGTGTCCTGGATTTCGGGCCCTGGGTCAATCTCAGCCCTAACTGGCAGTGCCAGGAACTGAACCCGGGAACATCTGCATTCAAGGCAGATGCTCTGCCACTGCGCTGTGGGCCTTCTCATTGAGGAACCTCTCATAAGCAACCAAGGACTCTCCTGAACACAGTTTAGAAACCACTACTTTGTTCTATAGTAAAAAAAAATTCAACGTCCTTTTTCTGAGGAATTTTTATAATTCTCAAAATTGCCTGAACAATCAAATGTCTCACCCAAGCTTCAACCTGCACTGTCCAGTCAGGTCTTGAGTGATAGGAATTTAGAAGATAGCTTTCTAGAATTTGGAAGCTGGGAGGATGTTTGTGCAAAGGATTTTGTGAGTGCTCAGTCTCATCCCTGAGCAATGAGCAGGTTGAACACTCATACTTACAGCTACAAAGAGTACCTGTGGATGTTTATGACACAATAAATGTGCTAGTCATTAGTCTTTAAGGTGCCACTGGATTCTATGGTTCTGGAGCGGATATTTTGCTACAGTATCTCCCGAAGTGTGAGCCCAGCAGCTTTCTTCCTTGAGCGAAGTAGTAAATGCTGCACCCACAAGTCAAGATACATGGTACCCAAGGCCACGCAAGTTATTTTGCCACCCGAGGCAGAAAAATCAGAAAACATATCCTTTCCATGTCAGTAATGTGTCAATAACTGAATAGCTAGCAATTTGCTGCCCTTTCACGAATGATCCCCCAAATCAACTGCCTAAGCTGACTGTCTCACTTTGCTCAATGGTGGGGCCAGCTCAGCTTGACTTCAGCAATTCAACCAAAGTAGAGTATGCCACACAGGCAAGACCACAGTGGAAGCAGTGGTGAGTCTGTTGCTGATTTGAATTACATCCAACAAGTCCCCTAGTAGAGCAAAGAATTGGCAGGTGTAATGCATGATTTACAAAAATGAGAACTAGACAGAAATTGATGGAGGATTTTTTTTTATTATTTTTTTGCAAAACTAGGATGATTCTTGGTGGGTACAGGTTTCAGCTTTTTGAGCAGTTTCAAATGCTGATGAGTTCAGTTTTTTAGAATTCTCAAGTCATTGGGATCTGGCATTCCTTTAAACTCATATTCAGACATCACAAAATTAGCCCAGGGCTACACTCTCAGTAACTACAGATCTGCTATGGCACTGGAAAAATGCTGAGTGACTATTCAGGGCAAAGGGGTCACCCTGTGATTGCAAAGGAGTCATCATGAAGTCAGCCTAGAATACCGGTGTATTGCGCAAATGATAGTTGTCTTCGGCTGGTTTTGTGGTGGTGCCACGTGTGAGCTTCAGTGCCGTGCATAGACTGGACTGGATCTTCCTTGGGAAACAAATGCCATCTCCCACATGGTGCCCAGGAGATCTGAGCATAGTTGTCAGTGATGATCTATACCCTTTCAGATTCCTTGCTCATCATCTATGGTTTGTGTTGCTGTATGTCAAATGGACTCTTTTTGTTGATCCTCTCACTTGGCGTCAGGCCAGGCACAATCCACTGGCAAATTTTCTTTTATCTCAGATTGCAGTTATGGGTTCACTAAAGTGTGTATTTTCATCACAAGTAAAGAGTCCCGGCTGACAGGGTCTGTGAATGGTTTTTATCCATGTGCTGTTTCTTCAATGGCGGAGATGGTACGAACCAATCCCCGGGAGGAATTCAGTGTTGCACTATTATGATCCTTACATCAAAGAAAACATTCCTGATTGCCAGATGGAACAATCTCCCTTCTCCTCATCCGCCCCCCATGCACTGTTCTGGGGGTTCTCCTGACACCCCACACCCTGAGCTGATTTGGATAAGAAGAGAGGGAGAAGCCCTGTTGTGCTAGCAGGATTCATTGTGCTGGCTCCCACTAGCACAACTGTTTAGTTGAGTCCTGCCCCAGCTTCCAATATGCTGTGTTGGGGAAAATTTGCTTTCAGAGATAATAGCTCCACAGCTTCCATGGCTTCTTGGATATTCCACAAGGGATTAGGCAACTGTCCTTTAGAGAGCTTTCAAGTAGAGCAACATTCCATAAGAACATTTATCTGAATAACAGTAGCTTTTTGATGAGAGAAGCTATGGAAGTTTATGACTTCCTTGGAACTCTTTATTTGGAACAGAATGCTCTGGGAGGAAGTTTTTTGTGGTTTTGCAGATTCTTAGGAAATGACAAACTTAAGTTCAACCTTTGCCAGATAGGTATCTGTATCACCAGGCTGTTTCCAACGGACGATACCATCTTCTGATCTCATGGTCTAGTGGAGTCGTCCGTTCTACTCCTTTAAGAATGAACAGATGAGAGCAAGTCACACTTCTTCGGCTCTGACTCTCGTTGTTTACTGTTCACGGCATGCCAAAATCACAGGTTGTAGTGGTATTTCCTAGTGCTGGGAGGTTGAATAACCTTAGGACATCGCTTGTGTTTTAGTGTAATCTGCAGAAGTTCACATCCATTGTGTTGCTCTGTTACTGTTAACTTTTTAATATGCTTACAATATATATTTCAAATAATCTCCAAACGGATCTGCCCAATTTTGGGCAGCCGCCATCCTTTACTTGGAATGTGATACCTACCAGCAATATCTAGAGACCATTTGTTTTTTGAGGTTCTTCTGTACTAGTTATAAGAGTGAGGCATTATATTTCATCTGTACATCAGCCAGGGTTGCCAGGCTGCAAGCTGGTGAACCTACCTTTCGCTGTTGATAAAGGTATGTTTTCTAGCAGATGCAATGGTAGACATTGCAGCTGCTATGCTGCTAACTGCTCTAGGATAAAGATGAGCGCTACTCATTTGAGCAGATGGGACAGTATGGCAAGGGATGCCACCAAGAAGTAGCAAAGCGGAAAGGGCAGGGGTAGCAATTACTTCCACTCTATTAACATTGCTTAGTAGCTCTCATATATCAGCTACATCCAGATACTGCAGAGAGAGAGAGAGAGAGAGAGAGAGAGAGAGAAGAAGAAGAAGAAGAAGAAGAAGAAGAAGAAGAAGAAGAAGAGGGAAGGAAGGAAGGGCAACATTTTCCTTTCCTGGTCATACAGGGCACTGTTTATTTCTACCTTTGGCCATTTATGTTCGTGTGTGTAGGCCTTGGGTCATTGCTGAGCTGCTGGCAGGTGTGGCAGTACTTACACCTGCTAAGGCTCACCTTAAAAGAAGCAGTTCTTTGCCCCCACCGTTCTATCTCCCACCCTGCCACAGGAAGAGCATGGCAATGCAAGGACTACTTTTGAAAGCTTTACACAATGATACAAGTTCTCTGAATACCTTCTCCATCACAAGTCAATGCACATCAAGGGAAACGTCTTCCCACCAGGGTCAGTGAGTGTGCAACATCCTCAGAGGAATCAGGGTTCCTGTTTCACTTGGACCAGATGGATCTGCAAGCCTTGTGTTATGCAGAGCTTTGATGTGTGGGAGCAAAAGTCTGAAATTTCATAGGCGGACAAGCAAATGCGTATGTTGCCTTACATGGGGGATGGGGGGGGGGAATATCCCACACAGCTGTTGCTAAGGCAAAGAGCCAGTCAGTTGTCTTGCCAAGAAACCTGTCTTTATTTCTTTATTGTCAATAACTTGAAGTATTTGAAGGAAAATGCAATGTTTTCCTTCTCTGGTTATATATAGGATGCTACATTATGTATTTAAATTATTTATCTTATATCACTACATGGGATGAATATATGTGTGTTTGTTTGTGCACATGCACACACGTGCACACACACGTGCATATACACACACACACACTCACTAGGTCTTGGGGTCATTTCTTGTAGGCCTGCCACTGCCTATGAAACAAAGAAAGGAAGAAAGTCTCACCTGCAAAGGGATTGCTCAGCTGACTCAATCCACCCATGTCTGGCTCATTTTTCCTCACCACTGAAGTTGACAAACCCTACCATAAGCTCATTCAGCCACACTGGATAACATTCCTAACATAATAGACCTAGCCTGAACAAAGCCGTAACTCACACCAGATACAGTCATGTTGCTACCGGAATGGAATCCAGACAATAATCTTGCCTGGCATTGTCTGGTGGTGAGTACCTTTTACCAAAGGCTCAGTAGAAAATATTGTTAGAATGAGGGGGAGACAATAACCCTGCCAGCTCCACCTCATTTTCTTTTAACCCTCACAATAGCCTGGAATGAAAACAAGGAGGCCAGAATCCAGCAGGAATAAGAAGTGTGCTTTGACCTGTGGACTTCAGCTCTTTGCTTGATGATGGGCCCAGTATATTAAGCGAGAATGTGTCTTTCTCCTCCTTCTGAACATGTGGATCCATCTGGATGGTGCTAAATTTCCTTGAGTCCATCAGACAGTGCCTCTTCATTCTTTAATCTCGGATTTCTGGGAGTAGCTGGGGAGCTTAAAACAGGGTTTTCAAAAAGCATTTTTTGAAATGATATACTTTATTTTGATTCCATGTAGCTCATGAGTTATTTTTAGGTTTGTAGATCCTCTGGGCATCTGAGCAGTTCTTTCTCTTGCTATGTGAAAGAGGGTAAAAAGCTTTGATGAGAAATATATAGCCAACCACTTTGAACTATCTGGTACCTCTCATTGTCTGTTTCTAGCTAGCTATTGAAATCCCTCAAAGAATAAAAAAGAGCAAATAAAACACTTACAGCAACAAAGCAGATAAAAACTGCAGCCAATATTTTGTTTTTAAGTTAGTTGATAAACGTTAAAGCTGGAGGACTTCTTTTAAAAATAAATCTTGTGACTGTTTAACAATTGTCTTTGGGATTGATGATGGTGCAGTAATGTATCTAATAACTGGGTGAAATTCTAATTGCCTTTAGTTTTTTAGGAGCTGGGTCAGTTTTAGATATTTTGCCAGGTGAGTAAATAATTGACTGAGAGAGATCTAATTACCAACCATTTTCATGTTCCTGTTGGTCATTCAAGGCTGCAATCCTATGCTTCCATGGATGCAAATCCCCATTTCCAAGTTAGCATCTTTAGGATCAGGCTGTGCAAGTGTTAGCCCAATATGCAGCCGTTCAGCCCCCCTAAATCATTTTACTCTAGAGGGTGAGATCCAATGTAGTGTGAATGGGTGTCTGCTCATGCAACAGTGCTTCTCCTTCCTGCCCTACCCCCAACCTGCATTGCAGGGGGATTGGACTAGATGGCTCTTAGGGTCCCTTCTAGCTCTATGAGTCTATGATTCCATGACCCCTGCACATGCCCCAAATCTGCTGTGGATGGTTGAGAGACATTCTGGAGCTGGTTCTGGGGAGTCAGGGGGAGAAGGTAATCTTGAAGTCCTTTGCAGAAGCAGATTTCCATTGTGCAAGCAGGCTCCCACATTGGATCTAACCCATGGTTGGTTTCCTTTTTTTGAAAAAACCTTCACTATACACACACTCACTGCAATTCTTCTAACATTGCTGTTATAGTAGTATTATATGAATAACATGGTGCTAACGGAATCAGTTGTTCCCTGAAAAAGTTATTGGCTGTACAAATCAGAGGAGAACTCCAAAAACAAAACTTGAGTTATGCATGAAGTAATATGAAGTAGACCTTCCAAAGGCAGCAAATTCCAGATGGGGCATTTTACCACTCCTAACTCTGTATGTGTAATGATTGTATTACTATGAATCACCCTGGACTCAATTTCTGATCAAGGGCCTTATGCAAATACTTTGAGCAACCCCTCCCAGTGGTATTAAAGGGATAAAGAGAGATGGACTTCCCCCTTTTGAGTACAAAAATATGTCAGGCTGGCACTAGAGCATTGCTGCAGCTGGCCATGTCCACGGGTTGTTTTTGGTGGGCACAGTAGATAATATAGGATAAGCAGCTCTGAGTTCAGAAGTGCTATAACTTTGCTGTTCTGTCTGCACTGTCAGAGGCAGTGTTCCTTTATATATGAGTTACTGAGAACTGGAATCATAGTATCATATAATTTTGGAACTGACCCTGAGGATCATCTAGTTATTAGGCTTTGGGGAATAGGATCCCCCTATGGTGGCAGCAAAGAAGCAGAGAAAAAAGAAGAGTTCTTGCCAATTAGTTTATTCAATAATTACAGTGAGAGACAAAGGAATGCGGTCTCTCTCTCTATCATGGTGTTGCTCCAAGTAAAGTCCCACCCCCGTACGTCTCCCCTATTAGATGTCACTCCTGCGCCCACTAATCTGAGCTTTCTGCTTCTGAACTCTCTGTTCTAATACCCTCAATGCCCGCCTGGTTCTGGGAGGGGATGGGGGTCAAGAATGCTTCCCAAGGACACTAAGTCTGTCAGCTGTCCCTCCCCTGGTGCTTCTTCTTCTTCCTGCTGTTCCTCTCCCAATATTTCCCAGCTTCTGCCCTCTGCAGCCTCTGAACTATGCCCTTCTGCAAACCACTGTTCTAAATCTATACTATCCTCCTGTTCTCAGGAAGGTTCAGCAGAAGGGGAGTGACCCCCACCATTCCTCCTCAGTCCAGCCCTTGACACTAGTCCAACCCAAGTGTTGTTGCAGTCAGGTCCTGCTCGCATGCTTCGCATTGGCACTTTGAGAAGAGGATGCTGGACTAGACGGGCCTTCAGTCTGGTCAAGCAAGTCACTTCTTACATTCTTAATTCAGGAGGTCAAGGAATGATTTTTTTACATTCCTTCCCATCCTAGAATTTTTTTTATTTTCACCAACACTCTCTCTTATCTTTGGCACTCAGCTTCTGAAGAAAGGAGTGGAAGTCCTTGCCACATAATGGATTGACTTTGACAGCATGGAAAGAAAATGTGAAGCTTTGAGTTTCAGGGATGTTACTGGAAGTCATGACCATGACATTTAGAAATCCAGGGAGCTTGTCAAGTGACAAATGCGCAGGAAGAAATTCCAGTGGCTCTCAAACAGCTCTGGGCCTGTCAGCATTTTTACTGAATGCTCTCTCAACGTACCGCCGGAGAGGCTGTGCAGGCAACTAATTTCCCCCTTGTTTTTCAACTTACACTTTTTAATCCACAATGGGTTGCATTGGCTTATATATTTAAAAGTATCAGGTGGATTTGATAGGGTGGCTCGACACACTTGTGACCAGTTTGTTGAGCGGAGCAGGCGGTTTCAGACTCACTCAGTATGGATGCATGTTAAATCACAGACAGTGCAACCCTAAGCATATTTACTTAGAAGTGAAGCCCACCATCTTCAGCCATTACAATTTTCGATCCATTGAAGGGGCACAGGTGTCAGAAAGCACACAGGCATTGGAGGCAATGTACCATCCCTCTGCCATTATGTTCCAATTCTCTGATCAAGCATAGTGCATGCCCAGCTTAAGCGTGGATAAAATAGTAGTCTCCGAGAACAAGGCTGGAGCAGGGCAGGGAGAATTAAAGTTTGGAGGTGGTGGGAATGAGATTGGGTTGTTTGTGTGGATTTGGCCACCACTGTAGAAAAGTAAACAGCAGCAAAGCACTTTGGGTAAGTCTGCAGCAGCTTATTTTGGCATGATTTACCAACAGAAATAGCATGAAGACCTTGAGAGTTCTGCCACAGTCTGTTTACTGACGCTGATTATTGTTCCACTTTCAGGTCTCTTGGTACATTATTCAGAAGGTACTAACCTTTTTGCGGTTAGTGTGGACAAATACGCTGTGATGTCAACCCCTTCCCCTCCCAATCCTGGCAATTGTCCAGCCGGTCTGTTCCATTATTCCCCTTATCTCTTTCATTCTCTCTTTTACTTTCTTTTGTTGATTTTATGCTTAGCCACTCTTTTTTCAGGGTACTGAGAGGCAGTACTTTCCTGACTCTGCGTAACCCTGGCTGCTAAACAATCCTATAGCGAACTCTCAGGGTGCTCCCCCTTTCCATGCCATATCACTGACTTTAACTTGATAACTAAGGCTCCAATCCTAACTCCAATAACCTGGGAGTAAGCCTCCTTCAGTTCAGTAGAATATATATCTGAGTTAACATGGTTAGGGCTGTAAGGCTCTCCTTTTAGAAACAGGTTGACTCTACTCTTGCCATAAAACTCTAGAGTGCACTAAATTTTAGTGACTAAAACATTCCCGTGTCTACCTTGATCCTATGCATTTTCTTCTCTGAAGTTATTTCTGTTGTGCTCAGTTGCGGTGCTCCAGTGAGTAAATATGGACAGGATTGCAGCCTTAAACGGATCTAGCAGTTATCCCCTCCCACAGGCAACCTGGGAACTGTAGGTGCAAAAGAGGATAGGGAAAATCTGTTTAAGAAGATAGAGAAAACCCTCAACACTACTGATAAACTATGATTCCAAGGATTCTTTCAGAGCAGGAGTTGCAAACCCTTAGCCCATGGGTTATATATAGCCCTCCAAGAGGTTTTGGGTGCTCCCCCCATTTCAGTGACAAGTTAAATATTGATTGATTGATTGATTGATTGATTGACTGATTGATTGATTGATGCATACATGCATGCATTCATAAAAACCAAACCACTCACCACCTTTCCATTTAGGGGAATTTAGGATGAGGGAAGAGGAACTTTGAAAAAAATAATATTAGGAAAATCAGTTAAACTAAATACCTTTTAAAAAAAGTAAAATAAAATAACCAGTCGGAAATAAGGAAAGGAATGGCCTCACTTTGGATAGATAGCAGCAGCATAAATGCATTAAATAAAAGAAGTTTTAAAAAGTAAAAGAATATGCACATAGAATGAGTTTGGGAGGATTAAGGAAGGGAATGGACTGGCCCTGGGTGGAAAGAATTTAACATGAGTTTGGGATTAATAAAGGGAAGGGATCGTTAATGCGATGAATGTCGGGAAGGGGATGAAGGGGAGAGAGTTAACATATTCTGTGTATTCAGCATTTAATTGAAAATGAATTTAGACGGTATTAATTTTTCCACTCTGGCCACACCCATTTGGCTCCCTCTGCTTTAGTCTATGTCATGGCTGTACCTCTACCCTCAGTCAGACTTGTTGCTGGCAAAAGGCAATCTCTGGGATGTTCATTGCCCCTGACACTTTTCTTTCACAAGTGCCCACAGCTCTGAGAAAGCCAAGGTGGAAGGTCACAAGCACTTTTGGATTTACTGCAGCCATATTCTACAGACTGGCAATGTTTGTGATGCCTCCAACAAAGGAAGTCAACATTTATACAATGTCTTGTGAAGCTTACAAATATTCCATCTAGGTCTGAAATCCTTCGCCTCATTTTCTACCTTCAGTGGCAACAGAGCAGAGCCATTTCCCACCTTTCTGCATGGTGACCTTCAAAGTAGCCTTATTGAAAATCTGTGTCACTCCTCTTCACCCTCAATAAGAAACTTAACAGTAGTGTGTGTGTGTGGCATTATGCACTGTGGGAAAACACAACTTGCTTCTCCATTAGGAGGTTTCACATAATAGATGGCACACATAAACGTAGTATCGGCAGTCCAAATCACTATAGCAATTTGGCCGTAAATGCCTGTCATTTCTGCATTGTATTTTAAATCATGTGTGGAGGTTTAGCCTTCATACAATATAGGCTTATTTTTAAGGGGACACAAGTATTTTGAATAGTTGATGCAAAACGAGCCTTTATTTTGCTTCCCTCAGTCTGAAATGAGCATTAAATGGACGGAGACTCTCTTCTTATGGCTTCTTCCCCTATTTTCATTTAGTCTTTTATAGGTGTATTCCCCACTGTGCAATAAACTGGCCCATTGGACTGCTTCATAAGGCCAACAGGAGGTGGTCAAATGAGACCTACTTTTTAAAAACAAAAAAACCCACAAGCAGTATCTTTCTCACATCCTTGTTGGAACAGATTGCCTTTCCTATCCTCTTTTCCTCTCTTGAGCCCTTCAGATTTGTCAGCATTTCATAGATTTGTAGAAATCAAATGACTTGTTGCTTAGGCAGGGGCGAGGCACTTCACTCTATCACAGGCTATGTCCCTGGAATATGAAATCAGATTCAGACCCAGAACTGGATTTTGTCCCTTGAAAAGCAGTTCTGTTGAGCTTGATACAGGAAATTCTAGCTGCTACATCTTTTTGCACCTGAGTGCACAGGGCCAAGGAGCCTCTTCATATTCTCATCCTGCCTCCCCTTGCTTCTGCCTGCCCTCTTATTTGCCCTCTGGAATTGACTTCAAGTCCCAACGGAAGCAGGGAGAGGGGCAGTTTGAATGATGGGGACTGTAGTTACGAACTCAGCAGACTGGAGAATTTGTAGCTGCTTCCATGCCTGATGATATCAGCACAATTTAAAATGTGATGTAAGCAGCATCCATATCTATCCCAGAGGAAAGAATGTGCCAACTGGTCTGTGTTAGTAGCACAAGCGTATTGTATAGCAAGCAGCATTCTCTCACAAAATCGAGTATATTTTTGGTAATAATCTGCACAAGAGACTCCCCTGCCCTGAAGAGGGATGATATTTTAAAAAATTTAGAGTAATGGAGTGACAATCAGGACAGCTGGCAACCCTGCTGGCAAGTCCAGCTCAGTGTGAGAGTGGATTAAATGACATCTTAGGCCTCTGTTGACAACTATTTTTTTAATGAGAGACTTATTTGGAAATGGAAAGGGGATGAAGGGCCAATAGCAGCAGCTCCACCCCCTGATTTACATCCATATAAGCTGAAACAGAAAACATAAAGAGAGCCTGTTGCCTTTCTCATAGCAGCCCACCAAACGGCTATGGGACCTGAGTGCCACACCATGAGATCTAATGCTTTTTTCCTAGAAAAATAGGTGCTGGTACTCACCATGAAGTTGTTATAGTAAGTGCCACACTTTTTAACCAAGAGAGAGAGAGAGGTGCCGGGACTGCGTACCCCTGAGTAAAAAACACTGACAAGACCTAAGAGCAGTGGGCAAAAGTTCTGTTGTTTTCTCCTTTCCTACGTGAACACAGGCAGATCTCTGATTTTACTATGCATCTTTCAGAAAAAGAACTCTTCCTTGCTACAGACACTTTAGCAAGCACCTCCCCTGCGCCTAAGCTGCTCATTCGCACTTGATGGAGTCATGTTTGGGAATTACCTGCTAATAGGAGAATTCTAGCAAGGCATCTGTTCACACTGTTGTTGAGCCCTTCACCTGTTTCCCGGAGCTGTGGAAACTCCCCCATCCCTCTCTGCATTTGGAAATGTCTGCTGCATGGGCTGGGCACCACCATATTACGAATTTCCACACTCTGCCCACAGGCAAGCATAACCTGTGCTCCAGCTCTTTCAGTGAATACCTGAGGTTCACAATAAGATGAGTGCTCTGCCAAAGGCCGTGATGCTGTTGACACGAGGGAGGAGGTTCGAGGTTCGCTTGCTAGCAAGCGTCTCCCAGACGACCTGAGGGCATAAAAGGGACGGACTGGGCTTGAGGCCGGGTAGGAGGCCCGTCAGCTGTATTTCTTAGCTTATCTGGCCTTACGATTTGATGACAGAATGCAGAGTTGAAGTTAAAAAATACACCCTGTGAGAGTACCAGAGAGTCCTACAGCACAAGTAACAGCAGCAGTGTGTGATCTGAGAGGGTGTCTGAGCAGCAGTGGTGCTCTCCTGACTGTTTCTTCCAGTTTTTCATTTTCCCATTCTTCAGTTCATCTCTCTACATTTCCACACCAGTCTGCATTTAAAAAACCCAACAACCAACCTCCTGAAAGTTCCTTAGCAGTTTAGTGCAAATTTCTCCTAATATATACATTTTTGTATAGAATTTTTCCTGATTACACATTTTGGCAAAACAATTTCCCCACATATAATGCAGTGTGTGTGTGTATTTACGCAGTAGGAGAATATATACAGTAGGAGAAAGTGTGCATAAAAATGCATATACAGGTGTGTGTGTGTACCAAAAACACACACACCTGTATATGCATTTTTATGCACACTGTCTCCTACTATATGCACTTTTGGGTACATTACTTGGCGGGAACACCACACTACAAAATTTGGAGAAGGGCAAATTTCAAAAAATGGCTGTGTTTCGGTTTGTGTAATGTTTCAGAAAGGGTGGATTTGGTAGGTTCACCTTTAAATGGGAAATGAATCCATTTTCTCTGCTATTCCTAGATGGAGTGGAATGAGGCAGTGGTGAGGTCAGAGTTGGCAGGGGTGGCCTTGCCACCACCTACTCTGCTTCGTCTTTGTCTCAGTGAATGCCAGGAAGGCAGCACTGTTCCTCTAGCCACGCCACTGCTGCAAAGAAAAAGACCCAAATAACGTTATTATAATTCTTTTCCTGGGCCAGTGGGATTGCGGGTCCGGGCATTATGCTCCACAGTCCACAACCCACAGACAAATAAAGGACCACATAGGCTGGTTTGAATTGAAACAGGCCACAACCTTATTGAATACAAATGAAAGAGGTTTGGCTTGGGCATGGGGCAATCAAAATACTTCTGGCCCGCCACCGGAAGTGACACGTAGGTCAGTCCTAAGACTTACCGTATTTTTAGCCCTATAGGACGCACCGGCCCATAGGACGCACCTAGTTTTTTTGGGGGGGGAAATAAAGTAAAAAAAAAATTATTTCCCCCCAGGCGTGGGGCTGGGGCGGGGGAAACCCGAGCTTCCCCCGACCCCAGCACCCAGAACAGGCAGCTCTCCGCAAGCCGCGGGAGCCCTGGGAGCTCTCCGCAAGCCGTGGGAGCGCCGGGCTCCCGTGACTTGCGGAGAGCTGCGCTAAGCTTGAAGCCTGGGCGCACTGAGCTCAGCGCGCCCAGGCTTCAGCATGCAGGCAACTCTCTGCAAGCCGTGGGAGCCCGGCGCCAGGGTCCCACGGCTTGCGGAGAGCTGCGCGAAGCCTGGAGAGTGAGGGGGTCAGTGCGCGCCGACCCCTCTCGCTCTCCAGGCTTCAGCGAAAGCCACACACATTTCCCCTTTATTTTTGAAGGGGAAAAAGTGCGTCCTATAGGGTGAAAAATACGGTACATCAAACAGGGAACCCGACAAGGGAAAAGCAGGTAGGGCCCCAGGTGAAGGCTGCTTAAATGGCCAGGGAGCAGACCTGAGGGAAGCCTTCCTGCTCCGTCGACTCCGGCCCCCAGCCCAACCCATGTCCTAGCCTGCATCCCTATTTGCCATTCTGGGATGCAGGCAAGGATCCGGCTTCTGATAGGTGTTGCGGGCTTATGCTCATGCCCCCTATCCAAACAGGGCTCCAATGAAATGATTCCCTCATCGGGGCCACAGAGAAGCGTCTGCCATCCCGCAACGCCTCCTCACCAGAAAGGGACTTATAATACTGTCTCAGTCAGCTTTGTCTTGCATACCGAAGCACACTTGGGAACCAGAAGTAATTTTCCTGTAAAAGAGACTATTGCCCATTGGAATTAGAAGTTATATTTCACCTGTAGGAATTTGAAAAAGTCTGGTGTGTGTGTGTGTGTGTTTTTAATGGATGTTTTAGCATTTACTAATGCTTTTACGGAAGGTTGTACTTATATTTGTACAATGCAGGTATTCCTTGGAAATAATTTGGGTTTATTTGTGGCACAGACTGTAATACTGAATAAGCCAAATTCTGAGGATCCACGCTTCTTCTCTGTCAACTGATTATATGTTGCACTGTGGCTGTGATGCATGTGAGCCCCTTTTCTTTTTTAATCAGAAATATCTGCATTAAAATAAAAAATCCAGAAGTGAATGGGGCTCACACACCATTCCTTTTCCCTCTCTGTTTCTGAACACCTGGATTTTTATTTATTTATTTTACACTTCCTTGATTCTGGGCTAAGCCTGAAGAGGTGAGAGAAGGTGAGAGAAACCTAAAGCCTCCAAGATGCTCCCAACCTGTCAGAGATAGCAAGCGAGGGATTAAGAGCTCATTCGCTGGGGCAATAAGTCAGGCAAATGGAGTAGGATGTGAAAAGCAGATGGGAGAATCCTGCAAGACAGGTCACTGGGGCAAAAGAGACCTTAATGAAGCGTAACAATGAAGAATAAAATTACATTGGGGTCATTTGGAATGCTCTGCCTGTAGCAGGCAGAAGACCAGTTAGCGACTCTTGAGGGGAAGTGGGGTCTGTGAGGCAGGGAACCCCTCTCCTCTTCTATATGGGATAGGAATGTTAAGTTAAAATGCCACATTCCATTTCAGACTCTGAGGGAAAAGGGAAAAGTGGATGAGCAAGTGAAGAGCACTTTGTTGAGCTTGGCTGTTGACAGGACACAAATTCTTGAAAAATAAGAGCCTGATAAGGGTAGTAAAGAGATATGTAATTATATAAAACCACAAAACCAAACAGTAATATTATAACAAGTTAAAAGCAAAAAGAAATTAGAAAAAACCATAAATAGACCATTGTGGTGGGTATGTACTCTTAACTGCCGGCATAGGCTTGATGGAACAGAAGAGTTTTCAGCGGGCATTTAAAAGTTGGCACAAAGGACGCCCACTGATTCTCTAGTGGCAGGGTGTTCCATTAGGTACATAGTTTTGGGAATGTTTCTATATAACGGTGGCAAAAATGACAATGCTTGTGTCCCGGATGTGTTTCAACAGGCGTGTGTTCAATGTAGAATCAGCCGAAATGGAGCCAGGTAGGTTTCTGAGGCTGGCAAATGACCTGACCAAGCTATAATTCTGTATTTAATAGTGGTGTCCTTCAAACCCGCTCTGAAGGGCCCTCTTGGGACACCGTGGTGCAGTGGCCTGAGAGTGCTGGGTTCAATTCCTAGCTCATCCATGAAGCTCACTGGGTGGCCTTGGATAGGTCACAGCCTAACCTGCCTCACGGATGGTTATAAGAAGAATTATGAGGCACTCTGAACACAGAAAAGATATTATAGAAGCATAAATAATAGTATTCAGAAACAGTTCCTGCAAGAGCTTCATTTTTCTTCCCCAAGCAGCCTTCAGCACTACAGGGGGAAAATGCTGGATGTGTGTTCAGAGTGTTTCAGCTTCTAAGCCTGAAATTCATAATCATCTGGCCCCTGCGGTTTGTTTTTTAATAGTCCCACCAGCATCCTGCAGCCATATTTCTTCCACATTCTAGGAAGATAAACACTTGAAAGGGTGACCCACTGGAGGATGAAACTCAGGCCTGCTCTGGCCCGTCTCCAGTTGGGGTCAGTCTCTCTGGTCAACTGAGGAAACTTTTCTCTCTGTGCTGTTGCCAAGGAAAAGAGAACTGCAATGTTACTTAAGATTGAAAAGAACAGAATATTTTGTACTGGATTCTCTTTGCTGTGTTAGGTCTAGACCTGTTGTTTTACATATGGCCATTCACACTCTTATATCCCTCCGTAGCCAGCAACCCACACTTTTGACACCTGATCTTAGCTTCTTTAACAGATTCTTCCCCAATGTGGCAACAAATAAGTCATTTTAACTGCAAAGAAGCATTGGTGGCTGATTTTTCCTCATGAAAAGCTCCTTCAGAGGGGGACAAGAAGATGTTTGCTCATGTTACAAATATCCCCCACATTCTTGATGAAACAGTTTAAAATTTTGAACATATGCCATGATTTCTAACATTTGTTGGTAATACAACATTTTTGGGACTCGTAGGCTTGGTTTGCACATCACATTAAACCATTGTTTAAAACAAATGATGGTTTAATGTGAATGAGTGGTGTGGTGTGTTGTTGCATGCTGCTCAAAAATTCCCATTGCGCTGTGGACGAAATGAAATGTTTGTGGTGGACAACGCACCATGCAAATGGAACTTGGCGGACAGACATTGGGGGGGACAGGAACATGAGCAGAGCGTGACCATGTTTTGCATATGCTCCCTAAATCGTAGCAGACTATGCCAGGTCCTAACCATCTCCACCTCCACCTCCCACCTCCCCCTAAAGCATTATAAGTAGGCAAGGCAAGCTTGATGGTTTTACAAACATGCCCGCTGTTGGTTACATAATGGCTGGATTGCTGCAAGATGCTCTACATAGGACTGCCTTTGAAAAGCTGGTACAAAAGTTTTGGCTAAAGTTTTGACCAGAGATGAGGGTTTGGAGCATGTTAATCACCTTTTATACCATCTTCAGCGGCTTAGGACTTCCCATCTTCCCAGATGAACCTCTCCATCCACTCAGATACTTTTTTGACTTCTTGGCCACTATTTGAAGTACTGTTCTTGATAGAAATGCTGTGAGTCCTCTCTGTTGTTGTATCCAGACTACACACACACACACACACACACACACACACCTACCTCACACACATGCACACACAATCTGTTCAGCACTCATCTTGGTTATATATGTCACTGCCCAGAGACAAAAAAAGGCTGTTTTGCCAGGCTTTTCATCTTGATTTTATTAGCCATGGCTCTCTGATGTTTATCTATCTTGTCTTCCTTGTTCTGATATTGTGTTCATTTTGTTTGCTTTGAATAATATTAAAGTCTATTTTGTCTCTATGTAAGTCTCTATATAAAATTTATTTGGATATATAAATCCAGTGCTTTCTGGCACCTCTTTTTTTTGTTGTTGTTGTTGTTAAAAAGTGTGGCCCTTACTGTAACAACTTCATGGCGAGTACCAGCACCTAGTTTTCTTGGGGGGGGGGAGCACTGTATAAATCTATAAATCATTAATGAGGACGACGATGACAATTATTCTGAAAGCCACATCAGACATTTTATCAGAAAATGAAAGTGGAATGCAAATGTCCAAAGAAGCAAAATAAAAGCAGTGCCTGTCCATGTGACTGCATGACACCACTGTCTTGAGAATGCACAGGCAGGCGCTGCTGAGTCTCTGTTGACTCCTTCTAAAAGGGACCAGATCACGAGGCTACAGCTAAGTCATAATTTACCACTGCAATCAGTAGGCGGAGGAATGCTCCCAAGCGAGATGCATTCCTGGAGCCTCTGTCCAGTAAACCAATGGGGTGGCTCTTTGCCATCACTTCTGCAAAATTTCAGAGATAGCCATGTTATTTTTAAAAAAGCAATTATTATTATTGGAATACAATTTTGTTCATTTGTCTGTGTTGCGGGAAATAGTAAATTGAAATAAATAGACCTTCCTGTGATAAAGAGCATTTTAATCCCCCCAAAACGATACAGATTCACTTAGTGGGAAAAGGAAAGGAACTTTGAGTTGCTACATAGCCAGCTTGACATTTTTGAAAAGCCACAAAAGTTCAAATAAACATGTAAAATCAACAGCAAATGTGGAATGCTGTGTGAGTGCTTCTGGAGGCAGTATATGGTATAGGGTGTGCAATGCACCTGCATCTACAATATAGCGGTGGCTTATGCTCAGACACAGGGCTTCCTTGGAGGGATTTTCTTTGATATATGACGCTGTTCTCCTAAATTGTTAACCCTAAACATACCATATTTTTCGTCCCATAGGACGCACCGGCCCAAAACCAGGTCGGGGATTCCAAACCAGGTCGGGGAACAACGGTATGGTGGCGCTCCGCCTCCCCGCTGTCCCCCGAGCTTGTGGGGCTGCCCGATGTCTGCCTGAAGCGCGGGGCGCTCTTCTTCAGCGCTCCCCGCGCTCCGTGCAGCAGGCTGCTATCCGCAGCCTAGGGAGCCCTGCAGGAACTCCGGCAGGGCTCCCCAGGCTGTGGATATCTGCCCGGCGCGAGGGGTCTCTGCTTCAGGGCGCCCGCGCGCCGGGCAGCAGGCTGCTATCCGCAGCCTAGGGGGCCCTGCAGGAACTCCCGCGGGCTCCCCAGGCTTGCTGATAGCTTTCTGAAGCCTGGAGAGCGAGAGGGGTCGGTGCGCACCGACCCCTCTCTCTCTCCAAGCTTCAGCGAAAGCCTGTATTCGCCCCATAGGATGCACACAGATTTCCCCTTCATTTTTGGAGGGGGAAAAGTGCGTCCTATGGGGCGAAAAATACGGTACTTACTGGGAAGTAAGCGCTGGTAAGTAAGCTCTTAGACTTCAGTAATTTAGGAGATCAAAAATACTCCTTTTTGAGGAGGCAACTGTCTTGTAAGATGGGACATGGTGGAAAGACTCTGTGGTGAAAGACGAGAAGGCGTTTACATCAAAATGCTATAAATTGTAGTGTTGACTGTATTGTGTGGGCACATTCATATTTGGTTTAATTATCCATAGGATGTGCAGCAATGTATGCATGTGTGTTACATGCAGGCTTAAGCAAAAAAGCTAGCCCTAGTCTGCTCTTATTCATAGAGGGGGAAACTCTGTATTTCAGAAGTCATAGGCAGTAACTACACTGGCTATCCTCTAGTATCCAACAAATGCAACCTATTTCTATTTATTTATGTAACAGCAGGACTAGATGGAAGCTACAGCCATTATTTGGTTCACTGGTTACCAGTTTGCTTTCTGGCCCAATTCAATCTGCTGGTCTTGATCTTTAAAACCTTAAATGATCTGAGACCATCTATATGTACCTACCTGAATACTTAAATAATCTTCAAAGGTCCATGTGATGTATGGCGGGTGAATACACAAGATAGGTTTTTTCAGTCAAGGCAGGATATCTGAAATGACCTGGATCCATCTGACCCTATCACTGCTGACTTTCTCCTGCACCGCAAATAAACAACTTCTTCCATTGAGTGTTTGATGTAGTACAGAACTCTGTATGAAAGCTCTGCTGTTTTTGCACAATTCTTCTGTACAGGCATTTTTATTATATATTTTGAAATATATATAGTAAATGTTTTAGGGTGCAATCGAAACTCCCTCCTGCCCTGTAGCCATAGTAGAAAGTGTTGGAATATGCCTGGGGGCACACGCAGCCCCCGGAATGAGACAAACCTCTCCAGGCATCTTACTGATGCAGCGCAGCCGGGGACGTCCATAAATCTTCAGTCCCAGCACGCACCAGCGACACATATCAGAAGACTATGTTCACACTCACTCAGCAGAGTATAGCAGAAACAAAGTGGAGCTTTGGTGTGTGCATTTTAAGTATTTATTAAGCAACATATAGTAAAAGCTATGGTTTTCCCAGTAGTGTTGTAAGGAAGTGAAAGCTGGACCATAAAGAAGGCTGATCGCTGAAGAATTGATGCTTTTGAATTATGGTGCTGGAGGAGACTCTTGAGACTGCAAGAAGATCAAACCTATCTATTCTGAAGGAAATCAGCCCTGAGTGCTCACTGGAAGGACAGATCCTGAAGCTGAGGCTCCAATACTTTGGCCACCTCATGAGAAGAGAAGACTCCCTGGAAAAGACCCTGATGCTGGGAAAGATGGAGGGCACAAGGAGAAGGGGACAACAGAGGATGAGATGGTTGGACAGTGTTCTCGAAGCTACGAACATGAGTTTGACCAAACTGCGGAAGGCAGTGGAAGACAGGAGTGCCTGGTGTGCTCTGGTCCATGGGGTCATGAAGAGTCGGACACGACTAAACGACTAAACAACAACAACAATACAGGACAAAGCAATCATGGCATCCTCTCTCTTCTCCTCTGAGAGAGAGAGAGAGAGAAAGAAAAGTAATACAAAAGTACAATAGAGCGGAAGAGATAAGACTAGCTTTCGTTTTCACACTTTCCAAGCCTGGAAAGTAAATACAGAGATGTGATGTAACAATCACACATCCAACAACGGAGGAGTGAAATGCTAACAGAAAGTGCAGGTCAGCAAGATCCACACTGTCTAGGACCAGTCACAGAGACAGCTCCCACAAAGGCAGTGGGATCAACTCAAGATCCAGCAGATCCCAAGCTAATTCAGCTCTGCCGTTAGAATACCCTATGTCAGGGCTACCCTCTGGCTTTCCACAGCATGGATCCCACCGGTGGGTCTCCTGTCTCTCTGCCCATTCAGTGCTGGGAAGAGGGAGGTTGTCACCAACAGAGTGGGGCTCATGTTGCTCCATCTTTGGCGGAAAGTGGGAGATCAGCTGAGCCAAGAGAGCTGAACTGCAGGCTGACTCTGCCTAATCCAGTCCCCTTCAAGTAAGGGAGGTGGATTTAGATTGCTCTGCTATTCAAACAATATTTCTTAGCTGCCTTGGGGGGTGTTTTCTTGTTTTCTTTTTTTAAAAGGTGGGTTATAAAAATAATTATTTTAATGTATCCTCTGGCAGCATAATATCTGTGAAGGTGAACATATAGAGAGCCAGTCTGTTGACACCAGTGCAAAAGTCCAGTCCCTGGTGACATGGCTTCCTGTGACACAATTGTGGCGATGTGGCTGTGGGGAAGACAGCACAGTCTAAGTCATGTTCATCACAACATGTATATTTCCATTATTTGTTTCCACCGATTTCCCATTTGCCATGGAAAAACTGATGTCTGTCTCCAAAAGAAGCTGCCCTTTTATGCTAGAGTTCAGGTGTGTGTGTGTGTAATGTTTCCTCCTTGCATAAAAATGAAATGTGACAAAAGCACATGGGATACGAATGGTTCGCAGGAAGCACGCTTAACACATTCCTGTCCCATGCTCTTACTTTGGCTTCCTTTCCTTTGCTCCTCTCCCTCTTTTCGCTCCTCCTTCAAGAAGATATGGTGGGTTGAAGCACTTCCCTTCTCCCATTGTTATTCATGCAGTTATCATGCACTGGCTTGGTATAAACGTGCAGTATGAATGGTCACCAATATGTAATAGTACCTGAAATACTCCACTATTGACTTGACGTATTCCTCCCCCCGCATTTGTGATACATTGCCCAACATGTTTATATCTTTCAATAGGAATGGGCTGAATCCACAGCCTTTGATTTTAAGGCACAACCTGGTCTGTGTTGGGTGATAGTTGTTCCCAAGGACTATAAACTGTATCTGTGTGGCTTCAGGTTAAGCAAAGAGGCAGCAAGAGGGGGCAGGAAGGGGTTGTTTAACCTTTTCATTCTCAGCTGTTTGTCCTCTAATCACTCTACCCCAAGTTATCCCAAGAGCTCTCTGTAAAAATAATAATAATAACCTATTAGAGAGAAAAGCAGCTTAAGGGAGGGGGTGCTTTTGAGTGGATAAATTCCTTAAATGAAAGGGTATAACAGTTCCCTCTCTAGCCGACCCACAATTACTTTATCTAAGAAGAAACCCCTTGGGGGCGGGAAGGACATAAAGGAAATACGGGTCATTATTTATTTTGTTTTATTTTTGTTTTCAATCTAATTCGAAACCTGGAATTCCCTACTGTCTGCTGCCAGCCACCCCTGCCAGCTCTCTATCTCATATATTTTTGGTCTTTGTGAACACTGAAATTCTTAATTTGAAAATGTGATGGCAAAATAATAATGTGCTACAAGCAAGTTTATAAGCACATAGAAGCTAAATATAGCTGTGTTTTAACACCCACAATTGCAAGCACAAAATTATTATCAAGCTGAAGGTAACTGCATTAGAACACTGCAGACTGAGGCTGCAATCCTAAAACTGGGTTGGAGGTGGAGGGAGAGGAAGAAACAAAGGCTTGCCGAATGCTCATATATAATGTTTTTTCCCGTTAGCAACAATGAGAGTAGGGATATGGGATAAATTCAATTCTGTTCACATTTAAAGGCGAGCCGACCTGATTTGCACCTTCCAAAACAATGCACACACCCAAATACAGCCATCCTTCAAAATTTGCACTTTTCCAGATTTTGCAATGCACGTCTACAGCCAAGGGATATGTATAAAAATGCATAAGCTAGGGGAAAGTGCATAAAATGTATGCATTTGTGACAATAACATTCCAAAATGTGTTATATTAGGAGGAATGGCCTTTGCAAAAATGAATGCATTAGGCAAACTCACTTACAAACATCATATATTCGGAGACATTCCTTGATGAATTTTCACAAAGACTTCTTTTCCCCCCTTTTTTTAAAAATGCAAACTGATGTGGAAGTCCAAATTTAAGACTGGAAAAAATGAGAAAGTGAGAGGAACATCCTTACATGAGAGGGAAATAAAGGAGATGCAAGCTGTTCCCTGGTCCTCCCCCAGCATGCCCCCAATTTGCCCAGGCACAGCCATTTCTGGGCCTTGCTGACATAGGTCTGGCTTCTGACATTCACTGATCTCTCTCTCTGAAGTTAGTCATCTTACTTTGCCCTGATGCTTCCTGTGGTCACTGGGACATCCTGGGTCTAAGAGCATACATTCTGTCACCCTTCAGTTCATCAAGACAATATGCATGTTGTATCACTGCCATGAGAAATTGGGGTTCTCCAGCTCACAGTTAATTTCCAATGTGACCTTCAGGACCGAACATGTTGTGGTGCGGGGGCAATGGATGGAACAGTAGCTCCACTCCAACCTTCCAAAGATTGCCACTTAAAACTGCTGAGTTGTATAAAGGTCAGAAAGTGACATAATGGACACTGCGGTGATAGTATTAAAGTTGCATTATATGTCACAATACATCTGTAAAAAGAGAAGATAATATAAAAAGAATCCAGGATGGGTTGGTTGTTTTTTTAAGTAACGCTACAGAGCTATGAAATGCTATACTAAAACATTACAATGGCAAAGTGAGGAACACTATAACACTCACAATCTCCTGGAATGCTGACAAGTAGCTTGAAAATTCTGAACTGGATCATCGTAGATGATACAGATGATGTAAACCCTCTTGGGTGTCCTGATTCACTTAAGGTACTTTATTTGAATAACTTCACAAGGCATGAAATATGTAACTCCGGCTCAGAAAGCTCTACCACAAAATGACAGTCCCAAGAAGCTGTTGCTTCAGGCAGCGTATTCCACAGGGGATGCTATTTTCTTGTCTCTGGACTTCCTTTCTGTGTGTCACTTAAAAAGAAAACAGCACGGGAGGGAGCCATTTTGAGATTTTGCTTCAGGTGGGAAAACATCCAAGGCCAAGACTTGCCTGCAGTTCATTGCAGCTGGATGAATGAGCCTGGGCTGCGTACCTACCATTAACTTAAAGCACCTTGCTTCTTTCAAAGAACCCTGGGAACTGTAGTTTGCCCCTTGCGGAGCCATAGTTACCAGCACCCTTCACAAAATTCTGTGAGGGACAAACTACAGCTTCCATGATTCTTTGGTGGGGGAAGCCAGGTGCTTTAAATGTATGGTGGGTATGGAGCCATGTTCCCATAAGAAGTATGGCAAATGAGACACACACTACAGTTGCTGTCCAATGAGGACAACTTCTTCTGATGGAGTGGCTTCTTGCCAGGAAGTGTCAGGCTCCACTTCACTGCAGAGTTAAGGGAGAAAAGGGACAAAGGTGTGGTCATGGATTAACAGACATATAAATTAAACACTTACAGTGGCAGGGATGGCTGAGATATTACTGCTCTCAGTGATACAAAATAATGGAAGATCATGTTTGCATCTTGGTACCATCTCCCAGTCGGGGCTGAGTGATTGCTTCCAGGTTACCTGCTTATACAGTATGTCTCTTCCTTGTTTGCTTGCACAAATTTTGTGGGAAACTTGTGTGATGATTGCTATTCTCTGAGCTTTTGCTCTGATTTGTTTGATGTTGCGCCAAGCTATGTTGATCCCACACTTTCCAGTGCATCTTCCAATTACTTTCCCTACCCCAGAAGGTCCGATTTGTTTGTTTATTTAAAAGTAGGTTTGTTGCACAAGAACACCAAATCCACTTTAATTGCACAACCCGAATTTGCCAGTGTGTGACCGAATTGCCCTCACAAAATTGCAACATTCTGGAACCAGCAAGATTTAGCGCTCTGAAACAGTAACATTAATGCTATTACCATCGTCATTGCAATGTGGGAAATTCTGAACTGCAGGCTGGTATTATGATGGTTCATCAAACTGGCTTCAGATTCTTCTTCTACTACTATCTAGAAGCACCTTCACTGTTCTCAGTGCAGGTGGATAGCACATTTGCTGTTCTTAAAATGGAACTGGGTCTCCCAGCCACATTGTCGTCATCCCCTTATCTACACTGCGTGTTAAGTGAGGACAAGAGGAAGTCTATGACGGTGGAATGGCTGATCAAACAGGAAAGGGTCTTTGGAAAGGAGCCACAGATGAGATGTACATAGAAATCCCAAGGGAGGAAGCTTCACAGCTGGTCCCATGTCCTCCCCCTGCAGCTCAGAGTGTGGTGCTAAAAAGCAGGAGGCATGGCAGTGAAGGTCAATTGCCTTATGTGCCTTTACTGAGATGCTGGGTAAAAAGAATAGAATTGTACTGAAAGAACATGAAAGCCTTTGTACTCCCAGGAGCGAGCACATGTGCTCACTAGCATTCTAGCTGCCATTTCCATCTTGTTAGTTATATGACTATCTGAGTTGATTCAGAACCTGGTTGTGTCACACAGGATTGCTGGTGGATGCGCCATGAATCTCATAGCTTATTTAATAAAGGTTGGGGTCAGACTCAGAGCAGAGGTCCCCAGACTGCTATGATCCATCTCTCTGATGTAGCCTGAAATGGCATTGTTGACCATTTCCTCCTTGCTTTCATTCTCAATATTCTTCAGCAACTGCAAGCCATTGGGACAGGTGTCACCAATTTCTGTGCCACCACCTCTTCTTCCCTCTTTCCCTCCCTCAAACCACAGACATCACCACAGCATTGGCTTTTTGAAAACAATAGTTGAGATTATTTTTTAAAGATGGTTTTGAGAAATACCGGGCCCTAGGAAGCTGTTATGGATCTCTGATCACTTTTTACAAGTGCCACATCATGCTCATTCCACTCCTGCGAGGAGCCTGTCAGGGAAGCTGTAGTGGCAAGTTGCCAGCACTGGCAGGGATTTGGACTAGAGGACTCTATGCCTCTCTCAGTTAGACAGCTAGTCTTCTTCAGTTTGTGCTGAGCCCAAGTTTCACACTGTCAAATTTGTCGCAACTCAGTGGCTTCGCACTGGAATCTCCCTGCAAAACTTTTTGTTGATGTGTTGGTGATTTTTATATTCTGCTGGAGGGTGTCCTGGAAGAGAAAGAATGTCTTTGGAGGAAATTTACAACGCAATATAGGCTTTCCCTTAAAGAAATCTTTCTTTCTTCCCCTCCGTCTCACTGAAGAGCTTTAAATTAGTAATTCCATTTCTCTGCTGCTGGTACATTGAAGGGGTTGAACCACTGATAAAAATACCCTGGAAAGATTCCAAGCAGCACAGAAGGCAAGAAAATGAAAAACATATTAAATGCATAAAAGTTAGACAAGCTCTGAGTGGGTGGAATCGGTGGCAGTAACAACCCACAGCATACCTGGCAGCTCTGTAGAACATCCTACTCTTTCTTTCTTTCTTTCTTTCTTTCTTTCTTTCTTTCTTTCTTTCTTTCTTCCCCCACCTCCCCATCCCCACCACCATGACATTTTTAAGCAACAACACATAATTTAAACAATGCTAACTTAATTGAGATTGTCCTGAGTCCTCAAACACTGATGCAAGGAGGTGGAGTTGCAGAGGATGTGTACAAATTCCTCCAGCAACTAACCTCCCCTTCCCAGGACAAAACAAAAACAATCTGCTCTCCTGGTCTCCACTTTTCATCTCCAGCTGTCACAAGAGCTAATTTAAATAGCACTGATGATCCCAACATGGATTGGGGTGGGGAATATTTCTCAGTCTGAGAGACACATTGCCACACACACTCACACACATAGAATCAGAATGGTAGAGTTGGAAGGGACCACGTGGGTCGCATCTAGTCCACCCATTGCCATGCAAGAATCTTTTGCTCAATGTGTGGCTTGCACCCATGACCCTGGGATTAAGAGTCTCATGCTCTACCAACTGAGCTATCCAGGCAGAAATGCATCTTTCCGTCCTGGCAAGCAAGAGGCATTACCATAGTTCAAGGACACATTCTAGCCAGGCAAAAGCGCTTGAGGAAGACATGGAGCAATCTTGTGAAGGGTGTGGCTTGGTGGGCAGCCGGCCTAGGTCAGAGTCCCAAGGGCTGTATAGAGAGACCTGGAGGGCCACAATCCCGCCCCCCTGCCCTTCAGATTTGTGGCTTCCCACCAGGGCTGTACAACCAAGTGAGTAATGGGCTTCCTCAGGTCTCGCTATCATTCTTTCCTGACTTGCTCATTTTGAGCCTTTGCTTCTCTTAATCCACAACTATGCTGTTCTCTCCTTGATTCAGCTGTGGTGCTCTGGCAAGGTAGGAAAGGTAAACGTTCACATTACTTTTCAAGGGTGTGTCAGGAGAAGGAATCATTGGGCAGCTGCCAAGGCCTGCTACTACCACAAGTTCTTTGCAATCTCCTGTTGGTGAAACCTGCATATGATTTAGTCTTTTGAATGACCTCCTTCGTGTCTTTGCGTATCAAGCTACCTCATAGGAGGCATGTCCAATTTATGCCAGTGTGGTGTAGTGGTTAAGAGTGGTAGATTCATAATCTGGTCAACCGGGTTCACGTCTCTGCTCCTCCACATGCAGCTGCTGGGTGACCTTGGGCTAGTCACACTTCTCTGAAGTCTCTCAGCCCCACTCACCTCACAGAGTGTTTGTTGTGGGGGAGGAAGGGAAAGGAGAATGTTAGCCGCTTTGAGACTCCTTAGGGTAGTGATAAAGCGGGATATCAAATCCAAACTCTTCTTCTTCTGTTCTACAGTGGTACCTCAGGTTACATACGCTTCAGGTTACAGACTCCGCTAACCCAGAAATAGTGCTTCAGGTTAAGAACTTTCCTTCAGGATGAGAACAGAAATCGTGCTCCGGCGGTGCGGCAGCAGCAGGAGGCCCCATTAGCTAAAGTGGTGCTTCAGGTTAAGAACAGATTCAGGTTAAGTACGGACCTCCGGAACAAATTAAGTACTTAACCCGAGGTATCACTGTATTTATTCATGCCTGTGAATCTTTCTTTCGAAAAGAATGTCTTTTTATGGCACCCCTTTCTCCCCCTCTAAATTTAGTAAGTGCCCTTACAGCGTATAGTTCTGTGGAACTCTTGGTTATTTACTAATGGTCCCCCAGAGCCCCCTGGCCACCTTTTGGCAATTTTCTCCTCCTTCTTTGAGGTTTTACCTTTGAATAAACTCACTTGTTGGAGGCAAATGCTGTTAAAACCTGTCATGAATGGATTTGGCAAACTGCAGGTCAAAAGAAAAGGAAAGGAGATGGAAATACTTTAAATTCCCAAGAATATCTCTCATCACGCAAGCATCAAAGGCGGTGGGTTATTATCTTTCCCAATGCATAATCTATGAGTACATGTAGCAATGGTGACAGCTAGATGGACAATGGAGAAGCCAGGCTTTGTTCTCAAATGACTTGTGTAAAATTAAGAGTTGTCAGACCTCTGGCTTCGGGGAATGGCTAAGAAACAGCATGTGCATGGTGCAAGCAAAAGGTATATCTGCTTTAGTCATCCTTTGTAGACACACCTGCAGTTCTTTTATCGCTGCAAATCCCAAAGTATCTGTGAATCTATAGCTTTATCTTGTCAAGAGGAGAAAAGAAAAGGCCACATCCAGCCTACAACATTATCTAATCTGTGTATTATTTTCTCCCTAGTAGTAACTAACAGCTTATTAACTTGCACCTCAACATAGCTTAGCCTGGCTTCTCCCCGCCAGCTCCCTGTTTTGTATTGTGTAGAGCAATTTATAACTTCATGCCTGGGCAAATGAAAATGGAGCTGGTGCCTGCTGACACAGCCCAGCTATGCCAATGGAAAGGCGATAGGGGAATGGTTCCATAGGTTAGAAGACCCAGTTCTGATCATAGTTTTCTGTAACAAATTTCCTGAACGATCTTGGCGGTGTAATATTATCAAATCCCCAGTGGTTCCCTTATACCAGAGGCTGAAATAATAAAAGGCTATGAGATCACAGATAGATGCCAGTGAAATTCACATGTAACATTCACAATGGAGGGAGTGCATGCTCATAGAACTGAACAAAGTTCTCTTGGAACCCCAACTTGGCTCGAGCCTTCTGTGGTGGGAAAACCTACTGGGTAGGGATAATGGGATAGAAGAATTCTCTTTAGTCCTGGTACGTTTCATCCTATCAGAAAATTATTGCAGTGAGAAGTTCAGGGTGTGTATGGGGTAGTCAACACTGCTGGACTATAACTCCCATCATCCCTGACCATCAGCCGTGTTGGCTGGGGCTGATGAGAGTTGTAGTCCAACAACATCTGAAAGGTGCCATGTTGACTACCCCTGTTTTATGACCTGGCCAAGGATGGGGTCTGACCATTATCTGGGGTAGTTGAGCTGCCTGGTTTTGCCTTGCCCACCATTGACTTACTCAGACTCCTTCTCTCCTTGTGCTTTTCTCTTGAGATGTGTGGCATAGCAAGTTTCCTTCCCAAGCAATCTCCTTGGACAGATCTTGAAGCAGTCAGACCTGAAGAGTTTCAGAGCACCTGCTTAATATTACTAGATTGGCTAGAAGAGAACAGGAGAGATGAGGACCACCACACTTGCTAACATTTCTATTTAGTTTGCAAGATGCAGGATCAATATTCCACTGTTGGTGTCGGTTGCCCGATACGTCTTTTTGTCATTTGTTAATTCTGTTTTCTAAGAGGTTCTATTTGATTTGCAGTTGATGTTAGCCACCATGGGGATCTATTAGATGGAAGGGTGGACTACAAACATATAAACCAATCAATACGTTTTGTATTAGTTCTGCCTTGCTGTCAGGAGTCAATTGTTTCCTGTGATTGTGTCTCTTTCTGCAGCATGAAGTGGGATTTCCTGTTGGTTGGTTCTAAACCAGCCAGTGTTTAATGTGAGCATCTCCTATGGGAGCAATAAGGAGAGGGGTCAGGAAGGAATATGTTTTCCATATTCTTTTGGAAACCTAAACACATGACCACACCATGTCTGCCGTGCACTCACTTTTCCTGTACACAAGTGCTATCCATGCAGTAAACTTGCCATGTTTAAAGCAGTCATTAGGGCAGAGCCACACCACACATTAGTTCCCATGATTCTCTGGGGGAAGCAGATGTGTCTTAAATATATGGTGTAGATCTGCCCTTATAGAGCATGAAGACTGCTTGAAGGTTTGTGTTAAAGCCCTATGGTTACAGAAGTTCCAGGGGCAATGGTTATCTGAGTTTGGTTTCCCTCAGTCCAAGGGCCTGATCCAGCTTCCAAGTAAACTTTCCCCCTCCGTAATCCCAACAATTCAGGCGGTGGTGTCAAAAAGAGAAAATAAATAAAACAGACACATCATGCTGTGATTCCCTCAGTGTGTGTGCCCGCACACAAGGGTTTGCAAGTGAGAATGGGGGTGGTCAAACACACTTGTGATTTATTTATTTATATTTATATTCCACTTTCCCTCAAAGGAGCTCAAAGTGGCCATAATAATTCTGTGGGGATTGGCCCATGGTGAGCCAGTGAGCTTCATGGCTAAGTGAGGTTTTGAACCCTGGTCTCCCAGGTGTTAGTCTTCTAACTGCTACACCACACTGGTTTACAGCTTACTGCTCCAGGGAAGAGGCAGCGAATGAAATGATTTAACCCCCTCAGTCCATATGAAAATCCCCCACCCTCTCCCTACATATGCTGTTAACTTTTTAAAAACTTGACAGTGACAGGCTTCCTACTTACACCTTTAGTGTCACATCTAGTATGGTGCTAAAACTGCAGGTTGTTTTGTTTCTTTTCACTCATATCTTCCTGGCATCATTCTTAAATGGGAAGCGTGCAAGGCATGGCACAAAACATCCAGGAACTTCCAGCTTTATTTCCTTAGGAACTGAGAGAGATCATCTCCTGGCCACTTAGCTAGAAATCTCCCCAACAAAAGGAAGGTATAGGCAGACCTGCCCAGAAGTTTTGTCCAACTGAAGTGGCTCTTGTTACCCCATTATTAACCCCCTCCTGCTTAAACTTAAAACAACAGTTGAATGAATCTTTTGGGATCGGCGATGTCTGCATGAAATGTTTCATGGAAGTTTTTTCCTCTCTTTGGAAAGATTAATAATAATAATAATAATTTATACCCTGCCCATCTGGCTTGGTTTCCCAAAAAAGGCATTTAAGCCATATTTGTATTATGAGAATACTGAATAATGAGAGAAAATGTCAGCCTTTTATGAGAGCACAAAAATCCCACCCTCCTATCACAGTTCCACATTTCTATTTGCCAACGTTCTGCTTGGTTTGAGGGGAATGGTGTATATATATAAAATAGCTTTTTAAATAGATGCAGTTGTTTTATATGTGCTTTTATTGTATTGTGAAATCACTCTGAGATACATCATAGAAAGCAATTCATAAGTGAAGTTAATCATCATTATCACCCTGCAATCTATAATTCAGGATGTAGTAAAAGAGGGCAGCAACCATTGCCAGGCACTGACTTTGCTCACCGCCAGCTATGAACTTTGAGGGTAGACTTCAGTCACAGAACCCAAGACTTTGAGATGCAAGTTCCAAGATATTATGTGATCCTTGGAGCACCTGAAGGAGAGACACAATGCCCTGGCTTTCTTCTTTTTCTTTCCTTCAGTGGTCCTTAGAGTCTTCTTTCCTATCCTCTGCTTCCTACCCTCCTATCCTCTACATTCACCCTTTCCCCTCTTCTCCCTCCTTTCATTTTTAGTGATATGTTTGTGTGTGTAAATCACTCTCTGTCTGTGCTAGGGTCCTACATTCTCATCATATTCCTTATGAAGGAAGGAGCTGGTGCCCGTATTAACGAAAGTGTTAATTCTCCATTAGCAACACTTCCTGCACTCAGAATAATCAGGGCACTTGCTGCAGTCAGAATAATCTAATATAGGGTACATATACACCATACAGTTAAAGGCTATGACTTCCCCCAAAGAATCCTGGAAACTGTAGTTTCCCCCTCACAGACTGACAGTTTTCAGCACCCTTAACCAACTGCAGTCCCCAGGATTCTTTGGGGGAAGTCATCAGTAGAGCATTTGACTCTTAATTTCAGGGTCGTGGGTTCAAGCCCCATGTTGGGCAAAAGATTCCCAACTAGATGATCCTTGTGGTCCCTTCCAACTCTATGACCTGTGTCCTTTAAATGTGCTTGAAAGGTACGGTGTTTATACAGCCTATTTGTGGAAGGCAGGTTTTAACATCAGTTCCCTTATATAGTGGTCAACCTAATCAGAAATAATTGAATATGTCATCTTCTGCTCAAAGAAACTTCACAGGACCCTCACTTCTTGTTGTTGTTTAGTCGTTTAGTTGTGTCCAACTCTTCATGACCCCGTGGACGCCAGGCACTCCTGTCTTCCACTGCCTCCTGCAGTTTGGTCAAACTCATGTTCGTAGTTTCGAGAACACTGTCCAACCAGCTCGTCCTCTGTCGTCCCCTTCTCCTCGTGCCCTCCATCTTTCCCAACATCAGGGTCTTTTCCAGGGAGTCTTCTCTTCATAATTCAAAATTATGGTGCTGAATTTGAATTAAGGACCCTCACTAGAAACGGCAAAATCCCCGACAAGTAGCATGATTCTGACCCCAGCTGTGAGCCCAAAAGCCTAAAGGGGAACTGGGAGAATCCTTTGCCTGGGCAAGCCATCCTGCTTCCCCCTTGTGCCACCGTCCTCAGTAGGAATGTCAGCGGTTGGCCTGTAAACTTTTTATAACTGCCCTTTGTTTCTGATGTTTCCTCTTGCCAGATGTATGAAATCATGGGAGTTTCAGAAAAGTTGCTCATAGGAAATGGCTCACCCAAAGAAAATGCATTCTGTGTCCTTCCACATCCTTTCTGGAACGTTGCTAATAGCCACTTATGCCATGACCCATGGCCAGACAGTTTTTAAAAGCTGGCAGCTCCCCACCTCCCCTAGACAGTTAAGGTGAGTTAGGAGGAACCCAAGCGGCCTATATTTCATGCTTTTATGAGATGCTAAGTGGACTCTGTTCTAGGAAGCCGTTGGCTAATTAGCTTGAATCCCTGATTGGTTAGGAATCATACGAAAGGCCCCAAATGATGCAAATTTATTATCGGAGGCTGCCATCTTGTGTTTAAGTTCAAACAAAATTATTAGGCCGGCACTGTGCATCTGCTGTGCAAGAGGTGAGCCTCCCGCAGTGTTCAGAGACAACAGTTTATTTTTCTAATTTTTGTGATAACCCGGCTCATTGTGCTTAGCCAAGCCTCTGTAGAAAAGGGGAGATCTGTGAGACAGTTTCGAGCTGGCCAACTTCCTGCTTGGAGCATGTTTGTACAGGGTGTTTTAAACCAAGTGAACTGCAACCTGAAACCATTTGAAGTCTTTCAATAAATTCCTTTTGCATGCAGTCATTTACAATCACAAAGCAAAGCTGCGTACAAAACAGGGACACAATCTCCCAGTGACTTTTTTCCTTGCAAAAATTGATCTTGAAAATAAAGAGAGTAGAATGCCTGGGATTTTTCCATTGTAAAAAAAAAAGGGGGGGGGAGAGCATTAGAATGTCTTTGCTGGAAGGCAGTTATACACATATGCACTGGTCCTGGGAGCAGGGACTTGAGGTGTGAGGGAAGGTCCACATAATTCACTAAGGAGAGTGAAAAAATTGTATGCAAGGTTGGGATGGGGAAATAGTTCCCAATTCTTGCAATCAATGATTAACTTCCAAGCCCTCCCAAATAATGGGATGACTGCCCACTCTGTTGTATGTCTGCTTTAATTACATTAAACTTCATTGATAGGAAAGGCCAGAATAGCTTCAATTTACTTTGGTTGGCATTTACCTGAAAATCATATGTATGCTGTCCTGTGGACCCTTGCTCTATATCTGATATATTTATAAGACAGATTTTAAGGCTGGGTACCTGATATATAGTAGGAATACATAAACCATCCACATAGTGCTTAAGTTGAATTTTCTGAAAAGTGGAAGGAAAACAATGTGGACTGTTATTGTTGCTCTCGTTGTTGCTGCTCTTGTTTGTTGCTTTCATTATTCCTTCTCAAACCCATTTAGAAACCCAGTCCCCCAAAGTTCTAAACAGTGATACAGAGTGATCCGAAGTGCACTTGAAAAACACCCCAGCATTTTCTGCCCTCTGACACAGTGGGTCACGGTGAAGTCTACAGTATTATGAAGAGCATCATCAAAACCCAGTATTTCTGTAGGGTTACCAGATGTCCCCAGTTTCCAGGGACGGTCCCCGGATTTGCAAATCTGTCCCTGGACAAATTCTGTCCCTGGAATGTCCCTAGATTTGCAAATCTGTCCCTGGGAAACGTGGCCGCGGCAGCCTCAGCAGCCCAGAGCCAGTCTGGTAGCGCAGTTGGCTCTGGCTGGCTTCAGGAGCTGCTCGCTGCCGTGGCGCCCACCATTTTTCCTCGCCGGAAGTCCCCATATGATGTGTCTTGTGCTCTGGGCTGCTGACTGCCGCTGCCACCACCACTGCCAAAGGGGAACCGGGGGCGTCCGGCGGTACAGATCTCCTGTGCCCTTCCCCCTTTGTTTTGACTGATTGGGAGAGGCTTGGGAGTTGCCCAGTTTTTTAAAAAAACTCTGCGCATTTGTTCCTCAGGGTGTGAAATAAGGGCTTTGCACCTTTATACAATATGCATGTGTGCTTAGACCCAGGGTCTTTTGCCTCACCATCCCCACTACTGACTCCCTGTTGCTACTCAGCTTCAAAAAATAAAATTAAAAAAAATGTCCCCAGATTCATTGAAAAAAAATCTGGTAACCATAGGATAGGGGAAAGGGCTTCTGTATTCTAAACAACTATTTTTGCCACCTGCAGCATAACTAGCAATCGTTCTGCAGGAATGAAGAAGGCTGCCTCCAGGCTGCCAGTATTTTATGGGATTCAACTGCATACCAGAAATTTAGGCTAGAGCAATTAAAGTGAGTTAAAAGCACTCTCTTGCCCTAGTGCAACGAATCTTGCTGTTGTCCCCTAGCAACTGGTATTCAGAGTGTACAACAGGGTACTGCTGTCCACTTTTTATTATTAATAGCAATAATTATGCAGCTATTACTGGCATTTAAAACAATGACAACCATATTCATTTTGGCCAACTATGACTAGTATGTCACTTTTTAATTTTATGTTATGATTACAACTTAGTGTCAATGGCAGTTATCTGCCGAAATACATGAGCATATAAAAAAAAGTCTTGACAACTATTTACTTTTGTGGCTTGTGATTTTGTTGGCTTTGAGTTACTGCTTTCTGTATATGCTTTACGGGTGCTTTTTTCTGGGTTATGACCAACAAGTTTTAGTTTAATCATATTCCAGTTGGGTGGATGTGTAGTATGTATGTGTGTTTTCTGGGACTCTTTGATTCTTGAGTTAACACTGTTCTCTGTATCCTTTCTCTTCCTCAGGTGTTTCAAGAAGTGCCAGCCTTTCTGAGAAAGAGCTGAAGGAAGCGAAAGCCAGGAGCCAGAGAATTGCTGCTCAGCTGACAACCCCACCCAGCTCCAACTCCAAAGGGGTCCTTCTGTTTCACCGGCGCAAGCAGCGGGTGAATGCTTTTACCTTAGAAGCCCCCAAGACAACAAGCGCGAAGCAAGCAGGGGCCGAACACATCCCCAGAGCTACTCCTAAGCACCAAAGCAGCCCAAGACATGGGAAAGAGCCCCATTTGAAGCAGGCCTCAATAGACATCAGAGCATCGGAAGGATTATCCCGTGCCAAGAACTCTGAGTTGCGGGGGCAAAAAGGCAGCATGGAAAAATACCAGAAAAGCCTGGCTCTGGAGCAGACTCTAGATAACACACAGGGCTCTCAAAGGCATAAAATAAGAAGTGAGGAGGCCATTTCCACAATCCACACCACGTTGTCCTCTGAGGAAATCCCGGCTGAAGACTTTGAGCAAATCCCTCTCAGCGTGTACCTGAAGGAAACTACGGGGACAGCCTCCACCAATGGAATGCATGAACTTATCGCCAACGAGTTTGAAAAGGCACTAGTTACTGAGCAAGTGCCAGTTGTTGACAATACGGAAAAAATATTGCCTATTTTTGATGCTGTCCCTGTCGCTGACAGGGAGAATAACAGCACCATTCTTGAACAGGCGCCATGCGTACTGCATACAGACAGGGAAAACAATGTTCTCGATAAAGAACCATATTTGCCAAATATTGACAGCAAGAATAACAACAACAACATCCCTGACAAGGTGCTGTATGCACCTGTTCTCGATCAGGAAAACAATATTTTTCTTGACAAGCCAATGAGTGAACCAGTGATTGACAGGAAGGAGAACGGAGAGATTCTTAACAAGGAGCCGGATGTACCAATCATTGAGGACAAGGACGTTTTGCCTGCTGCTGAGGAAGAGAAACCCATGCTAGCTACCGACACGCAGCCCAGCGAGACTGTGACACACACTAATAAGCAGTACTGTGAAGTACGCCTGACTTTGTCTAAGCCGTTGCCTGTGAAGAACCGAACTGCAAGACCATTTGGGACTCGACTGCTGGCTGCAGCTCAGGCACCAGCAGAGAAGAGTCCTGTGGCTGAGTTTCCTCCTCCACCTACTTATGCAGAGACGTTTTCCAGCCCTCCGCCAGTAACGAGGGTCAGGTCACCTCCGGCCTACTCAGCGCTGTATCCTACTGAAGAGCACAAAGCTCCTGTTCCCCATGAGGTTACGTATGTGGACAGCAGACCAGGACCTCTTCCTGAAGGAGAGGACAGGGAGTCACCAGCAACCAAAACAGGCCTTCTGGAGGAGTCCGTAGCCCGCAGAGCAACAAAGAAGTCCATGTTCACCTTTGTCGAGAAGCCCAAAGTGGCTCCTAATCCAGATCTCTTGAATTTAGTCCAGAGAGCAGATAACAGGAAAAAGGGGAGAGGACAAGGAGGAGCATCCAGTCTGGAAGAGGAGCCATTTGCTCTGGGCGCGGAGGCCTCTAACTTCCTGCCTGAAAACAGATCAATAGAAGGACCAGCCCAGGCTCCTGCAGATAATGCCCCAGAGTGGTCTTCGTGTTTAAGGTCACCAACAATACAACCCAAGCCGATGATCAAATCCAACCAAAGCCTATCAGAGGCGAGAGGAAAGGGGGCAGAACTATTTGCCAGAAGGCAGTCGAGGATGCAGAAGTATGTCATTGAGTCTCCATCGCACCCAGACATAGGCAGGTCACCTTCTCCTACCATGTCCCTCCCTCCCTCCTGGAAATACGCTTCAGAAACTCATCTCTCCCCAGTCACATTCCAGGCCCCTCCCAAAAGCCCAGCCAGATCTCCCAAAGCTCCTCCTCCGCCTTTGTACAACAGCAACATGTCGGAGAGCGAGATTTCCAAAAAGGAGCTGGAGATCTCCAAGCAGCAGCCTTACCAGCTTCAGTCCTCCTTGTTCATCCTTTCCCCAGCCAAAGACCCCGTGAGGTCCTTACCAAAAGGGGCACCGCCGCCCAAGCCTGTGGTTGCTGAGCCCATGTATATGAGACAGGCCTCTTGCCCAACATCTCCCTTGCCTCCTTCTCCTGTTTTTCATCCACTTGCCCAGTTCAGCCAGGGCAGACCATATCCTGCTCCTTTCGCCCCGTCACCCGGGACTTCGCTTGCCCCTCAGAATGTCCAGACAAGCATGGAAGCATCGCAGGAGCCGCCTTTTGAATACCCTTCCAGAATTTTGTCGCCGAGAGCAAAAGGAGTCTTCCAAGCTCCAAGGCCTTCTTATTCCACCAAGAATGCTGGAATTGAGCCTCAGGTGTGGAGACCTTTTTACTACAAGTAATGGTATCTGTACAGGGGTTTGGGCAAATGGCCAGTGTCATCGTTAGCTGCTGATTGGTGGTATGCAAAAAAAAGGCAAAAAAAGCAAAATGAAGACAGCTTGCAGGTTACAAATCCAATAGGATTTGCATACAATATAGCCGTATCTCAAACTCCAATGGGCCAGACAACGTTTACACTAAGGAAACTGAGCTCAAGTGAGCAGACAGGTGCTCCCCTCAGGCATTTCTGCAGCTAAGGTCTGCGATGGAAGCCCAGTTTAACATAATCCTGGGATGCCTTGGCTGTCCTAGCAGAACTTGTGCAATCGGATCCATACATTTGTGCAGATTTAAGTTCCAAAGGGAGCTAAAGAGTGTGTGAATGCAGTGACCAGTAGGAGCATAAAAGTAGTCCAAGCATAGGAGTCCTAGAAGATTGTTAGCAGAAGCTTGACTGAAACAGGAGGAGCGTCTGGTGCCTTCTTTCTTCTGCTGCCCAGAAACTTTATGGAGCATCAAATCTCTGGCTTCATCTCTCCGCCTTGCCTTCTGAATTTCTTCCTTGCTCTGCAAGACTTTTGTTTCTCTGTTCTCTATGCATCCGGAGACTTTAGCATGACCTGCTTGCAACCTCTACTCTCTGCTGATGCCAAAAGGCACGTGCTCCTTTCCCCACTCGAACATCTTTGATTTCGGACAATGTCACTTCCACTGATACCTGTTTCTGCTTCCCATATGTTTCTGCTTTGTATATTTCCCCACTCTCTACTTTTCTTTCGTTGTCTCCTTTAGACAACAACACTGAGAATCACTTCAGGGTGAAGAGAAGATGCAAACAGCCTCTAAGCACCCCATTTGTACTGCACAGCAATGCTGATGTACTTACCCTGTTTTGCTGATCTGGAAAGCCACACACTAGCCAGCCCACCCCACCCATCATGAAGGGTCTAGGCTAAAGACGCACTTGAAATTATTCCTTTGGTGGCCAAAGAGGTTTTTGCAGGTGTGCTGCTGTTATCTTACACAAAGAAATCTGTACCCAGACATATTTAGGATAATATTCTTATTAAAGTTGGCAAAAGCAGGCTTCTAAACAACTGTGGCACAGGCATACATATAGCTCAGTGCCACTGTTTAGCCCTGGGTGAATATCATAGTGAAGTTTTATACAGCAAACAATAGGATGATTGTGAAGATTGAATATCAGTAGCATTTCTCAAAGTGACTCTGCAGTTGTCCCACAGCAGAGGCAAAATTGTCCACCCTAGCAAATACTAACAGAAATCAGGGGTGTACGGGATATGATCCCAAGGTGCAGTATCTTCTGCATAAAAATGTGATTGTTTAATTGTTTAGTTTTAACAAATATGTTTCTGGCCCTCATGGCTGTTGGACGAGGGCAGAGGAAGCACAGAATGTGCTCTGAAAAGACCAGAAGGCAAATAAAGCAAACCTCAAAGTATCTCTTTTAATTTTACTGCTCTTTCATTACCTCCCATGGATTTGATTAAGAGTACTGAGTATTTGGGGCTGACAACACCACCAACACACTGGTCAAAAAGAAGTTTAGGTACTTTCTGCATTTCTGTACTTCCCAATAACTGAAGTTCTACAGGTGGTTTATTTCTCCTGGGATTTGGATAGTAAGGAACACCCGCCCCCCGCCCCCCCACAAAGGCTAGAGGCCGGCAGTGTTTTACTTCCACACAGACTTTGAAGTCAGCTATGCAGGTCTTTCAGCATACCATCGTCCATGGGGGTCTATGGTCTGGTATTGTGCAGAGTAATCAAGCACCTGTCATTTTCTTTCAAAAGAGACACACCAGGCACTACATAATACAGCTGACAACCTGGGGTAGCATTAAGACCACAAGGAGCCATGCATTAGTTGCAAAACTGAGAGGCCAATAAAGTCCTGCATACAGAACGTACAAGTGGATTTCATTTGTTCATTAATTTTGGCATTAAGAAGTGTCTCTTGAAGGAAGCTAACTACAGACTGCCCTTTGAGAATAGACAAGCGCCATAAAACCAGGTGCTCATGTTGAGCAACCAAACCTCCATTAAATCTAACGTGTAGTACTTTATAGTCAGTCTCTCCCCAGTCCCATGACAGTTTGGATCAACCAGCTCAAATAAATTTAAAAAGTAGATGCAGTGTATTTACTCAACCCATTGCCATGAAAGGACACAATCTAGTTCTCTCTCTGTCTCTCTCTGTCTCTGTCTTTTCTTTGTGATCCCACAAGGCTGCCAGACAAATCCTTCTGTGAGGATATAACTGAAGGGAGTTAAAAAAATCAAGCATTTCCAGAATCACCAATCAGACACGTGAGCCAACAACCTCCATTGGCTGGTTGCACTAAATGCAAATCCCACATGACAGTGTTTGTTCAGTTCCACATCTTCACCCCTGGCCAAAATTAGTACCGTGCATCAAAGCTTCATACAAGTGAAAATTCCCATTACAAGCTTGAGCCCTGGGTTTGGCTCCAGACTCAGTCATACTAAGAGTGGGCCCATTGAAACCAGTAGCTAATTTTTAAGTCCATTGATTTCAAGGGGTCTCCTCGAAGCAGGACTAAAATCTGGATTCAGCCCTAGAGTCGAGTGCGCCAATTGCTGTAGGCTACATTCCAGCAGAGCTAACTAGCTGGCAATTGTAGGCCATGTCCCCAGTAGGAGAACATATGGAGAAGCTCTGTAATTCTAGGGAATTTATAGGGCAAATGCCTGTGGAGGAGCAGTAGACATAGGTTGGAGAAGATGGGATAGTTACAGGGATGGCAGGAAAATTACAGGATAAGTGCTATGGGATAGCTGGGTATTTATAGAGCAAAGGCTTCTGCCATCAACTCTGAAGTTACATGTCCACATAGGGTACTGCTGTTTATGGCCACAGATATCTGCAGTGTAGTTCAGGTATAGCAGTCTTTTTTACCATTTCCTTCAGAAATGTCTGACAGAATCCTTGGGGATTTAGTTAAGATGGAAGCCTTTATGCATACTTGTGCAGATCTCTAGCCAGTTTGATAGACGTTTCCACCAATGTTGACAATTGAGTTTATTTATAAAAGTATTTCTGCCCTGCCACGTCATAAAATTCCAGGGAGGTGCTCAATGATAAACCATAAAACACCATTAAATGAAATTGCATGGAAATTGTATTGATCTGATGAGGGGCAAGTAAGGCCCTCTTCACCTCCATCCCAATTGCATTTCAATAAAATGAAAACACATGCCCTGTCAGAGGAGACCAAACCATTGCTAAGCTCTTCTGCCTTTTAAGTGTTGCAGCCTCTTCAGAAGAGAAAAACAAAACTTGGCACTGTCCATTTGCAGGTGTTCAGGTGTGCACATACTAGATTTCTCATAGTCTAGTGATGAAGAAATAAAAGACTGCTGTGTGTGACACAAACAATATTCCCTGTAAAGGCATTTTAAATGGTTCCACACAGCACAGGAGTTTGTTTTTGTTTTTTTAAACTTTCTGGTCAAGTCTGGAGAAAGTCAGACATTTGCAGGAGCAATGCTATATTCACCACGGGATGTTACCCATCTTTAGAGAAAGTGAGGGGGAATTTTGGTCTGGTTCACCATTTTATGCAAACCCGCCTAATTTGCACGTCCCAGAACAATACGAGAATCAAAATATGCTTCCGAGTTTGCACTTCGTGAATTTTGCAATGCAGTTCAACAACAACATGTGCAAGCATTATGGGAAAGCGTGAATAAAAATGCATATGTTAGTGAGGGTAACATACAAAAATGCATTATATTAGACAAGCCTGCATTCATAAATTTCTATATTAGGAGAAACGGGTGCTTAAGATGTTGATGGATTTTCATGAGAACTTTATTATTATTATTATTAATGCAGAACTGAGCTTAAAGATTGCGGAGAAGTAAATTAAAATTGGAAACTGAGAGGAATCAAGATAGATTCATTCATTCCTACCCACCACAGAGCTGCCTTCATTCATGCTAGAGGTGGCCATATAAATACCGTATTTTTCGCTCTATAGGACGCACCTTGTTTTAGAACAAGGAAAAAAAATTCTCCCCCTCTCTGCGTAGCGCCCCTTCAGCGGAGCAGCAGGAGAAACGGAGCCCCTTCCAAGGTGCGTTCAGTGCGTTCAATGTGCGTTCAGTCACCTTCAGTGAAGGCAACCCGAAGCCTCCGGAGCGCAGCGGGAGTTCCCGCTGTGCTCCAGAGGCTTCGGGTTCCTTTCAACCTTCTCTTTGGGGCTGGCGGAGGAAAGCTGCTTTCCCCCACCGCCAGCCCCAAAGAGCAGGTCGGGGAGCAGTGCAAAGGCTGTGCGCAGCCTTCCCGCTGCTCCCCGAGCTTGTGGGGCTGGCAGTGGGGAAAACCTGGGTTCCCCCCCCAGCCCCATGGACCACACATTCGCTCCATAAGACGCACATACATTTCCCCTTAGATTTTAAGAGGGGAAAAGTGCGTTTTATGGAGCAAAAAATACGGTAGGTCATGCTTATAGGATCTTCTTCTTCAGTCATGTAGCCCTGGGGAAATACAGAACTTTGCAGTTATATTACCTCCAAAGTTGCTGGCCAGTGCAGCAATGTCAGGAAGCTCAGAACCTGAGCTTTTTGCTACTGGGGCACCTGGGTGAGATTCCAGCAGCATAAATCTGGAGGGGTTTACAGTCTCTTCCTGAGGAAGGGATGGGAGAGTGACCAAAGTCTGCCTTGTAACAAAAGGCCATCGAAGGCAACGCCCTGTGAAACAAAGCAGCAAGGAAACATTCCTCAGCTCACTGCCTTCCCTCTGCTGCTGAGCAGTTGGGTTTTTAAAGTGTAATGGAAACTTTTAGGATAAGATTGCAAGATGCCTGAGTTAGGCTAGAGCAAAAACTAGGAGCAGGTTTCTCTTTCACTAGGCTAACACATCTACTGAGGGAAGTGGGTTTTATTTTTATTTATAAACCACTCTACATTTTTACATAGCATTAAAAAAAAACCCCATAAGCTCGCATTGCACTGAGGCTTTTCTTCCGAATCAGCCTAAGTATTGTGTTCCAACCACATTTTAGCCTTTGCCCGGTGTACACCCACAGCCGCAAAGGCCTGGCATCCCAGCTGCACATAATAGAGCAGATGGGGCGGGATAGACTTGCCTCTGTTGGTCCCCTTTAAAAAAAGAAAGTTTGCCTGTGCGCTCCAGCACAGGTAAGAGGGAATGCACAACCTCAAAAAGAATGGATTAAAAACCCCCAAACAAAACAGAGGGTTTGCAAAATGACAGGGTGTTGCTGCAGAGAAATGGGAGTAGCCCTGCTGAGATTCAGCACTCCCATGAAAAATAAATGTGGCTGGATGAAGTTTCTGTACTGAAACCGTACAGTGCCCTGCCTCCAAGGTAAACAAGCACAACAGAGAGTCCTGTTCAGTACTGCTACCACCTTTGCCATCACCACACAAAGTGAATGACTGAAGGCTTTTCCTCTCCTTCACCCGCTTTCCCCCAAAGCAGTGGCAGTGATGGCAATGGTAGTATTAGGGAGAACTAACTAGGTCAGAGGTGGGGAACCTGAGGTCCAGGAAGCAAATGTGGCTTCCTAAGCACTTCCTACACTCTTGGGTGTAGCCCCATGCCAGGCCTCCTCCCAAGTCACAGTTCTTCTCCACATTCTCCTCCAGGGCTTTTGCCCAGCTGGAGTGTGCCCTTGAATGGTATTGACAAGGGCTCTTGTTGCCTGGATAAGGGATATGGGAGGGGGGAATTTTGATTCAGTTCCTATTGAAAGGTCAGCCTACCTTCTTTGCACAAGTTTTCAGAACAGTACAGTGGTACCTCAGGTTACAGATGCTTCAGGTTACAGACTCCGCTAACCCAGAAATAGTACCTCAGGTTAAGAACTTTGCTTCAGGATGAGAACAGAAATCGCGGCGTGGCAGCAGCGGGAGGTCCCATTAGCTAAAGTGGTACCTCAAGTTAAGAACAGTTTCAGGTTAAGAACGGACCTCCAGAACGAATTAAGTTCTTAACCCGAGGTACCACTGTACTGAAATACAACCAATCTTCAAAATCTGCAGTTCCTCCAAATTTTGTAATGGGGTTTTTCAGCCAAGTAATGTATACCCCCCCAAAATGTGACTGCTAGATTAAAGTGTACCTAAAAATGCATGGACTTAACCATCCAGGGGTCCTTTACCTTTACCTTGTATATTATTAGTAATAATAACATTTAAAAGTATTATATTAGGGGAAATTGTTTTGCCAAAATCTGTACACTGGCAAAATTGCATACAAACCATCTTCTTATACTGGGAGAAATACGCTGATGAATTTACATGAGGATTTTTTTAAAATCGCAAAACTGACATGGAAACTTGGAGAACTGAATTGTAAGATTGGAAATATGTGAAAATGAGGCTGTATACATGCTATACCTTTAAAGCACATGGGTGTTCATGGGTGCTATCTTTGTGACCCCTTGGGCCACTGTTTTGGGTCTTCTTAGACAGTGCCTATGGGAGGTGACTGCAAAATGCATCTGGTTTGGCAGATGCTTCATGTCTAAACTTCTTCTGTTTGGCCGCATCTAGATCCCCTTCCCTTTGCTGAAACATCATCGCAACAGTGGAGAGGGAACAGAGCCTCCATAGACAATAGGGTACTGGAAGCAAAGGAAATTTAAGCACTCTTTCCAATAGTTTCTGCTGTGATGAAGTTATGGGTGGGATACAGAGCATGAACTAAACCTCTGTAATCCTTGGCACAGAAATGTAAGCAAACCACTTATTTTCATGTGTCAGCATTTCCGCTAGCGGCAGACAGTGAAATGGTTGGTAGCGGGGGAACACACTGAGGAAATGAAAGAGGTTCATGCAGTGGATAGGAAGAACAAAGAAAGGGAGAGAAAGAGAGGGAGAGGGAGATTCTACTTCTCTTTGTAATGTTTGTTGCCCAACTGCTGATATGACTTGGAAAATCACATAAAGCATCTGAAGCACCTTTCTTATACAGTGGTAAAAGGTAAAGGGACCCCTGACCATTAGGTCCAGTCGTGGCCGACTCTAGGGTTGCAGCACTCATCTCACTTTATTGGCCGAGGGAGCCTGCGTACAGCTTCCGGATCATGTGGCCAGCATGACTAAGCCGCTTCTGGCGAACCAGAACAGCGCACGGAAATGCCATTTACCTTCCCGCCAGAGCAGTACCTATTTATCTACTTGCACTTTGACATGCTTTCGAACTGCTAGGTTGGCAGGATATACAGTGGTACCTCGGGTTAATAACTTAATTCGTTCTGGAGGTCTGTTCATAACCTGAAAGTGTTCTTAACCTGAAGCACCACTTTAGCTAATGGGGCCTCCTGCTGCCGCCTGAAGCTTCATCCTGAAGCAAAGTTCTTAACCTGAGGTACTATTTCTGGGTTAGCGGAGTCTGTAACCTGAAGCGTCTGTAACCCGAGGTTCCACTGCAGTTTGGAGTGTTTCTGTAGGCTGGCAGGGTCATAGATCAGTAGCTAGGACACATGCTTTGAATGCAGAAGGTCACAGGTTGAATCCCTTGCCACTCTAGGCAGGGCTAGGAAGGACCTCTATCTGGAACCCTAGAAAGCCTCTGGCTGTCCTGTAGACAATATGAGCCATTTGGATCAGTGATCTGACCCAGTATAATGTCTCAATAACCGTGACGTCAGTCATTGAAGGGATCACACAATTGTTGTCAGACTCAGCACCACCCCACCTGTGATCCATCATGGCCTTATACTGCTTATTCTATCGCTAGTTGTCCCAAAACTGCAAGTGCTATTTGCAGTGCTTGTTTTGTGACAGTACTCACTGGTACAAAGTACTCTCACCTTCCTGCCTGCCTTTTGCTGCCCATGGCAACCATTTTGTGCTGGTACCCACAACACGTTTATCAAGATACAAGTACCACCAGCCCCTTGGTTTTTGTGTGTGTTGGTTAGTTTCTTTTTTAAAAAAACAAAGAACCACTTGCCATTCTTCTACATAAATGAGAGGAACAACACACTCATTAATGAATTTCACTTCTCCCGATCTGGGTTCATACACTAAACTGGGTCAGCCGCACTAGTACCCCTAGCAGTATCTGGAGCAATTATGCTCTGAGTTCAATGGCTACCCCTGACCAGCTTGCCAGCAGGTCAAATTGTACAGTAGTGAACAGAGGATCCTCAAAACCTGTGCTTAACATCCCAGCCTTTCTTTATAACATGTAGCACATGCATTGAACCTAGGCAAAAGGAACAATAGCAATTCTGCCTTGGTTGGCCTCCTGCCAGTCGTTTATCTCTCAGTGTTCCTCACTTATAAAATAAGAGCATTCACCTACTGTCTTTGATCAGGTCTTTATGTAGCTCTGTTGGCCAGCTGCAAAGTTTTCTGCTAGAATTCCTAAACCATAGTAACTCAGATGTAGATTTGTCCTAACACAGTCTCTGCCACAGTCTCTCTTTGGGACTACAACTCTCATCAGCCCCAGCAAGCACAGCCATGCCGACAGGGGTCTGATGGGACTTGTAGTCCAAAAACTCCTGGAAGACAGCAGATTTGGGCAGGCTATACTAGTGTCTGAAGGTTGCCTCGGTGTATGGCTCATTGCTCATTGGTTCCACCCCACAAGCTGGCATTTTTCATCTGGCTCTTCCCTCAAGTCATTATTTTGCCCCTGGCTCTGGTTTGAGGACCTCAGTATTCTAGGGAAAAGCAAAGTACATTCTGCAAGTGTGAAATATGCCCACTCTTGCTCAGCATGATGTATTAGAACCATGTGGGAAGCCATAGGTTTCGCACATGGTTCTAATGGGATGAGAGAGTTGGGTTGAGAGAGAAATTTGATTCAGTTCACATTTAAAGATGAACCTACCTACTTCTCATTTTCCAAAACAGTATGAGAACCGTAGCACAGCTACCCTTCCAAATTCACACTACTCCAGCCATTGTTTGCCAAATTGCATATACAGTGGTGCCTCACAAGACGAAATTAATCCGTTCCGCGAGTCTCTTCCGTCTTGCAGTTTTTTCGTCTTGCGAAGCACGGCTATTAGCGGCTTAGCAGCTATTAGCGGCTTAGCGGCTTAGCAGCTATTAGCGGCTTAGCGGCTATTAACGGCTTAGCGGCTATTAACGGCTTAGCGGCTTTAAGAAAAAGGAAACAAACTCGCAAGAACTCGCAAGACGTTTCGTCTTGTGAAGCAAGCCCATAGGGAAATTCGTCTTGCGGAACGACTCAAAAAACGGAAAACTCTTTCGTCTTGCGCGTTTTTCGTCTTGCGAGGCATTCGTCTTGCGAGGCACCACTGTATTGGAGAAAAGTGTGCGTAGAGATGCATATATCAGTGAAATCAGCATGCATAATATTGAGGAAGATTGCTTGCAAAAAATAGGTACGTGGGTCATATCTGCAAACAAGCGTGTTCATTAGGAGAAATTCACACAAAATTCTGACAGATTTTCATGTTTATTTGGAGAACTGAACTTCATGCTTTGAACACAGCATGTAGTTAAACTTGCTGGGTGGCTTATCTGCCTTATGTGCACCAGCAGTTGAATGGAGATTTGCCACATGCAGTCATCTAAGTGGTGAGGGGCCTTGCAACAAGTTATGTCCTCCGTGTAGAGGAACTACTTCATTTAAACCATCTATGTGCCTGATCCAACAGAAATAGCATGCATAACCAGCTCTTAGAGCTTGCATTCTGGTATGGGGAGAGAGAGAGATGCATTCTTCAAGTGTCCAAAAATGCACAGCTCAATTCTGCTGAGATATCAGAAACAGAGGATACCTGGGTCCTTTATCAAAAAGTAATTGCTGCTCCTTGTAACTGAGGGCTGCAACACTGGCCTGCATGTCAGAGCATGGATGCTTCTGCATTGCTTCTTCCCTAGAGTGTGGGACTTTGGTTCCAGGTAGGTTCCAGTCACATTTGCTCATTCACCAAACCCTTCTTGCAGTTTCCTACCTCTTTACTGGCACAGCTGGGAGAGAAGGGATCTGAGATATCCCTGCCTGTGCTTGTTTTGGGAAAGCTGAGTGTCTCATAACATCCAGATTCATTGATTAGGGTCCCCCCCCCCATTGTGCAAATGCCTGTAGCAGAAGTGGTTGGCTCAAAGTACAAATATACAGCCTTTTTTTTAAATGGTTCTGGCAAAACCATTGCTTAATACAAGTAAGTATTTCAGAATTCCTTGGGTTAGTTTATAAGGACAGAGGAGATTTAAACTACCGTACTTGTTTGTATATGCAGGGATAGGACGTGAATACTCCTATTGTTGCCCATGTGATGGAGAAAATTGTGTGTGTTCCTATGACTTTGTGTGTGAGCCACCTAAGACCTTCAGCTTAAAGGGAAATGATGGTTTAAAAACAAGCAACATATTCCACAGCTAGTTAAGCCATCAGATAGCAAAGAAAAGTTTTAGTTGTATCCCCTGCAGACCCATGCATTGCTTTTCTTTCTTGCCATTCCCTTCCCCAAACCCTATTCTAGCAGGTATAAAATGCTTGGGTGGGAGATACTATCAAGTGGAAGCCATACAGGTGTGTCACTGTCATTGGTTCTAGAAGCGCAGTGTTTGTGCTAGGAACTTACCTGTGTCTGGCTGAAAGCTGTATGTCATTTTCTGGAATCTCTCTCTCTCTATCCACCTTCTGTTTTCAAGGTTTTTCTGATTAGTTCTCACATAGGAACCCGTCCCTCTTACAGTGATGTCAGCAGGATATTCTATTCACTGAACTCATTGAGAAATGGTAATTCTGTGAGATCATGTGCCTTGCCCAAGGTCACCCATAGAGAAACTGATACAGCTGGGAAAGGAATTTCAGAGGTCCTGCTCTCTGACCCATACTTCCTCTTTCAGTGACCATTTGAGACTGCCAAATATACCAGCCTTCCACTGATAAACGTTTTTTTAATAAGTTTTTATTGTTAAAATAGTTCATCATTAATACACATATACAAGCATACAAATATACATTTCATACAGTCCTTAAAAGTGTTCAAACATACTTACACTCAATCCCACAAATAATTCCTTTCCCCATCACCATCCACCACCCCTCACGCCACCTTTGTGTTTGACTTCCAATCTACTCAATTACAATTTCTTTCCACTTCTATTACTTTCTTTCACACACCTTTAGCCTAATTTCATACTTCTTTTTCTATTACACATTGTTATCCATCTTATTTGATATTTCAGTATTTGAAACGGAACTTGAAGGATGTCAAAGGGGCAGGACACTGACCTCATCTCTTGTTCCCCTTACAGGAAAGGAAGATGTCCCTCCCTGCTTCCCCGACGTGGACTCCCCGACTGCTGCGCCGACCACCTAGCAGTTTAGACGGCTGGGTGAGCCCAGCCCAAACTCCAGAGCCCGAGGAAGGGCTTATAGAGGCCTTTCGAGTAGCCAGTGTCATGACCCCACCTCCTCCGCCCATGTCTCCATCCTGGAGCGAAAGATCTGTGTCCCCATTTCGGCAAGAGGCTGACCCCAAGTCCAGCCGACAGATGCAGGTGCTGCTGGCCAGAAACATCATCAACGCTGCCAAGAGGAAGAGCTCTTCTCCCAAAGCTGTGGCCATAGAGAGCTTCAGGCCCTTCACTCCTCCTGCCACTCCCTCAGGCGGAAGTCCTAAGAGTGTGGGCAACCATTCCCCAAGCCCGCTGCCATCTCCCAGGCCAACAAGGGCGGACGGATACAGGCGTGTGTCTCTTCCTCTCTCTGCCGCACCGCCTCATGCCAGTGCGTCTTCAAACAACAGTCCCAGGTTGCTAGGCAGCCAGTCCCCGACCTACAAGAGCCCACTGCAGTCTCCCAAAGCAGTGCGGATGAATGGGAACAAGTATTTCACCATGCCTGCCAGCACTGGGGCATCCCTCTGCCACGCAGCGGCATCCAACAATGGCCTGAGAACAGCAGGCACCCATTCTGTGGCCCAGTCTCCAAAACCCTCCATCATGGAGAGTCACAGGATCTTCACACCTCCAGGAAGCACAACCAGGAAATCATCATGTCCCAGCCCTAAGAATGTGGGCACCTGCTCCCCCACCATCAAAAGCCCTTTGCAGTCTCCCATGGTAGGAGTCCGTTCTCCGCTGAAGCGCTTCACCTCCCTGTCACCCACCAACTCAGACGTATCCCTCGACTCGGAAGATTCTGGGATCAAGTCGCCCAGCATCCGCAGCTTCAACATTTGTCCCCGGGGCTGGAATGGAAGCCTGAGGCTGAAGCGGGGAAGCCTTCCTGCAGAAGCCCCCTGTACCTCCTAAACCTAGGACAGCAGATGAGAAGGAGAAACAACCTGCAAAGTTGCCTGTTGCCAAAATATTATGAAGTCCTACTACAGCCACTTAATCCCACCCATCTCATTAAGCATCAGGAGGAAGGAGCTGGGCCTGCACAGATGCAATCCCTTCCCAAAAAGCCTGCTCCTTTCTGAGGTTTAGAAGAATGGATCAGAGCCCATTTGTTTGTGGGGAAGACCTTTCAGATCAGAGGTACTCTCAAACCGAACGAAACATGGCTGAGATTCTACCCACCAACACACCAGATCGCCATGGGCTCCATCCTCACAGCATTTGCCTGCTTTTTTGGCATTCATCTGTCTCTGCTAGACTGGAGCCACCAGTGACTTCCTCGCTCAAGGGAGTCTAATGAGGCTTTGGCTGCTTTTGTTGTCACGCAGTAACATCCTGTGGGATGAGGACAATTGTACACACACAGCCTGCAGCATAATCCCCGGCAGACTGTCAACACGAGAGAACAGGAGGAGAGGCCTGCCAACAGCTTTGTTTGCCTTCCATATGATAGCTGTTATTGGCTTTCCCCCTCTATTCTGACGGTGGCCGCTAGTCTGCCCTCACACCAGGGGGGCTGGACATGAAGGTGAGGCATGGCCAAGAATCCCAGTCAGCAGTTACCCCTGGTGGCTGATCTGTGCAATGTAGCTTTAGCTCCAAAGAGAAGGCCTGGCTTTACACAAGCCCTGTGTATCCAAAGAAGTTAGCCTCATGGGCTCTAGGGTGCTGGAAATCCACACTGGGATATGACCCAAGCAATCCTGTATCCTGGGGCGGAGGTGTGGAATATTCCACCACAACACAGGTGGAGTGGCTGCTCAGTCCAGAAGGCAAAGGCAAAATACTCAACATAAAAATGACATCCCTGCAGCCAATGTCCAAATGTTATCTGGGTCCCAAAACTGATAAATGCCTGGAACATTAGCCAAGCATTACAAGAGAGCATGATGGAGACTACTTTTCCTCAGCAATACTATATCAAGGCTAATGTGCCCTAAGTTGGTCCCTGGCAAACACCCTCTTTATTGAGGGGTGGGGACTCAAGCATTTGCTATAAAGCCTGTTCCGATGAGAATCTGTGTGCCTGGAGGTATTCCTATGGGAGGCCTGAGACACTCTGAGTAGTGCAGTATGACTCCATTAAGACTGCAGATCTCCTGAAGGGGTTGAGAAGAGAGGCAGGGCTGACCTACGACTTGGAAGACAGACAGCTAACTGACTCCCAAATCAGTTATATTTCTCATGACAGCAATATCAGCAGGTGGAGGCCCATTTTAAAGACTGTATAAGGACGACGACTCCAAGAGAAAGAGACTCCTTCGGTTAGGCTCCTCTAGAAAAGAGGCTGGATACAGCAGAAGTGGGCCTTGCCAATGGGTTCATGAATAACCATAAATAAATGGCGAGTGGGCCTTGTTTGGCCAAAGTCAGGAATGCCTCCTGTGTGATGGAAAGGTCAAAAGGAGGCTGCTTGGGACTGGAATTGGCTGACTGGACTTTGCTTCTTTCTGCGTCCTTTCCACTTGCCACCACCATCAAGGACCTGATAAATGGACTTTTCTATTTTGTGCTGCCCAGAGAAGCTCCCTTTCAAATCTGGCCACCCACGTCCAGCCCATTTCCCTGTGCGATGCTGTGTAACGCGCTGCCATGTAGGCGATACTCTGACTGGCATGGGCAGGGCCGTATCAGATGTTTGCCCCACTTGCCCTTGATTCTGCAGGCATCCTCTATTTTTATCCCGCTAACCTTTAAAGACAGGAGCATGCCTTAGGTGTTAATTCAAGGGGAGCCAGAAACGAGTAAGCTAGGCCCCCGTCTTTGTTTCCTTCTGATCATGCATGGCTTGCGATGGGGAGAGCAGGCAGGGGACACTTCAAGCGGTGGGCTCCTTGGAAAGGTGGCCAAGCAAGCCAGCCCAGCTTTGTCACGTGGCATGGACGTACTGTCGCCATTCTGCTGCTCTGGCGGTACAGACTCATGGCAGACCCCCCTAGTCAAAGGCTTCCATTTGTGGGGACAAGGAGAAGCAGGGTAGGGCAGACCATCAGGTGATTCAAGCAGGCACCATTGGAGGCATGTGGAGATCACAAGCCCTGTGTATATAGGACCACGAAAAACAATTGGACTGCTTCCATCCAACAAGGCTATCAGTAGCTACTGGCCACAATAGTTTTGTTCTACCTCCACTGTTGGAAGCTGGAGTAGATGGGGTAGACTCAGCAGAGCTCTTCTAATGCTCTTACATACTGTTCCCAGACTTATTATAAAGGGGATCCACCAATGGAATCTGGTTGTTTCAGGGAAGAGGACCTGCACATATCTGCCTTAACCCATTGCTCTCCGTTGCCCCTGACACTTATTTCAAGCAACCTGTCAACCCAACTTTGGAGCCCTTATGCCTCCGCTTGCTGTAGTCAGCAACAGCAGGGGCTCAGGGAAGCCAAAACAGAGATCCTGCTGCTGCTGCTGCCATGAGGACCTGAGTTCTGCCTCCTTGACTCAGCATGGAGAGGTGTAAGAACACCCAGTGCTACAAAATGTTTGCTTCTTCCCTGCAGCTGCTTGGCCCCTCGGGCTTGGAGGTCAAGCAGATACTTTGCTGCTGCTCCGGTTTCACTGGAGGAATGGCAAGGGAGAAGAGCATATCACACATTGGATCCCACGCTGAGGCCCTCTGTTGTGACTGACAGGCCTAAGCGATAAATTTCAGTCCCACAGGCAGGGAACTTATGGGTACATCAGGTACCGTTCTCAGATAGCTAGCTAGCTCTCTCTCTTTCTCTCTCTCTCTAGCCAGTTAACTTGTCCTTTGCAGCAGCAGCAGCAGCAAAGTGAGGGCAGGGACTGATGGGGACAAGGAAAGGTTGCTGATGCCCTCTAGAGGCTCGTGGGATCAACTACGAGATTTTTCACTGCTCCCGAGAGCATGGTAGAGACAGAGAAAAAATGTGTCTAAGGGAAAGTTGAACATAAAAGCAGCAGCGGTTGATTGAGCTTTTGACAAAGAGAACACTGTGCCAGAGAGAAAGCTCAGCTTTGGATCTTCCAGGAAGAAGGTCTCGGTTAGTTAGCAGATGGAAGCGTTGCATGTCGTTGAGTGTGTGGGAGAGAGGCACTGATCTGGGAGAAGGTGCTGAAAGATGCCATGAATCTCTAAAGGGCTCCTTGTTGTTCCCTGAGCCATGCGGGCAGCCTCTAGAACACACTGTTGCTTGCAGCCGAGGGAAGCTAAGATAACATGAGATGCAAACCGTATCAGTAATAGCATATCCCTGAATTTCCTGAGAGACAAGAAACCTCTTGCTTTCCCCAAGAGAGGGATTAAAAAGAAAAGGAAAGGAAAAGAAAAGAAAGCAAAGTTATATTTGAAAGAATAAACTTATTATAGCCTTGGTTCCCGGAACAGACTTCTAAAACTCCCTCTCCAGGTCTAAGCCCTCTTCCAAGCAATTTTTGAAGAACTGCTTAGCGATGTTGCATTTAAAGAAAAACTGAGTGAGTTTAAGAAAAGTTAAAGCTCTACTAGGGTAGAGGAGGAGGTTGAAAAGCATCTGCTTGTCCCTCTTGTCCCTGATTTCACAGGCTCTACCTTCTCCACCTTTACCATGTGTGTGAGATGCTTCTCATTGCTGAGGAGGCGCTGTGTTGTTATGTTTGCAGGCTGGATGTCTTCAGGTAGCCCTCATGGGTGCAAATTTGGAGATGTCTGATCTAGTGTGACGGCATTGATCCAACCTCCTTTGGGAGTGTGAGAATAAACTATGAAGTCTAAGTTGTATTATCAAGCTCCAGGGACTCAAATTCAGTAGCATAATACTTCTTTTTACAGTTAAGATAATCCTTCTAAATCAATCTGAAGATTGATTTCCTTTGAAGAGAAATGAGAATTTTTACCCTGCTTTTACAAACCAAACCACAACGATTAATCGATGGAGGGATACCGTTTTTCCTGATGGTCTTTTTAAAAGCCTTGTTAGTTTCCCCCCCTCTTCAAAATAGTGACAATGAATCCCCCCCCCACACACACAGTGTATACAGATACTGCATGTAAATAGTAGCAATGACTTCTGAAACAATGTATGATATCCACTCTGCAAGAGAATGTGCACAGCTAACCATTTCCTACTTGCTCACTCAATGCAAAGAAACGGTTTTGATAATCTGTTATAAAAATAATAATTCTCTATGTTTATTTCCCATTAGGGAATCAGTTACCAAGCATGCGTTGTTTCACATAAACCTGCCCCTCGTGTAAGTTACAAAGCAAGATGAATCAGGGTCAATATGCACAACATTGAACAGCGCAAACCTTTGCACAGCTACTCAGAAGTAAGCCCCATTGAACTCAATGGGGCAGTTAAGCATTGAGCCTAAATTTAAATCCCTTGCTTATAAATCAGCGGTCAGGTCTCCTTGCAAACACCTGGACTCAGATTCACAGCAGAAGCCTTGACTTCCCCGTTCTTGAAAGGTCCCAGATAGGGATATATGCCAAAGGTCTTATGAGCAAAATTGATTCCCAGTTCACAAGAGCTTTTGCATGCAAAGCAGATGTGTAGTTTCTATTAGTATTGCTGTTTCCCTGGGCATCTCTCCCAGAAAACAAAGAGCAAGAGGAAGGATGTATTACTATTCCAACTGTAACACACTGCCATGTTGGAGCTGGCAGCTCAATTCAAGAGGAACACGGAGGAATTGCTGGAGGAGAAAAGATGTTGTTAATTAAATATTGCAAGTGTCTCACTTAGGGGGCCTCTTGGGCAACTCATGACTTTTTGGCTTGTGGGACGTCTTTGTTCTGAAATTCTATAACCAAGAACACACTGGGCTTGCTGTCTCTTCACCAGATGCTCTTTGCGTTAGCACTGCACCATGCCTCTGTATAACGAAACTCCAAAATAAATACATTAGCCCACACGGTCTGGTCATCTCGTGTTATTTGGGAACCAAATTATTAGCCACAAGAAAAGAGGTCGTGCTTACATGCAGTCTTCATGGGTTCACTTCCATAGACACATAATGTGGTGTAGAGGTCATTCAGCTAGGACCCAGAAGATCAGGGTTCAAATATCCACTTGGCCATGAAGCTCATGGAGTGACCTCAGGCGAGTTACTATCTCTCATCCTAACCTACTTTTCTGGGTTGTGAGGATAAAATGGAAAGGGGGGGGGAGAGAGAATTGTGTGTGCTCCCTTTGAGCTCCATCTCAAACTCCAAGAAAAGGTGGGATACAGTTGTAGTGATAAAAGTAGTGATAAATGAAAATAATAATTGTTGTTGTTGTTAAAATTTATATACTGCCCTATACCCGAGGGTCTCAGGGCGGTTCACAGAATAAAATCAAGATACAAAACCACAAAATACATAATAAAAATAGCAACCCAATACACTTCAAGTTACATACGCTTCAGGTTACAGACTCCCCAACCCAGAAATAGTGCTTCAGGTTAAGAACGTTGCTTCAGGATGAGAACAGAAATCGGGCTCTGGCGGCGCAGCAGCAGCAGGAGGCCCCATTAGCTAAAGTGGTGCTTCAGGTTAAGAACAGTTTCAGGTTAAGAACAGACCTCCAGAACGAATTAAGTACTTAACCCGAGGTACCATTGTAACCCCCCCCCAAAAAAAACCCCCACACATTTTAAAAGGGCATAGCCTGTAAATCAGATCAACCAAAGGCCTGGTTAAAGAGGAATGTTTTTGCCTGACACCTAAAGGTGTATAATGAAGGCACTAGCCAAACCTCCCTGGGGAGAGCATTCCACAGACAGGGAGCCACTGCAGATAAGGCCCATTCTCATGTTGCCACCCTCCGAACCTCTTGAGGAGGGGGCACATGAAGAAGGGCCTCAGAATCTCAGAAATAATCTTCTTTTGCTGGGAAGGGGCAGTATCCAACTGAAGTTCCACTGAAGTCCCCTTCTCCTCCCCCATGCCCTCCCAAAATATGCTCCAGGTTTCCCTGCAACCCTCCAGAGCAGATTTAGGTGGTGCGCAGGGAAAGGAGAGGGCAGAGCAGTTGCACTGCTCAGCTAAAAGTCATTGCTCAAAGCACACTGTATCCGTTTAGCTGTATGCTGCCCTAGGGGAATGATCTTTATGCCTCTGGTGGCAATCACCTGACAACAAAAATGGCTGCTGGAAATAAAAATAATAGTGCTGCGAAACTGTAGGACAGCTGAGGTCAGTCACTGGGGCAGGGGTGGGGGAGAGACTCTGTTGAAGTAAGAGTGTTTGTGTTTCTTCTTAATCCAATGTGTTTATTTAGCTTCATGGTCCGTTCCATCCCAAAGGTAACAAAAGCAATCGCTCGGGCTTCCCCTAGCAAGGCAAAATAAGCCTTGTGTTAAAATATCATTGAAACTGCCACACCCTTTTCTGATTTAAAGTCCCAGTGCAAACAGTAACCTTTGCAGTAACCTTTCCGAAAGGTGTTCAGGCTCAAACTTTGGCAAGTCAGCTGAGAGGAAAGAATCAGTCACCAAAAAACCACTTCTCTTTGTGCCCTTACTTCTGAACCCGATGCAGAGATTGTATCGCCAACAACAGGCATCAAAACATCCACTGGATAGAAAACACTGAAGTTGCTTTCAGAATATGGCTATGTGATTTGGTGTATATGTATGAAAGCTGAAAATGAATGAGCTAATAATGAATGAAAAATGAGGCAAGTGCAATGCAAAGAAAAATGAAATGAATGAAAGATTTAAAAGGAAAGAGACTGAAAACCAAAGTGGATGGATTTCAGCTAAGTGAAAATGAAAGAAATTGCAGCTTTAAGATGAAAATGAATAGATAAATGAAACAATTTCCACCTTGCACACCCCATCGCAGTCCTGAGTCATGATTACAGTGTGAAAATTATTATGTGTATGTGGTGGCGATGGAACGGTGAAATCCCCAAACCCATAATCTGAGCCATTTAAAACAATGTCTGGTGGGGTTGGTATTGCATCTTCTGCTTCCTCCCCTAGTAATTCAGTAATGGAGGGGCAGGGGATGACATTTAAGGAGTGGAAGCCTTTTCATTTCAGACTAAGCTGTGTGGGAAAACCATTTAACGTTTAAGTACTGTATACCAATTAAAGGATGCAATTGGAAGCTTCTTTCGTACCTCTGAGAATGCAGTGGTGAAGAATGACCACAAGATGGCAACCACAGTAAAGCAGAACGCGGGTTTTGCTTATATCCTTCCCTCTTCAAAATGGGTTCAGTGTGGTTAAAGTTGGGTTTGAACATGAGATATAAAATGCTGTCCACCAGCCTTCACTCCAATATCACCGTGCTCAAGGGAAATGTTGTACTGCGTTTTTATTTATTTTTTACCTGGGCCACTTGGAAACAAGGGACTCCAGCAGGACTTTCACATTTGAACATAGGCTGTTGTCCTGAAAGTTCACACCAACTTTCCTTTCTTGATATTCAGGGAGATGCGCTGTATTTTGCATTTTTCTCACCCCATGGGGTGGGGTGTCAAGCTGGCATTTAGGACAAGCATTTGGCACACCCTATGTAATATTTGTTTGCCATCTCATTTATAACACAATAGCCCCACTGAGTGCTCTGATATTAAATACAATTTAATACACATGTTCAGGAGAAAAGTAGACTTCTTTCTGGAACATGTATTAAATTGTGCTTGATAGTAGAATGTTCAATGGGTCTATTGTGCACTAAACAAACTTGAATCATTTACAAAGGGTGTGCCAAGTGGTTGTCTGAAAAACCTGGTTGATTATCTTGGGACGCAGAGCAGAGAGAGACACTCTCTCCTTTCCTCTTTTGCTGCTTTATTTATTCTAAATGGCCTGTGTTAAATTTCTTGCACCGCTGCTATTGAAATAGTTTTTGGATTCTTGTGGGGTTTTTTACATGAGGTAAACAACCCACAGATGGGCTGTGCTGAAAAAGGCAGCCTATCAATAATTTTATAAATAAATTCCACCTTGATTATGATTATGGGCCTAGTAAGACATGCTAATACATGTAACAGTGCCCCAAAGTCTTTTTTTTAATAAGTAAAAACACACCCAGAGCCCTACAGGATGGAAACAGCTTGGGGATACAATCTGGTCTAAATTCCTCCTTCAGGAATCCTTTGTGTTTTTCTTTTTAAGTGTTCTGGAGCACTGTTATATGCGTGCAGAATTTCTGTGAGCACTGGTGGTCTGGTGGTCTGCCAGCTCCATTCAGGTGGACAAGGTGTTGTATACTTGAGAGGGACACAGGTGGTGCTGTGGTCTAAACCACTGAGCCTCTTGGGCTTGCCGATCGGAAGGTCAGTGGTTCAAATCCGTGTGATGGGATGAGTTCCTATTGCTCTGTCCCAGCTCCTGCCAACCTAGCAGTTCGAAAGCACACCAGTGCAAGTAGATAAATAGGCACTGCTGTGGCGGGAAGGTAAACAGTGTTTCCGTGTGCTCTGGTTTCCATCACAGTGTTCTGTTGCGCCAAAAGCAGTTTAGTCATGCTGGCCACATGACCCGAAAAGCTGTCTGTGGACAAACGCCAGCTCCCTCGACCTGAAGCAAGATGGGCACTGCAACCCCATAGTCACCTTTGACTGGATTTAACCGTCCAGGGGTCCTTTACCTTTACAGTTGAAATCATATGTACTGACCCTGCACTCGATTTATTTACAAGAACACAATTTTCATTTGGTTCACCTGGGAGTGAGGAGAGAGGCTGAGAACCACAAAACGAACATAGGATGCATGGTTATGAGCTAGGCCCTAAATTGTTCTACTATTGTATTTTTCAACTTACAGCTCATTCTGTTTCAAGTCATCCTAAATGGAAAGGGGGGCGGGGAGTATTTTAATCAGCGGTTCTCAAACTTTTATCTCTGTGCCACACTTTCAGAATAAAAACTTGCTCACGCCACACCAATTTTTTTTTAATTGCTAAGAAATACATTGGAAAACAGAAAGAAACAACTCCTAGTTTTCAACACTTGCCACCAGCTCAGCTCGCCAAGACTCTGCTCAGACCACGCCCCTTTTCTCAGCCAGAAATAAATGTCTGATGTAACGAGGATTAGGGTCTTGGCATCTCGGCGGCAGGAGATCGAAAAAGACACAAGGGGGCAAGACCTGGGACAGCTGGAACGCTCTTGGGCGAGAAAAGGGGTCGAGGAAACTCAAACTGGGCTCTAATCCTCACCTGGGAAGTGTCTGCCATCTCAGGACTTCACCACAGGGCTGAGGAAGGGCTCAAGCAGGTATGGGGGAATCTCTTCTCTGGACTCAAAGAATTGTTGGCTAGAAGGGAGAGGCTGCTGTGAGGAAATGTCAGAGGAAAAATGTTGGTAATCTGGACAATGTCTTCTAGTGGCTTGCATAATATGTATATTATTGAGGATCAAGACTACACACAGAAAGATCCTTTTTAGAGTTGAAACTTGGGACATTCCCCTCCCTCCTTTTAAAATGCAAATTTGGGGCTTTAATAAGCAGGAGATGTTCCAGCAGCTGTTGATGTGGGAAAGCAGCAGAGAGCATGTACATGATGGCAAATCCATCCCTACTGCATGAAAGGGCGTTATATCTGTTTTATAGTGCCATGTGATGTTTCTCTGATACAACTGGGGCACCATGAGTGCGAAACCTTGTTCCCCAAGGACACAAAGTGGGTAGCAGATAACCCATGCTAGGGAGCATGCTAGATGAGGCATCATTACTGCAAGGTCACTTAGACAGGAGGGCAGAAAAGGGGAAAGGGAGACTTGGTGGCTGTTCAGTGTATCCATATAGGAAACACTCTTTGCAACGGCTAGGCAGCCCAGCTTAATGTCCATAGGGCAAATATTAGCACTTAGCCCCAGAACATGAGTTGATGGGTGTTTGCTCAGTCCATAAAGGAAAATGGCTTGTGGCTCAGGAAATCATAAGACTATGATCAGGACTAACCATTTGCTCTAGGAGACCTTGTCCTGCACAAAATTGCAATGGAAGAATGCTGAATGCCCCCACAGAGCAAAAGCAGGGAAATGTGCTCTCAGTCCAAGCTGGCAATCTCGTCAGGCCATGCAATACATAGCCCTTGCCTCTGTAACATTAGCTCTGTCGGCTAAGTGATAATTAGCTTTCCAGTTTCTAATGCGCTCTGCAGATGTCACGGTGTCTCTCTCTTTGGACTGTCCTGTGGCAGTAAGTAACACAGGATGGTTAAAAGGCTTCCTATTGTGAGGTAAGCCATTTAAATTTGCCAAACAATTCCGGTTCTTGAATTACGGGGCATAATGTGACTTGCTCCAGCCTGCAGCCAGAGGCTTGGCCTGAAAACAGGACAAGAAAGAGGGATGTTATATATGCCAAAGCTTGGAACTAGCAAGGGGGAAGTAAATTCTCTCACCCAGCCAACATTGTCTACGCATTTCTCAAATAAGGGACGATGTGACCACAAAGTTCAGTTTCCTACTGTTAAGTTGTGGGCAAACATAGCAGACGACACAGCAATTCTTCAAACAGCTCTTCTTTATTCAGATGTCAGAACAGAACTAAGCTGAGGAGCTCAGTCAGCCTGCTTATATAGAGCTCCAGAACAATGTAACTGTTGCCATTTTCTAAAACTATCCAATCACTGAACGTCACTTTTCAATCCTTCATTTGCATACAAAACTATCCAATCACTGAACGTCACTTTTTGATCCTTCATTTGCATAACTATCTACAGTATCCCGCTGCTGGCCCAGGGTGAGAACATCAGTACATAACACCTACAATCATCGTTTATGGATTCCACATCACGTTTTTAGATGCAGGCCATGTTCAAGATTGAAGAACTGGCCAGTGTGTCTATGTGATAGCTGGATGGCAGGTGTAATGGTTCTAGGGGTTGCTCGTGCGTAAATCGGCGCCACACCTGGCTGGGTTGTCTGAGTGAACCCTTTCTGTCTGGACAGCCACTCGCCCCTGGCTGTCTCAATCGCTGGCAGAATCCGTCAGTGAGCGTTTCTTGAACTTCTTCCAGCAAAGAAGTTCTTTGACGCCTAGTCTCCGCCTACTCTCCCTGCGTGGAAGCCTTCTGCTCAGGGAGGGTGTGGGCAGCGGAGGACCCGTGCTCTCCTCGCTGGTCCCCAGCGAGGAGTCATGGAGCCACCTCGCCGATTCCCCCATCTGCCCCCCTTCTCCACTGGTGCTACGCTGATTTCCTTCCCCAGAAGATGTGCTGCTTCTCTCCCTCCCGGGACGCTCTCCGGAATCCCTCTGGAGCCCTCCCTCTCCCCCTGGCTCCGATGGCAGTTCCCTGACAGCAGGTCAATGCAAAATTAGTCTGAACGCCTTGCTGGCATTGTAGGCTGCAATCCTATGGTTGCTTACCAGGGAGCTGGCCCTGTAGCATTCAGTAGGACTTTGTTATGTGAACAGACATGTTCAGGATTGCAATTGTTGCTTGATTAATTAAGCAACTCTTCTATTTGGGTTGACTCCAAGGCTCATGAAAGGTAAAGAGTAGGAGGAGATAAATGGAGAAGGACAGTGGAAAAGGCAGGAATGTGTGTGTCTTTTCTTACATTTATATCCTGCCAGCTTCCCAAAGTCCAGGTTGCTTATATCAGACTAGTCGCCTCATACCTGGTGCTGCTTGATAATTCTAAGAAACCGAAAAAATCTATGCGGTTTTGAAAGGCTAATTCCACCATCTTGATCAAAATGGCATCCAATTATGTCCATATGTAGACAAAAAACCTGCCCCTTGATCTCAGCCTCCATCAGGTGAAGTATGGTTATAATACAGTGGTACCACGGGTTAAGAACTTAATTCGTTCTGGAGGTCCATTCTTAACCTGAATCTGTTCTTAACCTGAAGCACCGCTTTAGCTAATGGGGCCTCCCGCTGCCACCACGCCGCCAGAGCACAATTTCTGTTCTTATCCTGAAGCAAAGTTCTTAACCTGAGGTACTATTTCTGGGTTAGCAGAGTCTGTAACCTGAAACGTCTGTAACCCGAGGTACTACTGTATTGTAAGAGGTGACCAGGTGCATAGAAAATAGACAGATGGAGAAATTTAAAAAAATACATAGTAGATGTGTGAGGCATGTTAACATTTCAGACCTGCTAAATGGATTGAAGGATAAGAGAGCTAATGGTGAAAGGATTTCAGGAAGCAGTAATAAGGAAGTGAGAACGTGATTCTGCAACCGGCAATGATGGCAATTGCATTTCCATCCTGGATTCTGACTCATTGCCTGGTGAATACACATGGCACAAACTCAGTATCCAAGAGGCCAGGTTTGGAGATAATCTACAAGCAATTTTTTCAGCCATGCTGCAATGACAGGAATGCCACCCCCCACCCTCCAGAGCATATCCGTTTATGCCAGTGGCATGCTTGCAAAATGATGCCAGCTGAATTGGGTGTATAATGAATGATGCCTTAAACAACACAGTCCTAACCTTGCCAAAAGTAAGTTGTATTGAATTCTATGGGGCTTATGCCCAGCTAAATGGGCTTAGGATTGCCACCCCATTGCCCATAAAACCAAGGTTGCTCATGGTGTTGGAGACCTGATGGTTGTGTACATGCGCGGCTTAACCCCTAGCAATATTAGGCCCTTTGAAATCTCAGGGCTAAGTACTTTTGTCCACCTCCAACTCCCATGAGATCATCATGTCAGAAATCCATGCCTGCCTGCTTCCATCCTTCACGGACCAAGGATCAGGGTTACATCTCCCAATCCTCCCAGGTCAGTAACTTAAAATAGTTGCTGCTGATATAGGGAAGTCTCTCTAGCAGCACGGAGGAGGAACACACAGCCCTACATGAACTATGTAGTTCAGAGAAGCTGAACTTTGCTCACTGTAATGTGCTCCATTCAAACAGCTTGAGCTCAAGCTTTTTCTTTTTTTAAAAAAAATATATATCCCCAAGGTCATTTGTTTACAACCCAAGGGCATTAACAGCAAGGCTCCTTTTATTGTCTAAGTGAGAATAATTCTGCATAACGATAAAGACCAAATGAATATATCCATTAATTGCAGTTTGGTTCTGGAACCGAGAGGTTTCAGAAGAGGACCTTGTATACCGAGCTTATTTTATCAGTTGCATTGTTACAAATGTACCCCAACCTGTCCCCAAACTGTTAGAGAGACAAGATCTGTTTGGAGAGTTAGGTAGGTCTGATGCAGTCGGGGGGGAAATAAAAATACATAAAAAATTGTCCAGTAGCACCTTATAGACCAACTAAGTTTGTTCTGATATAAACAAACTTAGTTGGTCTATAAGGTGCTACTGGACATTTTTTAAAAAATATATATATTTTATTAAGATCTGTTTGGGTCACAAAAGAGATAGCAAAAGGCAGATTCCTATGCTCCTCAGGTCATTGTTTCATCTAGCTCAGTATGTCTACACTGATTGGCCCCGGCTCCCCAGGATTTCAGACAGGGGACATTGCCAGCCCTACCTGGAAATGCCAGGGATTGAACCTGGGACCTTCTGCATGCAAAGCAGATGCTCTAAGACTGAGCCACAGCCCTTCTTCAATAGATACCAGAGAAAGGAAGGGGGACAAGTCCCCTGCAGACAACTAGGTCCCCACCTCCAAGAGCAAAGTTCAGTTGTTTCTAGGGCTTTGAATGCTTCATAACTGGATTAAAATTCAAAGTATGGAGAGAGCAAGCCGAATGGATGGGCTGTTTCTAAAAATGGGTGAAATATAATAGAATCATAAAATCGTAGAATTGGAAGGGACCCCCCAAGGGTCATCAAGTCTAACCCCCTCCAATGCAGGAATCACAGCTAAAACATCCATGACAGATGGCAATCCAAACTCTGTTTTAAAACTTCCACCACGTTCCAAGGCAGCCCATTCCCCGGTCACAACAGCTTTGAATGGCAGAAAGGTCTTAAAACGTTTCATCCTCCAAATGACTCGCTGCTCATTTCTGTAACCTAGAAAGCCAGTTTTAGTCTCATCCACTTGCACATTTGTTATTATCGCACAAATGTATTTAGCCTCATGCCCAGGACAGTGGCAACATTTCTAGCATTTTCACATTCAGAGGAAAGAGCAAATTTACAAAGACAAACATCCCAAGTAGGGCCAGTTGTTAGGCAATACTATGTAGAAACAACAACACACACGAGAGATGTGTGTGAAGAGCTTCGTTAACGTGTGACCCCGAAATTTCAGACCCCCCTCCAAATGTTAATGAAACTTGTGTGGAGGCTGATAATCTCTTGCTTTCCTTTGCAGTCGAGAAAATGTTCCCCCTCCTTCATTCAGATCACAGCAGAGAGCCGAGGACACGGGTCCAGACCATTATGGGGGAGCTCACTGATGGAGAAGGTAAGCCGTCCTCCACTGCCATCATCTTCAGAGGTAGCTGACCTTCACAGGATTCGTGCATTAGCTTGTTTTCGCTGGGCTTTTCGTTTACAGTCTCTAGCTCACAAAGGCAAAGGCTGCAGTCCCAAGCAGACTGCCCCTGCCAGTGGGGCTTTAAGGAGAGGCGGATCCACCACTGCGTTCATAGCCAGCAGCTCATGGTGGCTGTAGCAGCGGGAACAGGACAGTAGGGCTGGATCCCTCCATCAGCTCCAGGCTGGCTCCGTGATGTTTCCAGCTTAGGCCCAATGTCACACAAAGGGCAATGAGATTGGCTAAGGCTCCAGCAGACCCCAGGCCGGTTCATACCTCTCACCCACCCAAAGAAGAAACAGTTTAAGTGCTTTTTTGTCAGTAGGGATACCACCAAGAGGCTTCCTTCCTGTCAGCATGTCCAGTTGCCAGGAGGGGGATTTTAGTGCTTGTGTCCTTCCACTGGCAGTGGGAGGCTAGTTCAGCTGGAGATGCCTCCAATCAGTTCAACTCCTCCTCCCCTACAGCCTCGCCTAAGTGGGACTTAGATGGCTCTTCTCATCGCTCAGTAAACAACCTTTCTGAGGTGAAGGACAAAATGGTGCCCCCATTCCATAGACTGAAGCTGACCACTTCAATACTGGCGATGGGACAGTGCTCTCTATCACGCCTGAGGGAAGCAAGCTATTGGGGGCAGGTGAGGGGAGTGGGCAGGGCAGGATTTGCCCTCCAACACCTCCTTCCCCCTCTCCCCTCCAGCATGAGCTGCCTCACTTCCCCGCCTCACATTAGGGCACCTTTAATTAATTTACAGCCAGCGTTTTGTAAATTAAAGCCTTTCATTTCTGCTGCCACCATGTGACATACGCCTGTTTTTCTCAGCTCTGGTGGAGCTCGATTTAGGAAAGAAGGTGAGCATCCCTCAGGATCTGATGATGGAGGAGCTCTCTCTGCCAATCAACAAGGGCTCCAGGCTGTACCAGAAGAGGCAGAGGAGAGTGCAGAACTTTGTGCTGGAGCATCCTTCGGGCTACAGAATTGTGAGTTGTGTTTCCGTCCTGAGGGAAGAGGCAGGAAGCTCTGTGAGAACAACCTGTCAGTCCACAGCAACAGGTGCAGCAAGGGAGGCAGCAGTGCTGACCAAATGGACTCTTGTTTCTCAACCATGGATCCCTGACTGCCTAAGAATGAGAAAGCAAATCCTTCCCAGTTAGGTTGCTGAGATGGGTAGGGGGAATGGCAGGCCTCTTAAATCCTGTTGCTTAGCATCAAGTGTAGTGGGTAAGCTATGTTCCATCTTCATCCACGGCCTCCATGCCATTCTCCCCTCTATTTTCCACCTGTTTATTTTTGTTCATTGAAATATCTGCACACTACTTTTCTGCCCCACTAGCATTTCCCAATATAGTCCATGGAACATCAATTAAAAGCAAGGTCAGGGAGCTGGATCCAGCCATCAGCTGTGAGAAGCATTTTCATTTGCCCACACAGTTTGAAATCAAACGGCATTGGCAGAGGAACAGGGCTTTGCAAGCACCCGTACACAGGAAAAGCACTTCACGTGATGTCGTGGTGATATCAGGTGGGCCTGTGCCTCTGCAAGCACTGCCAGCCAGCTGATGGTTTGCTCTGGCCCAGGCACAGTTTTGCAGGCACCACTCATCAGCTGATTGTCAGTGCTTGCAAGGGGCTTTTAGGAGCTGCCAATCGGAGACTTCATCTGCCTCACCCTGAGATTATATTTGACATTGGGTCTAGCTTGGGGAAAACAGTCTCATGGGCCAAACTGGAACCCCTGCCAGGCTTAATGAGGCCCATGGACCAGAGGTTGTCTACTGCTGATTAAAAGCAACAGCCAATAATAGTGTAAAAACAAGCAAGGACTAAGCATTGGCAGCCAGACCATAAAGCCATAAAAGGAGGGGAGAGAAACCAAACCAAAGATAAGAGGAAACAAAACATGTGCCAAAAATGTCAGTAAGATGGGGGCAAACTGGGTTGTGGCAACACAACATGAAGCAAAGTCTCAGTGGATGTGCGGTGTGGGAGAAGGCAATCTTCCAAAAAGCCTTATCCTAAACCGTTTAGGGGGAAAGGCTTTAACAACTAAACACCTAGGAGCTATTAGAGGGTGCCTTGAGAACAGATGCCAAGGCATGTCTGCTCCTACTGATGACAGACAGAACAAGATGTCAAGCCGCTTCTGCTCTCAGATCATCCTCTGTCCTTTGAGCTTCACAAGGCATGCAAGATTTGGCATGGTGGTCATGCACTCAGTGCATGGACAAGATCATCTTGCAGGCAGGCAGGCACCTCTGACCCTCTCCTTGGCCAGCAATACCACTCCTGGTCTAAACAATTACTGACTTATCTCTGTTCAGATGCTTTTCGATGGGCTAATAAAATGAATTAGTGGGCTGTATCAGCTGCATGCTGCTCACAGCAGTTCCATTGGAATTAATGAACCTAAGATAGATGTCTATTGACGTCAGTGGGTTTACTCTGAGTAGGACCAGCATTGGATGCAACCCAGTTGTAAGCTTATTGCACCAGCTGTTGTGCTGTGACATGAATCTTCCAGAAAAAGGGTGCCTGACTTATTTGGGCCAGAGGGCCACAGTCACCCTTGGTCAATCCTCCAAGGATCACATGTCCTGGCGTGTCGTTCTCTCACAGGCACATACGCACGCACACAGCACATACATATAATAGAGGCAGGCAGGTACACAGTTCCCTCCTCACTTTCTCAGTTGTGGATCAACTGAGGAGAGGGGCTTTATCGCTCCCTGCCTGCTCACCAAATGATGGATCTGATGTCCAGGGAAGGGACAATTTACACCCCTGCTGTGCCCACAACAGCATTGTGTATTTCTCTCTCTCCCTTTCACCCCCCTCATTTTGCTGCTGCTGCCACTGCCCAAACTGAGTGTTTAAGAGATCAGGCCCCTGAACGGGGGCTTATCTACCCCTGCTCGAGGAGTCGGTGCCATGCTTTGCAGTCTCTTTTGCTCAGCAAAAGTCAGTATCAGAGACTTAGAGCTGAATGCATTCACATTGGAAAAAGCCCCCATTTTCTAATTATACAGGCACCGTCAGTTGGGTGGTGAGCCTGTGATCTTCTTCATTTATATAGCTGCTACATTAAGGCCAAATAAATACCTTTGACAGTAAATGTCTTTGACGGCTTTTCTTTAACTCATTCCTAAAGCAATTTAACTGTTAACACCTCTGTCTGTAAGTAGCTGGAGCAAATCTAGTCATCCCAGCATTTAACCGGAGTCTACACATATATTCTCTAGTAGTCTTTTTAAGTTAAATCACCTGGCTCGTGATTATTAATTACTCTTTCATATAGTATGCATTTGACAAACCACTTCTCTCCTCCACCCCCACCCCCCATCTTCTAAAAATAGGTTCACAACTGAGGCCACCATATTTGCTATGGGAATGGGCATACAATGCAAGGGCAAAATTATGAACCACTGCAGAATAAGCTGCAGGACTGCCAATTCTAACAGGAGGCCATATTTAGCTTTAATCTACTAGTGTCTGCATTCTCTCAGCCTTAGGGCTTCTCCATGGCCCTTGCCCATGTCATGTACTAATATTCTTTTCCTTGCTCTCTTTGCAAGATCTCAAATGCTTCTGGAGGAGGAGGAGGAAGCTCACACGCTGATTACGATGGAGTTGGCATGTCAGAAGGACAGGTAGTCTGCATGACTGCTGCATGGGGTAGATCTCACTAGCTTAGGCTAGAGTTTAGGGTCCATCATGAGACCTGGAGAAGCCAAAAAGTGACACACTGAGGCAGATTCACCCTGAAGCTATGTCATTTGGACTTCTTTCCCATAGTCACCCATTTCCTCGACAGGGAGCAGACTCGCTGACTATTCCAAGTTAATATTTCAGTGGAGGCAGTGTAACTGTCTTCATGCATGCACCCAAATATGTACCTGATCTGCATGTCCTGTCATTTATGTAGCATGTGATGGAAGCTTAGCTCTCAGTGCTTGCTGATCAGGTTTCAACACCTTGCGCAGCTTGAAAAGTGAAATTCGTTGGTACCTTTCTTCTGAGAGAGGGAACCTACACTACAGACCAACTGGTATAATTATCATTGCCTCTTCCCAAGGAATTCTGAGAATTGTAGTTCTGTGAGGGGTAGGATAGGGCTTTCTAACAAGAAGCCTCAGCCCACCAAGAGTCTTTGAGGGAAGCTCTGTACTCTGAAACCAATATAAGGCTTTAGTGTGGATATGCTAGTTTCTAACAATCCCATTGTAGAATACATGGCACTTGAGTAGCAGGAGGTGGAAGCACTGGAAAGCATTCAGGCAGTTTTGGACTGTGGTCCATTCACAGAAGCAGCTGGGAGATATGTTCTGTTTGCTTCAAGCAAAATTATTTTCCTCAATGGTGAATTAAAAAAGCTCATCCAACCAGGGGCCTGGCTGGCCTTCTTCCATTCCCCTTTTATCATTCTGCTTCTGTCTGAATTCCCATGCCTACCTCAGTCTTGAAAGCATGCTGAGGAGACCTTTCTGATGACAGAAAACATCTTGCAGCCTATGCATGTTTCCCTTTGTCTGCTAGTCTATCCATAATGCCGACGGGAAGGAGAACTACCAGACTGGACTTCATGAAGCAGCCTCAGGAAAGGCGACACCTCCCAAAGTGCCAAAGAAAACAAACAAAGTCTTGCGGATGAGCAAAGCCCTGAATCCCAATGCCATCGCTCCAGGTATGATCCAGGCACAGCACCACTGGGACCAGAACTCTTATTCAGCACAAAAGCAAGAGTGCAAGTGGGCAGTTTAATGACAACAACAACAACAACAATTTACTATTTATACCCCGCCCATCTGGCTGGGCTTCCCCAGCCACTCTGGGCGGCTTCCAACAAAATATTAAAATACAATAGTGCATCAAACATTAAAAGCTTCCCTAAACAGGGCTGCCTTCAGATGTCTTCTAAAAGTCTGGTAGAGCACCTGCTTTGAGATCCCAGGTTCAATCCCATAATTTGGAAACTGGCTGGAAAAAAATCTTTGTATGAAACCCTGGAGAGACTGTGGGGCCAATACTGAGCTAGGTGGACCATGGCAGCTTCCTAAATTTCATTAATGTCAATAAATGTCCAAATAACGGTAACAGCAGTCGTTGGAAGGATCCTAGTTGCTGTCAGGTTAAGCCCCACTCCAGTGCTATCTCAAACATTCCCTGGAGCCCGTGACACTGCTATAGTTTTGTTTTGTTTTTAATCTCCCTTAGCATCAGCAGATGCCATTTGTACCTGACCACAGGTGGAGTCAAGATTTAGTTCACAACTTCCAGGTTAGTTGTAGTTTCGGGAACTTCACTTCACCAGCAACGTTCCTTGAGACGTCTGAGGAGACATCTCAATACCCATTCCCTCTAAGCAGACTGATGCAGAGGACAGCTGAATCAGAGACAAGCTGGTGTCCTTCATTAAATACAGAAAGGCAGGGGAAGGAAGAGGGAGCTTCTAAGGATGGCAACTGGCCTTTGATGCAGCGACCCTGCTTGTCAAAATGATTGGGGAGGGAGCCAGTGCTGCTTTCTTGTGTGTGTGTGAACTGCACATCTACAAAAAGCAGGACAGGACATGCCAAGGCAAGGAGAAGAAGCTGCCTTCTACTGAGTCACTACTAGCTCAGTACACCGAGTGGCAGCAGCTCTCCCTGGTTTCAGGCAGAGTTTTCTCCTAGCTCTACTTGGAGATGCTGCGATTGATCATGGGACATTCTAGATGCCACGCAGATCCTCTACTAAGGACAGGAGGGCCATATTGTTGAATGCCTCCGAAATCTGGAAACAGCCTGCTCTTTCACATCATCTGTTCTAGTTTCTGCTAGGAACAAGACCTCTGAAATCAGATACTTCAGGTTTCTCTGCCATCGTACTTAAGATGTTTTCATTGAATATGTCATTCTGAACCACAGGCTATTCTGGACCTCTAACTGGTGTACCACCAGAGAAGTTCAACAGGACAGCCATCCCCAAAGGCTACCAGTCCCCTTGGCGGGAGTTCCTTAGCAGCGAGGACTACCAGATAGACCATGAGACCCGTTTGCCTGAACCTCCCAGAAAAGTGAATAGTTTTGACATCAGGAGCTTCAATAGGTAAGGCCTCATTCAATTTCCGTGTGGAATTTTGAGCTGGGACGTTCAGCATATACTTTAATCAGCATTCACAGCTGATTATGCAATGGGGCTTCCCCTGCCCCACAACAAACAACCCCTGAAATTAGTGTGTGTGTCAGAAGAACCTGTAGAACTGTACGCAGGGGGAATAGAGGGGTGATTGTTCTGTTTGTCAAGCCAAAATGCTTGCCCTGGTAGAACAATTCCCTTAGCACAAGATTGAATTCCTCCCATTTATTTGGGAATAAGCACCGTTTTGTTGTGGGGGGAAATGGGATAATATATTTTTAAAGTTTAAAATAATAAAACGAGCACCTGCAGCCATGAACATTCCTGCCTCCCGCTGACTAGAATTAAAAACAAAATAAAGAAAGGATGCTGTGGTGACTGGAGGCATGCCTGTTCCACCCAAGGGGCTGATGCAGGATCTGTTTGTTGCTGCCACTCTCTGGGTGGTCATTTAGGAGTGCTGCAGGGCCACAGGCTTTGGCCTCAAATTGCATCCCTAGCTGCAGCACTGCTGGCGTCTCAAGATGTTCTTCTGTTAGGCAGACCACCATTCCAGCATCATGGCTCACTAGCAGTAGTTAATGTAGGACTGTTAAAGTAACAGCAATTGTGTAGAAGACATGCTTGCATGTGCCACTGCTTTGCCATTCATTACCTTGTGGAAAATTCTCACAAGTTAATACTTTCAGTTCATCATGGCTTATGGTATGAAAATGTTGGAAGATGGCCCCAGAAAATCTAGCATATAATCATAAACCAACTTTTCAGAAAAGTGCAGGACACCCCCCCATCCCCATCAACTAGGGATGGGGAGCCTGTGGCCCTCCAGATGTTGCTGAACTTCACATCCTGTCAGCCCCAGCCAGCATGGCCAACGATCAGGAATGATAGGAGTTGTAGTCCAGCATCCTCTGGAGGGCAAGATTCCCTCACCTTGCCCCAGGCCAGTGGTGTCCAAACTTTTTCAAAGAGGGCTAGATTTGATGAAATGAAGGGCCATGAGGGCCGACCAAAGTTGTTGACCTTTTTTTAGAATTGAAGTTGTTGAGGTTTTTTTAGGATTTTACCCCAGGAAATAAACTGCCGCAGTGCCCGAATTAGGCCCCTGAAATGGACTTTGGACATGCCTGCACTGGGCAGTGCTTGGTTTGAGGTAGGGCTTTGCTCTGGAGTCTGGTATCACTTCTAGGACTTAGCTGGAGGACATGTGGGTGGCGCTGTTAATGTATTTGCATCCTTCCTCTTGCAAGTGTTTTTCCAGAAGTCCCATTCTGCAGGGATACAAAGTAAGTACAGTCATACCTCGGGTTACAGACACTTCAGGTTATGGACGCGCCAAAACCTGGAAGTACTGGAACAGTTTACTTCCAGATTTGGTGCTTGCACATGCACAGAAACGCTGGGTCGCAACCGCAGGTGCGCAGACGCAGCGCTGCAGGTTGCGAACACTGCGGGTTGCAAACGTGCCTCGCGCACGGATCAATTTCGCAACCCCAGCGTCCACTGTATGAAAAATGCTTTAGGACTTGGGGCTCACTGATGATTGGGCTTATGAATTTGTTCCCAACTGCTAGTAACAGAACCTTGAAATTGTAAGTCTCCTACATCATTGTGTCACTGGAACTGGAGGAAAAGGAATCAAGTGAGGATTGTGTTTACATCCCATGCCACTCCCACATGCTTTTAACCAAGAGTTCTGTTCTGTTTCCTTTCTGCATTAATCTGCAAATTAAAAAACGACAACACTGAAAAGGTTATTTTAATTAGGTATCTAAATATATATTTTTTCTCAAAGTCATATGTAAATCTATATTTTGATATGCTTAAATTGCCGAGAACTGTGTTCTGACATTTGGAGAAGTGTGAAATCTGTTGTGGAGCTCAATTTCAATCCATACATCATTATCTAAAAGGCTATTTCATGTATGAATTAATTAATACTTAATGCCTCAACCACCCCTAACTCCTGGCACTGAAAGTGTAGCTTCCACGCATACTTGAACAGTGGCACTTTTCCTTTTTAAACTGCACTAGCTGACTGCTGTCTTTCACTTACGGGGGTATATATTATAAGAAAAGAGTCAAGAGGGCAATGCAGTTAGGTCAAGGGGAAATACTCTGATTTGATAGCACAGTATTAATCCATTCACCTTAATATGGTTGCCACACTGGCAACAGAAATTAAATGAAACCTATCACATTCATGGCAGAAAATTTTCCACAACTCATAAGGCAATAATTTGCGAGTTAGACTTCCCAGTTTTTACAGTGCAGCCAACCTGATTCTATAAAGCAATCCTAACTCCTAACCAAGGATTTGTTGGACAGGAATGGATTGACGTAGGCTCTCCACCTGCAAGCCAGTCTTTATTTTTCTTGTGCTAGCTCCAAGCTGGTACAACAGAGTAGTTGACACTGGGCTCCTCCTCAGCTGCAAGCCCAGGTTATGACCCAGCGAATCTTTGGCTGACCTACTTCACTCCTTCCCTGACCACAATCTGTCCCATTCAGACCCTTTCCCTGGCTACCAGCACCAGAAATACTGCTGCTGCTACCTTGTCAACAGCTCCCCCGATGACCTTGCCCCTGGCATAAACCAGGAAACCTCTGCCACATCCAATTCCACCCACAGCTTTGCAAATGAAAACAGTCACCAACTTTAATCTTAGAGATCCACACGATGCAGTCAAGGTGCCACTCGTATTTTTGCCTTCATCAGCTGCTAATTGGCAACTTTCAAAACTTCATCATCTGCAGTGTATGTTGCTAAAGCATAATTCATAGCCTCTTCACATCTAAATAAAAAAATTCTTGCTGAAACCAAGACCAACTAGTCTTCGTCACTCCCAATGAGGGCCTGCCCACTGTGGAGGCAAGGTGAGGCAACTGCTTTAGGTGGCAGGATCCACAGGGGCAGCAGATTCGGATGAAGATATTTATTCCTACTCTAGTTCCTGATGTAGCTCTTCACTTACCCCTTCTACCCTGGCAGGGAGGGAGGCACCATTCTGTGATTTGCCTCAGGTGCCAAAATGTCCTGGGCCAGCCCTGCTCCCATTACTGTCTTGCAACGTCTTTTTTAAAAACAGAATCTTCCTGTGTCTCAATATCTTTAACATATGTTGGACCAGGGAACTGTTCCAAAGACTTACTCTTTTAGTTTTGGTTACTGCTCATGTTTCTGTTTATTTCTGGCCCTGTAGCAGAAATACATTCATATATGCTAAACAGACATAGCTGCCTGGTTTCTTCCTCTCTCTGATGTTTTAAATGAACCCTTAGTAGCACTGTATACCAATTGAATTCAGTGCTTACCACGCCTTCATTTGAATGTTTCAGTGATTATGACTTGCCACAAAACAATTCAAGAAAACAAATGTTTCAAGGCAAATAACCTGACCGAAAGGCAAGGAAATTTTTTTAAAGAAAATTATTATTTATTGTATGTTTAAAACAAAACCCACCATGGCCATTAGGGAACCAAGAGGACACAGAATCAGCATTTGGTATGCAGGCTTCTCTATTGACAGGAGCAGTCTGCACTCATTTTAATTTCCCACATTGCCCTGGAGGAATGCTACATCAGGAAGTATTATGGGAAATAAAAATGGCTGCCTATTGATAGGTAAATGAAGTGAAGGCTGCAATTGGGATCAGGGTAGTGGGCAGTGCACCATAGGGTACTATGTCAAGGCTGTCTTCAAAGGCAGCCCAGGTGCCAAGATGGATCTTTGAAAAAATATATATTCTGGAAAAAATATTTTCTTCTGGTTAAGCTTCTCTTTAGCATTCCAACTTAGAACCTTTTGACTTGAAAATTACTTTCATTTCAGTGCCAACAACACTGATTTATTTTCTCAGATACACCCAGATTTTCAGTTTTTACTGCCCTGTTGCAAGTGAAAATAAATAAACTGGCTCTGAGTTTTACACAACGTTTTTGTTTGCATAATACACTTGAATAAATGCTAGTCTTTAGCATCTTAAAATTCTAGATAAAACACCCCCAGCACATCTGCCTTCTAGGTGCTCCTTTCAAGATATAATTCCATGTAGCATGCTTCTTGCTACACCAAGAACACACATAGCTACTTTCAAGCACAATTAGATTTTCACCATAGGACCAAAGTTCTGCAGAGTAACAATACTATTACTATTTTGGAAACAGACACTGACCAGCTGTGCAAAGCAGCAGAGAACTGAAGCCATCTGCAGTCCCCCCTCCCAAAAAAATACACATTGTAAAATAAACACATGCATATATTTCACAAGTGTGAGGCAACTCAAATATTTATAGGAATTGTGTGTGCACTAGAAGAACATCAAGGGAAAACTTGACTGAAACATGCCAGCAGTGAACTCTGTAGGTGCAAGTAAAAACATAAAACATAATTAAAAATCATTTTCTGAGGCCCTTCTTCGTGTGCTTCCTCCAGAAGGTGGCAACACGAGAACAGGCCTTCTCTGCAGTGGCTCCCCATCTGTGGAATATTCTCCCCAGGGAAGTTCGCCTGGCGCCTTCACTATACACCTTTAGATGCCAGGCAAAAACGTTCCTTTTTAACCAAGGCCTTTGGTTGATTTGATTGATATCCTATGCCCTTTTAAAATGTGGTTTTTTGTGGGGGTTATTGGATTGTTGTCTTTATTTTGATTATTTATTTTGTAGTTTTATATCTTGATTTTGTTCTGTGAACCGCCCTGAGACCTCCAGGTATAGGGCAGTATATAAATTCAATTAACAACAACGACGATGTAGCTGAAACTGCTTAGAGCAGACTAGTGCAGCAGATAATGGGAAACGTTTATTTTCAACCCACTTTTAATAATAAACGATCGCCATGACTACTACAGATTGTCAGGACCCACACTATTCTTCTGAATGTAATTTGCTTTAACTTGTTTTTCATTTCTGAATTTTAAATTGCTGTTAACCCACCCTGGGACCTGCTGGCTAAGGGTGGAGAATAAATTTAATAATACATGACCACGGAGGACCAACACATACCGTAATCTCTTCCCCACTTAAGACTGAACGTGCGCTACACACTACAGCCTTCTCTTTTTGTACCCGCAGGACCCCAACCCCATTTGGCGGACCATTACTGAATGATGTGATCCTTGGGTATGAGATGAATGAAGCCCCAACAGACATGAGCAGCTTGGAACTCATGTTAAACAGGCCCAGCTTCAACAGAGCACCTCGGGGCTGGATACAGGCGATGCCAGAATCTGAAGATCTGTAACTTGCTATAATGCTGCTGCCTGACTTTTTCCAACGCCAATGCACGCTAGCCTCCTAATCATGGGGAAAAGAAAGAAAGCACCCTTTTTGATTTCTGTGGTTTTGCACACGAAGACGTAACAATCATCTGTTCCTTAGCAGGTCTTAAAATTTGGTAAATACAATCTCAGACGAACAATAACACATGACTTATTACACTGTGTCATGATTTATTTAACAGAAATAAAGCCAAAATGGAAAAGCCATATGTGAAATAAGGAAGTACACCTTGTGATTCAGTAGCTCGTAGAAGCACCTTTAGCAGCAATAACACGAAGCAATTGTTTTCTGTAGGACTTTATCTCTCTCACATCACTGTGGAGGAATTTTGGCCCATTCTTCTTTACAACATTGCTTCAGTTCATTGAGGATTGCTCTTTCCTCCTTGACATTGTGTTAAAACACGCCTGAATGCTCCAGACCAGCAAGCTGCTAAAAATTCACCTTTTATAGAGGTGGGCACACATGCTGATCATCAATTAAGCAATGACATTTGATTAGCAGCCCCTGTCTGCTACTTAGCTTCTTAATTCTTATGGAAACAGTAAGGGTGGACTTAGCTTTTCACACATAATTTCTCCATCTTGACTTCATTTCTATTAAATAAATCATGGCACGATATGTCATGTGTTGTTGTGCATCTGAGGTTGCATTTACCCAATTTTAAGACCAGTTAAGGGACAAATGATTGCTATTATGTCCTGATATGTAAAACCCCTAATTCAAAGGGGGTGCACTTTGTTTTTCCCATGACTGTATATACCTGCTAAAAGGGAATCTCTCTAGCATAGAATAGATACCCTACTCACACTCAAGGCAAAGCTGAAATAGTAGGTTATGCTTGTTACTATTACATGCGTCCTTCACAAGCTCCCGCCTAGAGCTTTTACTGTACAATTTAACTGTACAAGCACGGCCAGCAACCCACTTCATATTGGGATTTCTTATGTTTTTGAAAGGATCCTACAGTGAAGTGAGGCCTTCTACCAAGCTCATAACTGCAAAAGCCAAGATGTCAGGTTGCTGCTTAACTCTCAAAAGGAACCTAGTTTGTTCAGGAAAGTGAACCTATTTCCTTCTGAGAAGCATGAAGCTACATTCAAGTTCAGATGAGTTATATTTCCTTTGGTCTAAAGAGAAAAACAAGTCTGGATGCCAAGTTTGTGTCAAATACCACCCCAAAATTTTCTACGGGGTGCCATCAAAGTAAGATGCTGTAACAGTAAAAATCACATTAATATCTAGGTAATAGCAATAAAGATTTGAAAGCTGTCTTCTAACTTCATTTTTCGCTTGTCCTAGAAGCTATTTGCAGATAGTTGTTTTTTGCATTCAAGACAAGACCCAACATCTAACTTGAGAACAGAGAGGGATGAGTCATATCTTTAAGGCCCAAGACAAATTAGGTTGCGGGGACACAGTAGCAGTTTGCTATGGAACCTAAATACAACATCACCATGGTGCTAATGAACTAGTGCTGAGAGAGCCAACTCTGCCATCTGATGAGAGGAGCTCTTTCCCATTAGCTCTTGAGGAAAGCAACACAAAGTTTTGTTCTCGCTATTCTATTTAGCCTCATTAAATATGTAGCAGGATATGTGAAATCTAAGAAGCCCATTAATATAAAATATTTAAATTTCAACTTAAGGATTAGAGAAATTAGTGGGAAATGGACTTGAGGGGGGAAAGCAGGGCAGTAAATTCATGCTTGCCATTTCAATGGAAATCGCATGTAAACAGCATTCTAGGATTGCAACTTAAGATCTCCTTACCCACAAACTGGAAATAAAACAGAGAAAAGGGACTGAAATTAAAACAGGAAAAAGGATTGCCACTTAACTGACCTGTTTGTTACTAATACAGTTCCCAAAATGGACCGCAAGTGGGCGCTACTGGTCTGATCACACTGTCCTGGGTTTTCAACTCTGCCTGTATTGTTACAGGCATTTTATAAAGCAGACCTACATATTCCAGATCTTGGAATAGATGAGAACATACCAGCAGTAATAGGAGAGTTTTCATTTAAATACTTACTTTCATTAATTTATAGCTGCTATTATTATTATTATTTTGTTTATTCAGCTTTGTGAAACTCCTGTGTAATTTTTATGGCTATTTTAAATTATTGGTATTTATGTGGCTATTAAACTAGGCAGTTTTTCTTAGATTGCTGTTAGTGATTGAGGGGCTACAACATGTAAAATAAATGTAATATTAAGAACATTAGCTGTCAGAGGGACTCTTTAAAAGGGAACTTAAAAGCTAATTCCTACCAAAGGGGGCACTTCAACAGCTATTCCGAACATCGAGAGTAGACTTTCCATTCCAGCTCCCATAACACAGCATATAGGCAATTTAATAGGTAGAAATATCAGACTATTATTTGTTACAAAATCCTTGTCAGTGAAGGAATAGTTCTAAATTTATGAACTGGAAGTGATGTTTACATTTGGAAATATGTGGGAAAATAAAATGAACTATATTTTAAAATGCTTGTTGCTTGGTTATTTGGTAAAACACTTCAATATTTGAGATTCATCTCTGATGTCATTTTAGAATTTGTTAAAGCCTTCAAATTGCTTCAATAAGGACTTGGGCACTTTTGATAAATAGCATAGCACCTGCAGCTTCACACCAGTGTGGGGGCCTAAAAAATCAAAATGCCTTTGTGCAAATGTTCATCAGTCACTTTTATATTCCATCTTTTTAGTAAATGGGGCAAACAGTAAGCAATGCCAAATCCATTTCTTTTACACAACTGCCTATGCAAGCAAATTCCAGATATCACTGAGTGAACCTGCAAAGTGCTGTATTTTCTTTTTTTAGAAAAAAAAATGCACACAAGGTAATAAGACTTGGGCGTAGGTAAAAATATGATTCTCTTTACTAGGACACATGACAGACTTGATGCAGAAAAACAGATGGTACAGGGTAAATACCGAAAACACATATCTAAAAGAGCCATCAGTAATCAAGTGTTGCGTTAGGAAATAAACCAGACTAGTTTCAGTAGCAAATGGACATGAAGGCCACGTAAGTCACAACTCAGAGTCACCAACCCCTTTAACAGAGGTTTAACAAGCATGCAATGCTGCCGCCCCAACATTTTGGTAGCATGCATCACAGACAGAATCATGAATGATGAGAAACAGCGTTGAATAGAAAGTGGCACAGCATCCATATGCCCCTCATTATAGTCTATGACCTCCCTGTATCTTTCCATTCCAGCTCAGCGCCAAGAGAAACTTGAATCTAGTTTTAACGGCAACACAGTAATTTGACATTCAAACAGATTACTACTGAAGGGCTTTCCAGGCCATTCTGAACAATGTTGGGTAGTTTCCACTGGGGATTACCAAACTGTCTTAAAGGAGGGTGTCTCGTTTTGTTGCCAAAGACTAGTTTATTTGAAAGTATCCAAAATTGAAAACGCTGATGGGATTTGTAGTTCTACTAGAATTAAAATTCCTCTAGGTCATTAAAAAAAAAGAAGCCACTGTTTCCTCAAAATACTTGTATCAAGTTCTTTGGTTATACAAGTGATCTGGTTTTTTGTTTGTGTAACACAGCTAGACTGAACCAGGGCCGTGTGGCTATGAAGGAGAGATATTTTGTTTCCTGCACATTGTAACTGAATGTGGTATGCTACCAACGTAAAGTTCCATAAAAAAACAAAGAAGAAGAAGAAAATAAACAATGAGAATGATCTTGCGATGTTAGGGGCTGTTGTGCTTCCCGGCATGGGCACCCATTCTCTGTGGATCTTGAGAAGGATAATGGATAGGACCCGGAGCTCTCATGAAAGGAGGTGGAGGACCCATCGCATGAAACATGTGTGGCCCAAAACCTGCGGAAAAGAGGACAGACAATCTTTGACACTTGATCAAAGCTTTTATAGGTAAGAGAAAATTCTCTGAATTTGTGACCGGCACCTGACATACTCCTTTAATTAATGTCAGATACCTTGATTTTGTTGTCTTTAACACAATTTCTTTCTTTTTTTATTTCTTTTTTAAAGCAAGTTATCATTTTTTTATCCATCTTGCTTGGGTAAGCCACATGGCTGTTTCCTAGCAATCAAGCACAAGACTGGGCTGCAAATCTTCCAATGAAAAATAGTCTGACCCCACAATTACATTTCCCACAATGTTGCTTCACAAGCGATCGCTTCTCTGCTGCTAAATGCCATGATAAAATTGAGCGGGATGATTAAAGAAGCAAACACGCTCAACTAGCCTTCTCTTTAAGCGAATACCAATATGTTTTGGAGGGCTGAGTTTGCCTATGCCTGTCCTAGAGATTAACTAAGCAATAGAAAGTAGCTCCATAGATGCAAAGACAAGACATTCTGCTGCATATTTCCCCAGAAAACAAAGGAAAAATACCTGGGGGTGGGGGTGGAGCAATGCCAGGCGGGGGTGGCAGGGCAATGTTCACCACAGCTGGAGGGCCACTGGGAGGTAGGTTGAAGTAGTTTGCAGAGGCTGCCTCCTCTTCTGCTGCAGGAGGGGGAGGAAGAGCTGTGGGGACACAAAAGCCTTGATGTCAACCTTTTTCAGCAGACGAGAGCAACCCAAGTCCATGGAGCACTACTGCTGTCCATTTTCTCAATGTCTATTATCGTTTGTATAGGTTCAGTAAAGGAATTTCTTTCCCTATCAAAGTCACCTGACTCTAAATCAAATGCCTCATCTTGCCAAGGCCTATATTATTAGGTTTCAAATGAGCTCAACCACCCAACTTTTAAAGCAGGAAGGAGAATTCTGCAAGGCACTAGATGTTCTTGGACTACAACTCCCATCATCCTTGCCCCATTGGCTGTGCTGGCTGGGGCTGATGGGCGCTAGAGCCCAACAACATTTGGAAGACCACAGGTTCCTCATTTCTGCCTTAAAGTATAACTTAACTCCCTTCCGTCCAGGGGTCCTTTACCTTTACCTTTTACCTCCCTCCCTTCTGATAAACTTATTCACAGACTCTCTCGTAAGCACTGTTTCCTTCTCTAGTACTAATTCAGCCAGTCTCTAGCTATGCCAACTTCAAATGAGACCTTCTTAACCTCTCAGAATAAAAATGTTTATTGCGCCTCTGTTTTCCAAATAAACAGAACAAGAAAAGCAATTTTTCTGCAATTCACCTTGTCTAGAATGTCAGAAAACCCATGTTTCTGAACAAGGAGCACTTTCCTTACCTCCAGGTAATCCCGGCACTGGCTCCAATTTTATACCAGATTCTGTGATTCCTTCTCTTTCCTTTTCTTTTCCTCGGGCTGCTTGAGACCTGAAACCAAATCAAAGCATTTGAACTGTGGTCAAGTATTAAGCTGGGTGGATGCTGGACTTCCAGATTTTAAAAACTGTAAGCATATATTAACAAAAACAAATTTACATTTTTATATATATTTTTTAGAAAAAGCACAGCCAGTGCCATACTTTAATAACTGTGTATTTCAACCGATTTGCAAAATATACTTGGTAATGCTCCCTAATACTGTATAGATAGGAAGAGAACTGGGTGGCTTTCTTAGAATGGTCATAGCTCTATGAGAAGCTGCACGAGTTCAGCTTGGAGAATAAGCAAGATGGTGCTCTCAGCTAACTGCAAAAACTCTGTCAAGGAAGAATCTCTGAAAGAAAAATACATGTTGCCATCACTTGATTTTCTTATCACTCACCTGCCCCATTTCACATTAAGCCTGCGACCATTGACAATGAGCTTGTTGAAGGACTTCTCTGCTGCCACTTCTGCAGCTTGTCGGGTAGCAAACTGGATAAATGCACACTGTTGCCTCTGCACCACAGTTATTGTCCGGATCTCACCAAACTGATAGAAGTGATTCCTGAGGAGGAAACATATTCCAATAAAGAAATGCCCTTTTTCACATTCCTGAAGTCTAAGATGCTTCAAATCCAATATACTCCACAACCTCAAAGCTTATTGTGCAGACATACCAAAAGACATGCAACCAACACTGCCAAGCCATACCATCTGAAGTAGATCCAAAAATGCACTTACCTAAGGTCAGTCTCAGTGATGGTGTCACCCAGGCCACCTACATACAGCGTTGTAATTGTCTTGTCATCAGGTGGGTCCAAACGAGGCATTGTGGAAGCTCGTTTGAGAAGCTTGTCAGCCACAGGATCATTAATTCCATAGTAACGATCTTTGATATTCTGATCTGCAAGCGGATCATCTGGATCTGTAGGTTTCTCATGTCTAAGGATTCAAGGGCAATATTTCATGACATTTGTTGTTAAGTGCCAATTTCACCTGTCTCGTCTAACCTTTTAATTACTCAGACATCTGCTTTCTTGATAAAGTTTACTTTTTCACCATAATTATACCTGTAGGGACATTCTTCTCCTCTTTTACACTCTCCTTTCACCCAGAATGAACAGATATGTGGACGGTTGCGTTTATAGTAAGGTGTGGTCCGAGCCAGTTTCAGCAACATGTCACTGGTGGATGTTGCCTTTCCTAAAGCACCAACAGGTCGGGTGCCATCAGAGTTCATGATCTACAAAAGCAGGGAAACAGGGATGTACACAATAAAACCAGGTGGAAAACACATGTCTTAGTGATCTGGTTCATTTACTTTAACACCACTAATTACACAAGAAACATTACTTCACCTCTCTTTCCATATTTTGGGTGTAATACTCTTTGTTAACATCCGACTTGGGCATATCATCTTTAAGCGAGAGTCCAGCATCTCGAACCTGAATAGGCAAACCTAATATATAATGGGGAAACAGAAAATTAATATAAAAGCAAAACAATAATGACCACAAACGTTATAAGCAAAGTATTTAAGCAAATAATTTGAGAGCATTTGAAAGTAGATCATGGACTAAAACCATGGACCTCTGTCCAGTTATTTCCCTTAAGAGAAGCAGGCTGAGCACATACTGCAAGAGACAATTTCAACTTCATCTCCACTATTAAAAAATGTCAGCAATGACTGCCTAGTGTTGGAAAGCTGATGCTAAATTCAGACTCTCCAAGCAGAGGGAATAGCACTAGTATGTGCCATGCAGGCCCAAATGTGGAAGGGGAGTCCATATACAATCTGTTTTTGTACTGAAATTGATTTTAGATGTTTAAATTTTGTATCACTCGGCATTCCAGGATCCTTTGAGATGAAGAACAGGATATAAAATTTTAACAACAACAACATTCTATACTCGGCAACAATATGTTAATTTTGTATTTGCACAGTATAGTAAAATGATAGCTACACACCATACTCCAGGTCAAGAAGGCAGGTCTGACAAACATTTTTCAGCTTGCTGCATGTTTGGCACACTTCTGTCTTCTTAAAGCGCATCCGTACACCCGGGCACCAACGAAATACTGTGAATGGCCTAGCACAGATCTGAGACAAGATTGCATTAACATGTAGCAGCCTATCTAACTATAGAAGAACACATGACTAGTGCACTTTCAGCTGTCAACACTACATAAACTCAAAACAAGGGAAGTAATTATTGGAAGACTCAATGAGGATGGGAACTGATTGCAGTGTGTTTAGTCCTTTTTAGGCAATGCTATCTTTGCTGTTCTCCATTATTCCATTGTGGAAATGAATGATACGTTTTGCTGTGTAGATCTAGCAACACTGTTGTATACATGTTCTATTGACACCATCGAAGTGAACTGAACTAAACTAAACTAAACTGCATGAGTAAGATTTAATGCTTATCCTTTATTGCTGTGACACTAAATTGTCAGGAAATATTTCTACCAGTAATACAACCACCCTTTAAAATTATGTCACTGTAACATACTCTCTTTTGAATGACAAACATACCTTGCATTCTTTTCCATATTTCTCTTTGGTCTAAAATAAAGGAAAATACATGTTATAAAAAATAACTGTATCCCAAGATTATATGCCTTTTGAAATCCAGTTTACCTTGTCAACTCCTACAAATTATCTCCACAATATATGTTAACTGTACTGAATGTTACTTTATCTGCTCAGACTGTCCTAGGGAACAGAAGAGAATTCACACTTTCTCTGATAAGAATATGCAAAAACCTCTGACCTCACATCTCTTTCTAAAGAGACTGAAAATCATATTTCTACAAGAAATGTTATCTTGATCTCCCTTCCAAGCATAAAGGATACTGCCTGCCAGGGATTCAATGGAAGTAGTCGTTTTTTATACACAAAAGGGAAATGTTTCTTACATTAAATCTTTGTGGGAATGGCTGGTTACATAACAGCTGTGCATGTACACCAGAGTGTAAATTTGAGCATTAGTAAAGAATAACTTCAGAGAAAAATGATTCTTATGGAGAGCCTGCAAACACAAATTGAGGCACATCACTATGATCAGTCAAACTGATTTTAAAAGGATTTATAAATGCTTAATTTCCAATCACAGACAAACAAGTGATCTAAATACCTACTAAGATATTCATCTCAATATATTTAGCATAATCTTCTACCAAGGAAACTATAATACAATACATTGCTTATTCTTGCAAGTGAATACACAAGAACAATAGGGACCCCGACCATTGGTCCAGTCGCTGACAACTCTGGGTTTGCGGCGCTCATCTCACTTTACTGGCCGAGGGAGCCGGAACAACTTCCGGGTCATGTTGCCAGCATGATTAAGCCGCTTCTGGTGAACCAGAGCAGCGCACGGAAACACCATTTACCTTCCCGCCGGAGTGGTACCTGTTTATCTACTTGCACTTTGATGTGCTTTCGAACTGCTAGGTTGGCAGGAGCTGGGACCGAGCAACGGGAGCTCACCCTGTTGTGGTGATTCGAACCGCTGACCTCCCGATCGGCAAGCCCTAGGCTCAGTGGTTTAGACCACAGTGCCACCCGCGTCCCTATTCACAAGATCAATACCTTAATCTAAAACATATTTTCTTAGAAGCAAAATCCATCACATAAAGAGTACATACTTTATAACAATGAAGTCAGAATTGGAAGTTCCCTGCAAGTTAATATCCTCTTATCTTTGTTTCATTCTGCTGATCTTTAGTAATAGCCCACAATAAACACATACCATTCGAATATAGGGGTTTTCTCCAAGACATGTCTGGCACAAAATGGGGAAATCCTACACAGAAGAAAAGAAAATAATTTCACTGCAAGCACATTTCACCAACCCTGAATTCATAAACAGAATGTCTATAAACGTGTCAATAAACAGGATGTCTATAAACATGTCTATAAACATCCTGTCTATAAACAGGACGTTTCAAATTGAATGTGAGAACGAACAACTCAGACATTCCTAATATCAGTAAATGGATCTGATGTAAAGCATTCAGTGTCACGGGCACTTCTGGGGCTGGGTGCTACTTATGTGTACAGTATCAGCTTTATTTTTAAGTGCTGTGTCACAATAGCAAAAAACGGCAAGAGGAGAACAAATGAGTGCAACTCAAATCTCCTGGTTTCTTCAGCCCGTGAGAGAAAGCACAGCAATGAGTTCTCACGTTTAAAGCATGCAGTTAAATACATCCTCCTAACTGCACTTCGGCATATTAGGCGAACAGCCCACACGCCCACTGCTGCGCAGCAACAGTTAACACCTCACTAGCTTCGCTAAGCTAGATTCTCCCCAAAAACGTCTCTTTTACAAGGTGGGAAATCGTGGTTAGCACGAGGCTTCTCGCTGCCGACTCCCAGGACTCGGCAAGAAGCAGGAACCCAGCCGCCTCACTGGGCGGGCGGGCGGGCGGGCGGCAGCGGATCCCTTGCCCGCGGGAGACTGAAGAGCCCCGAGTAGCTCACCCCCGCACCCCTCTCCTTCCCGCCCCGGCACCCGAGGGAACCACCCAGCCCCGGGGGGTATTTACCGCATCCTCCCAGTTCTGCCGATTATACGTGTTGGATCCCAGAGACGTCGCCATCTTGGCACGCCGAACAGGGGCGCCCGGAAGTAGACTGTCGGCACGCCGGAAGCGCTCCTCACCTCGCCATAGAGATAGAGACGGGTAGAGTGGCAGCGCTGCCTCTGCAACGGGGAACCGGCGGCCCTACAGACCGGGGGAGGGGGCTTTTTTGGGGGGGGTAGACCTCTTGCTCCCATCAACCCAAGGCAGCATGGCCGGTGTCCAGAGCGCTCAGCTGTACTGAGAGGTCACAGGTGTCCTGTTCTCACAGGATTGCAGCCTGTCTGGAAGCCATAGAACGATAAAATCGTGGAGTTGGAAGGGACCACGAGGGTCATCTAGTCCCACCTCCCTCCGTGGTGTTTAGTAGGAAATGCCTAATGGGAAAGTGCTCAGTTCACAGCCCCCCACAGGCCAGTGGGTAGAAAGCGAGACGTGAGAGGTAGAGCTGTGTCATAGAATCAATGCAATGCAGGAATCTCAACTAAATAATCCATGGCACATGGCCATCCAACCTCTGCTCTGTCAGAAGGTTTTTCCTGTTTAGTCGGAATCTCCTTTCTTGTAGCCATGGGTTCAAATCCTACCCTCCAGACCAGTCGTCTGCATCCTATTACAGGTCACCCCAAACACTGAGCAGTGCAAGATTCCAGAGGTCTTGGCACTTGTCCAGGGATTTTTTTTCCTTTGGCATGAGGGACAGCAGGGACTGTGGTGTCTTTATGATTAAGTGTTCCGTTTACACATATATACAGTGGAGGGATCTCCAGCATTCACATCTCAAGAGCATTGGATTCAAAGGCAGCCAAACAGCCATCCGTCTGCCTTTTCCAGCTTGTTCCAGCCAGCCCACCGAGAGATCTGCCCTCCCTTCTCACCTTCTTTTCAAACCTTTCCTTCTGTCTACATCAGGGGTGGCCAACTCCCAAGAGACTATGATCTACTCACAGAGTTATAAACTGGCAGTGATCTACCCCCTTTGCGGGGTTCAGGTCAAAGTTGTTGAGCTTTTTTTTAGCGGAGCAAAAGTTGTTGAGCTTCTTTGGGGGGAGCCATTGATCTATAAAGTGATCTACAACAGATGTCCAGTGATCTACAGATAGATCATGATCTACCTGTTGGATGTGCCTGGTCTACATCATCCAGGCTAAAACCCTAAACGTTTTCTTTCTCTGCCCACTGGCACACACAGTTGGATGAGATCCCCCCTCCTCCTTTCTCACACAGGCTTCACCCTATTGATAGGTTGATGACTGGCCATCATCAGCCAGCTCTTAAGAGCTTATCTCCTACCAAGGTGGTGCCCTGGTCCGAAAAACAAGGTTAGCCTGCATAATCAGTGCTTTAACCCTAGCTCCCAGGAATCTATAACACTGATGAGTGTTTAGCTGAAACCTCCGGATGAGTCCTCCCAACAGTTTTATGTAGGTGTTAAATAGCACAGGGGAACAAGATGGAACCTAGAGGCATCCCAACTGCTCTGTATTGGAGCCACTATGAAATCGTACCTGCAGATGGGCAGTGTTGTTCTCATATTCTGCTTGCAGGCTTTCCCCAGGCATTTTGAGAGCAAGGTGCTTGACTAGAAGGGCCACTGGCCTAATCTAGGTGGCTCTTGCATTGTTTTCAGATGGAGGAATTTGTATCTCATACCAAGGATCATCTCATAACATAAGACATTCCATGAGTCTACAAGCAAAGATGTTTTTCCTAAAATGGGAACTATAGGTTATAATTTCTAGGAGTGATGCCCAATTAATTTTAGTCTGAGAATAACAAAGATTCCAATTGGCTCTTTGTATAGCAATTTTTAAAAAATTACGATAGGTGGCAATTTAAGCACAGGTACTTGCAGTATGGGGCCAATTTAAACATTACATGGCAGCAACCATTGGCTGTAAAAAGGGGCAGTCTTACAGCAATTTAACCAGCAACAAGTAATGTCAGTAGCAAGTGATAACTCACTGCCAGCAGCTAGGAGCTGTACCATTCCTAGTTCAAATATTACTTCAGTCACAAATTCACTAGGAAGCATTACGTAATCTCTTATCCTTAACCCAAGTGTCTTACAGCAATCATGTAAGGATAACTGAAATAAGCAATTGGAATAAGCAAAATAAGGTATTGGAAATGCACAATATAAATGTTAATTATTAATGTCTAAGCACATTTGAGTGCTTGTATGCCCAAGATGCTAATGTACTACAAAATTGGACAGACAAGAGTGATAAAGGCATTTAAGACATACTCATTCTCATGGGGAAGAACTTGAGCAGACGAAGCAGAGTGATAATTCACAGTAGTAAGGAATGTGTAAATGAGCCTTTACCTTGTATGAAGTGGGACACAGACTGACTGGATTCCCCGTAGTCAGCAATTAAATCATTAAACCATTTTTATCCCATGTCTCCTTCCAATATTCCTTTCATTTCTCTTGAGCCAAAATTGGCTGTAGCTCAAGTGCAATTCCAGGAGCTTAATATGATCTACCTCACCCTATGGCGGCAGTTGGCTGTATCAGCTGTTCTCACACACACACACCTGTCTTCGTTAGGAGCCAATAGCAGCTTATGTGTGGCTCTCAATGGTCTCTCAAGCAGGCACTGATGAGGCCGACACCTGTTAAGGTCCATCAATGCTACTGTATCAAGTGCTCCCACAGCATTCCTCATGCCAAGCTTTCGCAGCTTGTGTTTTGCCCATATATAAGGGCATAGTAGGTACACTTAAAATCACTGCACTCCTAAATCCAGTCCAACACCATTATGCTTGCATAGCGAGAAAATGACAGTGGCAAATACTGTCCTCTACATTACACCCTAAGGATTGGTGCTATCAGAAAAAGTACACAATAAAGAAATGGCTTTGTCTGCTTCTTTATTTCAAGTTCACTACATTAAGTAAAACAATAAGGCAACACAGTCATTTTATTAATATTGATAAAGGCAGTGTGTCTCCAGTGCCCTCTAGTGAGGATTCAGTGAGATGTTTCTGCAGAAGTGTGTAATACAGAACAGAGTCCTAAAAGATTAAAAGGAAAAAGCTTCCAATGTATGCCCCAACTTTCCTATATGTTTTGCAAAGAAGCTTCGGGTGTGTATCACTTCAGCACAGCAACAGCTCTCGAAAATGAAGTTCCCAAATATTATTCAGCCAAGAATTATCTTGACAGAATTAAATCAGGGGTTAGTTTGAGTTATTTTAAAAACTGAGATCAGCAGACACTAAACACTACACATTTAAGAATAAACACTGGTTAGACTTATTAAACTCATGCTTTATATTGTGTATAGTCTACGCAGGTCTTGTGAACATCGAGCTTCTCTTTTTCTTTACATCCATTGCACAAACTGGATAAGGTGCTACCTTCATCCAAATGCTGCCAAACAAATGAAGACTTTTAAAAGACACACCTCTGAACAACTTGCAATCTACAAGAAAACAGTTTTCCCACAGCCTTGAGTCCATTTACTTTAATCCAAGATGGAAATAAGCATTCCTCTTTCTTTCTGAGGCTACAAAATAAGCTCTCATATTGTAACGCACACCTGCTTACAACAGTATTCAATCATGTGATCTGAACATGCCCCCATTACTCCCAGGCTACAACAGCAGAGCCCCATTCAAAGCACACCTACATCTGTTACGTAGTCTGAGAATTATAAGCAGAAAAAGCAGCCGAGTTCCACCATATGCATTTTTCTTCTCAGTAATCTAACAAAAAATATTAGCCAAGAAGTTTGTGTTGGAACATACCTCTGCATTTTGTGTCTCTGTGTGTATGCAACACTGCAATGCTGAATTTTTGAGTATGGGTGGAAGGTTAGAGCCAAGCTCTGGGAATTAGAGTTTACAACCATTTATTTCTTCAATTTGCTACTAACAAAGCCTTGTGAAAGCCATTCACTTTTTCTTATAATGGTATGGGAATCAAATATTAAGTACATTGTGTGCAAGGATGCACGGTGGGCGCTTGTAGCTACTTCTTCCAAGAGATTTTAAACTTCAAAGCATACCGAAAGTGATCTCACGTATCAAAATTCTCAGCTATCTTTGGTCATAAACCTATTCCTAAATAAATAATTTAACAAAAAACACACAAATGATTCCCCACAATGGCACCCCTGCTACAATAAGTGCAGTACAGCAGCATTTTCATTTATGAACTACCCTAGAACCTGTTCCATTTTTACACCTGCATCTTTCAATGTAAGAGTGGCAGAAGACCCGCCCTCCTCCCCACAAAAACCTGCAGAATATTGGGAGGAGCATTCAAATGCCTTTTTTTCTTAAGAGCCTTTCCTTAACAAAGTATGCAGGACAAGATAACATCTTATGAAATATCAACTTCTGGTACATGAGTAAAAGGCCAACAAGTGCTATTTGAAACAGATGGCACATCCAATTGAAGGTGGAAGCAAGAGAACATTATACTGCTGCCGCTGCTTGCTGTTTCACTATAGATGGTGCTACTGCAGCCTTGGAATAATTTTTACTGTGAACAGAACCTACCACAAGGGAGAGAGATGTTGGCATTATGTAATACTAGCTTTGCAAAACCGATGCAGAGAGCGCCAAGTAAGGTCGTTTGCTGGGAAATTCCATGCCGTTTTATCAAGGAGCAATACAAGATGACCACAGAATGTGCACACCAAGCTTTCTGCTACAAAGCTGACCAAGCGTGGGGGGCGGGGGACGACGACCATCAATTCATAGGTGTTGCAGAGAGGAGAGTCATCCAAGAGTGTGGCTCTTCTCTTCTAATCCGACCTCTGCATCTTTTGGCTGAAATTTGTGGTGTGCGAGCTCATATCTGATGGGAGCCTCTGTGAAACAGTGCCTTCAGCATTTTGTCAGGATGCATTCTTCTATAGAACAGTGACACAATGTAGTGTGTGGCCATCGTTTAGGTTCCAGTTACAGACGAGTTTCATGGAAGCACAGGGCCCAGGCTGAGCTCCACGTGGTGATTGAGCCAGATGACCTCACAACTCTGATCACTTTCCTCCGTGGGCCGGATAGGAGCGGCAAGGTTTTTGAACTCATGTTTCATCTTAAAGCTCACAGTAACTTCTCCCTCTTCTTTCTGTGGAGTGACCTTGATGAATATCCCAACTTTGTTAGCCTTCCGGAAGGCTATGATGCTGCAAAGGAAGAAGAGAGGTTTTAATATAATTCCACAGCACTTCCCTGTGAGCTATGTCACTAAGAAAGTTTATTAGTTGCTTAAGCCAACTAGAATAGCTAGACAGAACTAACCAAATACATGGACTTGCCCAGTGCTAAAAGAGGAGTTCATGGGTATGCCTGAATTTGAATTTTCAAAAAGTAAGAGAAGCCCTTCTGAATCAAGCCAAATGTCCACAAAATCCAGTATCTTGCTTCAAACAGCCAGCCAAATACCTCCAAGAATCCCACAAGCAAGACATGAAGTCAAGAGCCCTCTTTCAAGCCTAGAAACTAGAATTGACACATATTGCCTTCCTAGCAACTAGCATTCAGAGGTATGCCAGCATTGATATATCCCTCCTCCATGAACCTGTCAAATTTCCTTTTAAAGGGCTCTAAAGGAAGGCTCTAATTGTTTTACATGAAGCACTTCCTTTTGACTGCCCTGAATTCCCTGCCAATCAATTTGACAGATCACCCCAAGTTCTAGTATTATATTGGGGGTGGGATGTTCTTCTATCAACTACTTTCTAAATTCCAAACTACACAGCAGAGGAAAATAAATACTGTGCTATCAGTTGCCAACCTGACGGAAGCCAACACCATCAACTGCCAATGAATCATGGATGACAAATTGATACACAGGTCTGTAACATATGGAAAAGCTTACTCAGGATCATCTTGAAAATCTTGAGGCTCTGCCAGCTCGTCATATTCTGCTGCTGCATCTTTGCCAGCCAGGAGTAGCTCTTTGGAAGGAACCACCACCTGAAAAAGAGTTATGTAGAAAATGTGTTTTGCAACAAGTAGCCAACCAACATTCACCCTGCTTTCCCTGTAGTATATATACGGTAAGTAATGGAGCGGGAGAGATTGCCTGTGGCCAACTGCAAGATACAACGCTGGAATGAAAATACCCAATACATCTTCAGTGCATGTTACTATCATCATTTAGTATATATTTATATCCCATCCTTCCTCTCAAAAGGAGCCAGAGGAGGAAACATACACTTTTTAAAACAAACAAACAAACAAACAAACAAACAAACAAACAAACCCCACCTAATATGGCAAACCCCTTAGTGCTTATGGCACCCACATGGGTACCAATACCATGCGGAAGTCTCTTTTTGCATAGCTACATATAAATCCACCCTAAGTCTTCAATGACAGATGGCTATTTATAGGAGCATACAGTCAGTGTAGCTTCCAGCACAGCATCAAAGTATGGCCTAGAATCTATGCTAGGAAGAAGCTGCAGTACCTTAGCAGTACTACTGGTGTCATCAGGATCACCTTCCTCACACTCTTTCAGTGTCACATGAGTGAGATTTTCCACTGGATTGGTGAGAGTTAGAAGAACTTGACTCTCCTGTGCAAATGACAGACACACAAAGGAAACGATCACTCTCAGCAATAATCTTTCACCCTGTTTTTATGCTGTTGCAAAAAACACGTTTCTGCCTTTCACTGATGCCTCTAAAATTCACAAATTTCTCACATTTAAAAAAAAGCTAGTCTTCCAGTCATTCAGTTAGTGATTTAGTTAGTGTTTATATTTGTCATAGCAAACATTATACTGCAAAAGGCATTTCCTCCTATATACATGAAACGGAGTTGTGCTTCAAGATGGTGCTTTTTTAAATGTCATCCAATTATTCGGGAGGGGGGAGACTTTTAGTTGATTAAAGATCTCCCCAGTTCATTCATCCAATCAAATAAACATCAATTGCGGCTCTTCTGAAACTACAGCTTGCTCAAACCATGATTTGGTGTGGTGTCTTAAATTGAGCCAAGGTTATAAAAAATAACGCACTCAATATGAAAAGCTATATAAAATAAATAAAAAGTTGGTTTAACACTGACTCACATGCAACCTTTAAAACTTCCAGCTCCCAGGAGGCCCAACCATCATAGCCAATTGTCATAAATGATGGGAGTTGCAGCCCAACAACTCTGGAGGGCCACTGGTCCCCATCCCTAATTTAAAATCCCACCTCTAGAAAGACTGTTCAAAATACACAAGAACAAACCTTCATATAGCGCAGATTTGGAATAGACATGATTCTCACTTCTGGGATATAGTTGCTACAATACAAATAAAAGAAAGTAAATAGCAAATTCAAGTATGAACCCAACATCTCTAGACTTCTGACTGCACTTTCACTTTTAGATATCTGGCTTCCTACCTTTCAACCCAGAATGGGTTCTTAACATGGTGATGTTTTAAAAAGTGGAAAAAGTAGATGACTACAAACACAACATGGTTTAATTTTTTTTAAAGGGAACTGTACTACATTAGCTACAACTTCCAAAGTTTTAACTGAGACTAAATGAGAACATGGCGCCAGACTTAATTAAAGAGGTTGGTTTAAATTACATTTCAAAACTGGAGTTTGTACACCAAGTAGCCCTCTGTACATATACTATTATGTACCTGCATGTAGAAGACAAGTCACTAGTGTGTCAGAAGGAAGGCTAGACTAGGTCCCTGTTCTCTGATATCCCAGTTTGCTATGTGTTGTGATTTCTGTTTTAGGAGCTCTCACCTATAGTCTGAAGTGGAACAACTCAGGAGAGAATACAGACCCAACCGTAAGTGTTATAGATTGTTGCTTCCACCCATATCCAAAATACTTACACAGCTACCAGCTGAATTTTGAATTTGATGGATGTAGGGTTGAACTCTGGTTTACTCAAATTGTGTTCACATTTCTAGGGGAAACAAACATTAACAAAATGTGTGGCCAAACAGCAGACAACAACCTACAACTACAAATGCTACCACTGAGACATTTTTTTAAAAAAAGAAACACCAAAAGCAGTAGAAGTAGAAACTAACATATTTTTCAGCAAAATCTACATACCCGGCACCGAAGGGAGCGTTTGATCAGCAGATGCTTATGACGTGGGTAAAGTTGAGAAGCACAGATTGGCTGGAAGTCTGGCTGGAGGAGGCGCTGTCGTAGGGTTGTCACTGTTCACAGTACAAAGTAAACAAACAAACAAAAAACAGTTTTGAGCAATACAAAAGAGTGACCACCACCTGAACATATTAAGCTGGGGCAGGAGAGCACAAGAGATATGCTAAGAGCTACTACCTTCTGTCAGATTGATTGGTCGTGTGTAATAGTCCTCAGGCAAAGGCTCCACTTCCTCCACAGCCTGAGCAGGTTCAATTTTTATCTCCTTCTGGTCCTCTCCATCTTTCAGCCTGAGGCAAAAAAGAAAGCAGCTGCTTAGGATAATCAGAAAGTTGCTTAGAAGTAACTGAGCACAGTAAAACCTCAATAATATTACAATTACTGGCTAAATTAAAACTTTCGCAGAGCAACTGTAAGCAAGTTGCTGATTGACATTCAGACCTCCTTACAACACCTAGAACAATGACACAAGGCTACAGAGAATGAGTGGGAGAGAGAACTTGCTCAGCCAGGTGAAGGTGAAAATTGATGTGCTTTTCAAAACCATTTCTTGAAATTTTCCCATCTTTAAGATAATACCATAAATGAGATCGGCATGTAAATATTATAAAGAAAAAGTTATCGACATTCACTAGCCTTAATTTTCACTAGTTCTGCAATCCTTAAATGCCACACCCTTTAAAAAAACTTCTTAAGAACAGCTGTTCTAGGGATTAGAGGATTAACAACAAGGAAAAATACAGAAAGGGACAAAAAAGCACATTGCATTTAGTGTTGTCCCATTTATGGAGGCCCCTTGATCCAGAGAAGGCTTCTGCTGACAGAGGAGGAAGGGAGGCAATTTCCACAAATTCCTCCTCTCTCTTATTTTTCTTTTGTTAATAACATTTATGTAGTGCTTGCTTGTAAGAGAACTTCTAAGCAGTTTACAAAAATATACAGCCCTCCATGCCACCTCTTATAATATTTTGGATCTCCCAACCTCCTGGCAACAAAGAGCTGAAGAGGGAAGGTGGAATCAGCAAAAAAACAAAAAACCCTACATACATAGAAAAAAGAAAGAAAACCAACCCACAGCAGGGGTGAGCTGTTCAGTGAACAATTTAGAATGGGAAATGGTTGACATAGAAAAGGATTAAGCATAGTTCCCCTCACCCCCTGCTTTCAACCTTTCCCTCACAAAATGGCTTTTATCAAGCTACACAGAACTGCATTGCTGAAATCCCAAGGCAAACCGTGCAGAGTTCAGACTCACTAAGCACACAGGGGCTTACTTCCAAGAATACATGCACAGGGAACCTGAAAGAGAGCCACACCATACATTTCAGGCACATCCAATGCACATTACTGTGCCCCAAGGAATCTTGACATACTGTAGATATAATTCCCAGCACCTTTAACGAACTACAGCTCCCAGGATTCTTTGGGGGAAGCCATGTGTTTTAAATATGCACCAAATGTATGGTGTGGATATGCAAAAAGCACCTGAGTTTGTTTCCTCTGAAGAGAAGGTCAACAGCAAAGAGATAAAATGAGCAAATGCTTCTGGGTTTGCAAGAAAAGATGACACCCACCGTACACTAGCTGTGTACTGCACTAACACAGATAATCAATCTCAGGCGCAAAACTTAAGGGAAGAGACTGGTAGCAGTCACACTGTTGTGTAAAACAAAGCAGAAGGTTTAGGCACAACTGTGAAGTACACATCAGTGCCAAAGCACACTCCAAACTGAGCAATGGACCACTTCTTCTTTTTTTAAAAAAGGGGGGAACAGACTCCTCCTGAATATAAGCTGCAGAGGGAGACTCTGGATCACTCTTGGCAGTCTGCAGGCAATTTATTTGCACCCTAGATGAGCAGCAGTTGGCAAGCTTGTGAAATTACATCATTTCACCTATTGTCATACATATAAAAAGGCCTAGCACTCACGAAAGTCCTGTGAGGGCACTGATAGGGGCCCCGGGCCTCTGACGCTGGAGCCTGGTTCCAAGGCCATACTTGTCCTAGGAAAGAAGTATGCAAGGAAAGTTAGGTCTGTTGATTAAAACAAGTTCACGTGGTTTCTGACAGCTTGAGGGGCATAAGGAATCAAGTATGCACACAAACGCGCACACAAAGGCAATGCATATGGTTTTCTCTTTCTGTTCAAATGAATTTTTAGTAGCTTGGTTAATAAAATAAAATAATTGATCAAATGCTGGAAGAGGGACGCAGCATGCCACTGAAACAACCCTATTTTTTCAAAACCTCCTACCCTGACCTATTTTCATGTGATGCTCCAATGTATACTCCACTTGACAGCTAATGTAGCTGTCTGGGTATAATTTTGTGACAATTATACTGGGTATAATTTTGTGACAAAAATATATTTGACTACAGTTAAGACACCATTGGACAGAAAGAAATAGTTGTGATAATGGTATGACACTCTACAGCTCAGATTAACTACCATCAGTCAAGGTATTCACTGACAAGTTGCTACAATTCAACTAGTAACAAATATATAGAACAGAATCAACCGTAAAGAAACAGCATGGTGAATATACAGCTGAACTTTCCTAGTCATGCTGGCTGGGGCTGTAAGTCCAATCACATCTGGAGGCACCAAGTTGGCTACTCTTGTACTAGAGCACTGCACCAAGAACCTACCCAACAGAGAAGACTTGCACAAATATTTATTTGCACACCTGTTTCCATCCACTCAAGGTTCTTTGGATTCAGTGTTACCCTATAACCACCCTGCAATTCAGGTCACTGGATTTCCAATCAACATACAGGAAAACAGAGAAACAAAGATTTGGCCAATGCTACTCTGCTACTCTGGAGATCATTGGCTGTAGGGGTCGTGGGATGGGGATTTCAACTGAAATTTTCCCAGGAAGCAGTCCTGTTACATCCTGTGTCATTTTGTATGGTGGTGGTGCATGTCATTTTAGGAAGAAGGAACATGCACTTGGAGAAAAAATGGTGTATGGTGGTACCTCCGGTTGCAGACTGGATCCGTTCCAGAGGTCCAGTCAGATCCCGAGGTTTCTGCAACCTGAGGACCGCTTCTGCGCATGCGTGCGTGGCGAAACCTGGTAAAATACTTCCAGTTTTGCCACACACGCATCCTGAAGTTTACGTAACCAGAGGGTTACATAAACGGAGGTTTGACTGTACTTGTTTCTACCTGTATGACCTATGATATTACATGTAAGTCAGAGAATAGTTGATTTCTAGCTTGCTGCTTGTGCATGTTCCTAGTTGAGACATCACAGCAAATCAAAATATGGTTTGCGTTGGGGGAGAAGCTGCAAAGGGACTTTTGCAGTATAAGGGAAGACATGTTCACAATTAAACCATGGTTTAAGGTAAACTGAGGCTTAGCATGTATGAACCACCTCACTCTGTTAGCAGGGACTTGAACCGGCAAACCTCATTCTTTATACGGACAATGAAAATGTACTCAAAGTCCATAGCAATAGGTCTACCAACCTTGCTTGGAAAGCTCAGCTCATTAACTGTATGCAAACTGGACTTCAACTGTAGTACTACAAGCAGATCCAAGACCAGAAGGCTGAGTACACTAAATATTGACATACCAGTAGAACGCAAGTGGTTTCAAAGGTTTTAACACTATCAGAAACTGAAGGGACTTACCACTACATGTATAGTGTGTTGCTGCGGAGAGCCCCCAAATTAGCAGCAGGTAGCAACGGAGACAAGAAAAAAGCAGCAATAAAGACAAAAGCAAATGCACAGAGCAAGCAGGTTATACGGGTATCCAAGAGGTAGGAAGCATATGCAAAAATATTCAGCTAAGCAAAAAGTAAGCCTTTCAAATGACACAGGCTGCACAGCTGAAAACTGAAATGAAATATTGTCACATCTTATGATTTCTACCACATAGCAAGTTTGTGCTGACTATGAGCTAGGCAAGCAAATATTTAGTGACTGATCAGTCAGTATAATAAAACTGAAAGCAGCAGCATCTCGGCCTAGCTGATTTCCAGCTCAGACTAATTCTTGCTCTTCTTAATACAATCCTGAGTTACTTGAGGGATTTCAAATGACAGGTGTCTACATTTCAGTAGTGGACAATATCCCTTAATAAACGGCAAAACATTCTGAAATCTTTCTATACACAGATGCTTGGAACTTGTTCTTGGAAGATTATTGATCTGACACGGTTCCAATAAACTCTGAAGATTTTTGTTTGTTTTGTTTGCTTGCTTCTTTTTTACAAGTCTCAACTAAAAACAACATTTATGCCTTTGAAGTTTAAAAAACTGTCTTCTGATTTTGCCCAAGAGTTCCAGAATTCTGTACTGTTGTCCTAGCTCACCGAAAAAGCAAGGGGCATGTAGGGTCTGCGTCGAACCAACTTTTTACGATCCCTCTCCATCTTCTCCTTCTGAGCCAGCTGTTGATAATACTCGACCAGTTTGTTAATCTGATTAGAAAGGAATGTCAGTTTAAGATGTGAACTGGAAGAAAAGCTGTTCCTGCCAAAGTAAAGGTTAAACAAAATGGTGGAAATACTTTTGGGGGGTGTCCCTTTTTGTTTTTTCCTTAGTTGAGCTGCAGCAGCAGCTTCTTGCCCAACTCCTGACATCAGTTAACTGACCCAGTTAGCTAGCAGTGTCATGCACATCCTAACAATTTTACCCACTGCTCTTTCCTCAGAGAAACAGAAAAAAGAAGCTTGCATTACATCATATCCTACTCTTAGGTGGAGATGAGCTACGCCCTACATCTCAAAGGTAGGGCCAGACAGATAAGAAGGCCAGCAGGAAATAGAGCTCTCGTTCTCAGATAACTACTCTGAACAGAGTAATTCATGTTAGTGGCAGTGCATCTGTATGAGAAGGTTCAAATCAGTGTAGTATATTGGAGCTGGGGAAAGATGCTGACCTCTGCATGACACAAGGTCTGTGCCAATTCCTGATGACTGCTAGTTTAAACTGCATTCCAGCAGCTAATGAGGTCAATGTAGATGGGCCACTTCTCAAAGAATGCATGTTGTGGAAAACGGCTTGGACTACTTGGTATGTTTTGCTCAACATAATGTCATCCCCAGCCCGAGTTTGATGCTACAGTGCTAAATCAATTGGGGAAAGATGCAGTCTAGCCTCAACCATGCAGGACTCATTCTTTCAAGTTTAATTAAATGTTGATTCTCTTCTGTGAGTTAAGAGATAGACAAGAGCAGACCCAACACAAAGGCTCTTCTTTTTCAGGCTACTCTATGAAAGAAAAAGCAATTCCTTTTACGTACCTTCTGAGTATGAGGATTTTCTGGCTCCTGCCAACCTCCACTGGCTGCAACACAACAAAGCAATTTTTTAAAGGATGGTGGGTGTGGGGGGAGGGAGAGAGAGATCATAAATGCTCTGGACAGAGAAAATGAAACATATCCAAAATTACTGCCTGCTTCTCTCCTCCTCTCATCTAACCCAGACCACGGTTCATTAAATCTGGTATTATTAGTATCAACGTATCAGATACCAAAAGCTTAAAGTTCTTCTGCATCACAAGCTGAAAATGGCAGAACTGCATAATATACCAGCAAAGATGTGTTTTCTATACTTGTGTCTGAAGGTCAACATGAATGCAGGGGCACAGAGAAATATCTGTAGGAAATTACTGACAGGCGAGAGAGATGTTGAACCCATCTGACACCCACATATTTTCACCTACAAATGCTCCCTTTCCTTGAGGATTATTCCCCTACCCAGACTATTCTGGGTTTTAGAATTCAGCTAGGTAAAACACAGTAAAAACATAGCTAGGGGTGCAGAAGATATTTCCAGGGTGGGGGAGAATAATGCACCCTCCCTTCTACCATATATACATGGTAAATAATACTACAGCATGAAAAATTTTACAGCACATGAAATTTCCACTTATATTTATACTGAAAGCCCATGAAGAAGTCCCATTGCATAGGCCAGTGGTGGTCAAACTTGGCCCTTCAGCTGTTTTTGGACTACAACTCCCATCATACCTAGCTAACAGGACAAGTGGCCAGGGATGATGGGAATTGTAGTCCCAAAACAGCTGGAAGGCAAAGTTTGGCCACCACTGGTATAGGCAGAAGTTCTTGTGTTAACAGGACAACTTTGTGGGATACAACCCGCTTTTTTTTGCTTAGTTTATATTATGCAACCTGTGAGCAAACAGTACTCCAAGGACATAGGCACGCATCCTCAGAGCTCAATTCTGACTATTTTGGTAGGATAATAATAACACCATTCACCAATGGAAGCTAACCTCCATAAGCTCTTCACACAGCCCTACTTATCTTCCCAGCTCTTAGTATTGAATTACAAAAACAACACTCCACATTCTAATTAAGGCTGATTGCAAAAGATGTCATGAAAAAGTTTTCTAACAACACTTGCAATATTCATCTGAAAACCAATGCCACTCACCAACTGATTTATCTGCCATGCCAACATCTCTGGAAGTCCAGCGGCAAAAGCCACAGGCCAGGTAATAAGCCTTCTTCATTGTGGTCTTGGCTGGGTCATCAGGCAGCGGAGCAGGGATGCTTGTTGCTCGGGTAGAGAGAGTGTGCATACAGCAAGGACAGTCAAAACAGTTAGCACACCTGAACAGAGAGAGACCAGCATGGAAGTTTGACTCAAGTTTGTACACCAGGGATTATACCTGCTGTTCAAGGCTCCTGATTTTCTGTTTTATAACTCAGAAATTGCCCCTGACAAGTTTTAAAAAACCAAATTCTTTCCAAAAGTGTTACTATGAAAGAAAGGACTTAACAGAATCAGTCAACAACAAAAAAAGTAAGCCATCTCATTCCACTTCCATCACCCTTTGTGAAAGGGCACAAAACATGCTGTAGGAAAGTTTCAAATCTGGTCACAGTAAACATTCAAAATTCCACAAGTGCTCTGATCCACTCTGCATGTATTTCACAGAAATTCACAAAAGCACAGATGTCAATGTAGGACAGATGTAAATTCATTCTGAAAGCCTTCTTGCAGCATGGGAGTTCACCAGCAATTCCACAGTGTGCTTTTCTTGTGATTTCACAAAAAAACACATTGAGAGTGTGAAAAAGAAACAGGCTCGTGCTCAAGTGTAAATTATTGCAACACTATTTCTCCAGTACTGTCAGTAGTTAGCAGTGCAGACTATAAACAGAGTGCTAAGTCAAACACACAAAAGCACTTTCCTCATCACAATGAGATCACACTGTAAATAAAATCCTCACTTAGAGCATTTTCAAAATTGTTTCAGATTCTTACTAAGGTGTTGTGGACAAATATACACTGATAGAAGGGAGACTATCCTAAAGCATGAGAAAATTATTGAGTAAGGTGAGAATCACAGAAGTAGCATGTAGTCTTACCTATTCTTCTTTAGCTTGGCTTCAGCTGATGGCATATTTTCCAGGCAACTGGGACAATAGTGAGAATCCACCTAAAAAAAATACAAAAAGGTGTTTTTCATTTTGTACCATTATCCTTCACCAGATCCTTTTCCAATACAAAAAAACCCCACAACTTTGATTTATTTTAGGGCTGCACAGCATAGTAGGTAGTTCAAGTTATGAGACATTAAGTCCCCAGTCTGATTCTTACCTTTGTCATGAATTCATCAGATGGCTTAGGCAAGCCACTCCACCTCAATTTTAAAGTGGAGTCTGTTAAGGATGCTGGGCATTGTAGCTCTGTGAGTGGGGAAAGCTACTGTTTCCAGGATTCTTTGGAGAAAGTCATGCATAAGTACACAGCCTTATAACTCTTTACTTACAGAGTAGTTATAATGAATACATAGATTCCTTTATAAGGAATGTGAAATGTTGTCAGCCCCCCAAAACACTGAAAAGTATCATCATCTTAAAACTGAGATGTCTGGGGAATTTCTTGACCTAAACACAAAAAAATCTTCAAACAGCAGACAAACTGTTCTGGCAAAGTTATTCAGTTTTCTAATGCCCAGGAACTAAGCCAAGTATGATTGCTGTCTTACTATTCAGATGGAATTTAACAGTATGTTGCTGAACTATGTGCTAACAACCTTCTACACTGCCACTCTCACAGATATCATCATCTATATTATTCTGAACACTGGTGGAAATAACTGAGCAAATAATTTCCTGTTCACACTAAAGTACTTTATTTCCAACTTGTCTGAACCTTCGGTCCTTCCAGAATAACATAATGCTACTTCTTGAGACATTGTATATTTTAAAGATCATTTATAAGCAAAGGGGCACATTACAAACAAATGCATGTAATAAAACCCCAACTTTAAAAGAACCAGCAAAGAAGGGGAGTGCTTAATTTTTTCCATAACCCTTAAGAATAAAACAGCTTTACTAGACTGATTTTGAGTGGACAATCACTGGGGACAGTCAAATACACAGACTACTTCACCCTCCTGAGCCTGTCTTTCAGCTTTTCTGCTTTGTTTATGCATTGCATGCATCTTGACCCTTGCTTACTCAGGGTTCATACACCAGAACAAGGCATATCAGAATTCAATACCCACTTATTAAATAGGTCTTACATATGAGTAGACATGTATAGAATTGCATTGCAAGGCATTCAAAAATAAACATTTCAGTTTTAATAATCTTAGTTAAATCCAGCGTAAATTAGGATTTCTGCACAGGAGCAAATATTCAGATCAGGAACTGTTAATAAAATTATGTTAGTTTTTCGGAACATCAGTTCCATTTATATATATTTTTAAAAGGTCATCAAATTCAAGCCATGTAGCCAATGTTTTATTCAAACAAAAAATTCTCAATATAGAATCCTGTATCTTGCAACATCCACAGACCTATAATAAAGAGGAATGCTTCCATTATCCCAAATGAAATCATTTATCATAATTTAGTAATGAATTAATTTTTTAGCTAAAGAATAGATGAAAATGAAGAAATGTCTAGGTGTGAATGAGGACAAAGAAACCAACTCAGCTCTGAATCAACTGGGTATCAATACAGGGGATACAATGTATCTGCATATACAAATTAAAAAACTAATTTAATAGTTATTACCTCTTCCTAAACTATTCTAAGATTTATAGTTCAGTAAAGGAACCTTTGGACTTCTAGCAGAGAAAATTCAGCAACCTTGTCAAAGAACAATTCCAAGGATTCTTTCATGAATCAGAACTGGAATAAAACCCATAAATTGATCGTGTAGATATACCCTTTGGATTATTTGGCCTGAAATGTGTTCACTTTCTTCTGAGAGCACATACTGACTTGATGTATGGGAATCTCACATTCATTTCAACACAATGAAGAGATTTGTTCGGTAACCTTTTCTGATGACAGGACAAAGCAGGTTTTTGGCTGTTCTAGTCACAGCGTTTGATGCATATCAACAATGCTAATGCTGTTCTCATTCTTCTTAGCTATACAGAACTGGTGAAAAACAGTGATATGTGAATTACCTGCCACTGTCTTTCTCCATCTTTTACATAAACACAAGAATACAGAAAAGTAAGGATATCTGTATATCTAAGCCTGTATGCTCTATTGTGACCAACAGTGTTTCTCTAACAGGAGAAGTCTTCCCCATCACTTGCCACCGAATCCTTTTAACTGGAGATGCCAGGGACTGAACTTGGGTCCTTCTATAGGTACAGCATGTGCTCCACCACTTACCTAGGCTTTACAAATGAATTCCCAACCTATCACATTGGCATCTAGTTTATAAACTTGAATAGAAGAGATAAGGCTTACTAACACTCATCTAAAATGTTATTGCAGTGGGGGGAGGGGTTTACACTGAAAGATTGTGAAATAATACAGATGTTCTTCACACAAGTCAAAGTTATCATGAAAAGAACACTGGACCAAGGTGTGGGCAGGCAGGCAGGTGTGACTTGTGAACAGAGTTGCAACTTCAGCCCCCAACTATGCCAAAATTAGGTGCAGAAGCAGGCTCTAATCTTTAGACATTTGTTAAGCCAAAGTCACGAAGCAGCATGGCTTTTTAAAGGTTTTACAGCTACTTTACTTATTTTGATGTTCTGACAAAGTAAAACATGTGTCCAGGCCTATTTAGTAATCTTATGGTCAAGGTAGAAGCTGCACTCAGGTTGGCACACTATGAACTGGCTGTCTCCATTCTCTACAGATTAAAAGGGCAAAAAAGATATAAGAGTGAAAAGAATTCAACTAAGCTATAAATGACCATTCTGTGTAACAAGAAAACTCCCTGGGTGGTACTCAACCAAGTTTCACCCAGAGTAAATTAGTGGACCCATCTCAGTTATGTTCATTAATTTCAACCAGTCTGCTATGAGTAAAACTTATCTGAATACCACCCTCTACATCCAAATAAACTGGGGGAAAGAAGACAGAATTTTTAAGACAATCAATTAGAGGTTGTGATAGGACTGGGTAATCAGAAAATGACTTGGCTAATCAGAAGAGAAAGAAACTGGTTTCTCCACATCCATCTTTCAGCCCAGACACTGAGGTCCAGGTCCAAGGGCCTTCTGGTAGTTCCCTCACTGCAAGAGGTGAGGTTACAGGGAACTAGGCAGAGGGCCTTCTCGGTAGTGGCACCCGCCCTGTGGAACGCCCTCCCATCAGAAGTTGAGGAAATAAACAACTATCTGACTTTTAGAAGACATCTGAAGGCAGCCCTGTTTAGGGAAATTTTTAATGTTTGAAGTTCTATTCTGTTTTTGATGTTCTGTTGAAAGCCGCCCGGAGTGGCTGGGGAAACCCAGCCAGATGGGCAGGGTAGAAATAAGTTGTTGTTATTATTATTATTATTATTAATAAATCAGTTGGTAAGAGTGCTGCATTTTATCCGTATTGACTTCTGTGACTTGCAGAGGACACAATATGCTACAGAAATGGAGGGATGGGGCACAAAACTCAAGCACCACACAGGCTGCTAAAAGAACAAATAAGAAGACTGGAAGAGATTTATTTTAATGTGCTGAATATACAGTTTAGGAAGCAAAAAGGGAATGAAGGTGTAGCTAATTACTACCATCCCCACACACAGAGTAACAGCCGCCTACTGCTTACAGAATGCGATAGAGGTTGTTGTGACTTAACTATCCTGTGCAAAACTCAGCTCTGGCAGAACAGAGCAACCGGCAGGCTCACACCACCCCAGGAAGCAACTGAGAGGCTACGGAGGACTATAATTAACAACACAACTCCAGTGATGCCAGAACTGGCATCCTGCGGTAGAGATGAGGGAGAGGGCGACGCTACCTCCACACATCATATAAGAATGATATGGACCCTCCTCCCTCTAATCCATCCATCTCCCCTAACCAACAGAATGAAGGGAAGCAGCGAGTGGCGGCTGGACGGGCCAATCAACGGGCTCTCGAGGCGTTGGATGTGGCGCCCCCCCCCCGGTTCTGCGGCCCCCGCCCGGTTTACCTCATGAGAGACGCACTCGAGGGAGCGCAGCTCACTGCAGTAGCGGCAGAAATAGAGCTGCGAGAGCGGCATGCGGATCTCCTTCTCGCCTCGCACTAGGTACGAAACGCGCTCGGACTGCAGCAGCGAAGCCATTTTGGAAAGACGGGGACCAGCCCCAACCTCTCCAGCCGCTCGCCGCACCCAGCCGCCCCGACTTCCGTCACGTGACCCGGAAGAGATCCACGTGGCTGGTCACTTCCGGGTGACGCTCTCTTATCTCCGCCTGGTGGGGAGATGAAATACCGTACTGTAAATGGGTGGTTAAAACAGAAAAATACATAGATTGATAATTTTTATATATTATTTATATATAAAATATTATATTTATCTCTATCTGATTCTAAATTTTAAATTTGATTTCATGGATGCCACAGAACGTGTTTTAACGTTTCTGTACAGAATCCACAAAATTTACAGCATGATAAAGTCTGTAGCTGTGTATAAATAAATATATATATATGTTATATAACACATTCATTAATATCTCTGCTGGTGATTTTTATGCTACTCTTTTATGGATTTTGATACTTAAGAGATTACTTTGACGATATATTTTATTGTATTGTTTATTGTAGTGTTGTAAGCTACCCTGGGGACATTTCTGTGAAAGGTAGAAATATATTAGGAAGCGCATCTCAGTCCTAATCTTCTTAATTGGTTTTTCCCCCCTTTAAATAAAATTTTCGGAATTCCTTCCGATGATCAAGCTGGAAACTGTTTAGGACACATAATCCACCCTGAAAACCTCATACTATGCAAAAGCACAACTGAAGACTCGTGTTTACTTTGTCATTTAGCCAGTACGTTAGTTCTATAGCAATGTTTATGGAAGCTTAGATATATTTACAGTGTTTCCCCACCTGTCGGTGACTCCTCTCCTACTATCCAATCCTTGTTCTTGTGCTGTAAGCTCCAAATGGAGTTGAAAATTGACTTTCCACAGATATGTTTTATTTGCTGTGTGTGGCATGGGTACTGTGGGGAGGGTGGTGTACACATTCACTGTAAGCTTTCATGAACCTCTCAGAATGCAGCATTTTAATTAACTAAAAATACACATACAGTATGTGAAGTATATCTAATGTAGCAGGCAGCTTTGCCATAAGTTTGTCAGTAAAACTCTTAATGGAACTATGGTACTGGTTTTAGGATTAAGGTACCAGGTGTAGCAGGGAGGTATGCTACATCTTGCCCGGTGTCATCAGAACCATGTAAGTATAGGTTCCTGTCAAAAGAGGCACCTTGGAATCATAGAAACATAGAATTAGAAAGGACCTTAGCGGTCATCTAGTCCAACCCCCTGCCATGCAAGAATCTCAGCTAAAGCATCCATTCTAAAGCATTATATTCTTCTACGGTTTATTTCATCATTTGTTTTGGCTTACAAACCTTCGTTTTAACTGTGGTTTGGCATAATATTAATCCAGCACCCATCCGTAACCATGGTTTGTTTGGCCACCCCATCTCAGATGCTCAGAAAGCTACAAAAGTACCTTAAGCCAAGAGCAGCTGGGAAGGAAAAACCAAATTTTGGGGGGTGTTATGTACTGAGTTGAATAGGATCCAAAACGCAGCAGTCTGATTGGTCCTAGAACAATAGGATCCAAAGTGCAGCAGTCTGATTGGTCCTAGAACAATAGGATTCAGAATGCAGCAGTCTGATTGGTCCTAGAACAATGCAGCAGTGTGATTGATCCGCAGGAGCCACCCAATCCAGCTCCAGGTGGAAGTGAATCCACAACCTGATTGGCCTACAGGAGAATCCCGTAATTAGCCAGTCACGTGCAGCCCATTGTGTAAATAATGTATATAAAGCAGATATTGTGGGGGAACTTCCATTCCTCCTCATCTCTATGAGCTGAATAAAGAGCATGAAATCCACTCTCGACTCTGAGTATATTTCAGGGGGAAAGGTTATGGTTTGTTTGATTATCTGTTGGACAACTGATAGTTTTTTTTCAAAAAAAAAGTATTGCTAAAACAGACTGTGGGTTAGCATTATTTCTGAACTATATACTTACAAGCTGCTCTCATGCCCCTATATTGGAAGGTTAGCTAATTGGTATGAAGTGGCCACTGAAAACTGAAGCTGTTTCTATTACTTGCTTAAAACATAAATAAATAGTCAGCCAAGAATAGACATATTTCCTTGGCCTTTTAACATCATGCAACAGTGGAATATTCCAAGAGAAACTTTCTATTGTGTAATATTCCACATGGAGGAAATCCAGTTTCCCAAGGCTGGGCTATTCTTTTGGCATCCTGAGAAATGCCTTAATATGAATTTTCAGTAAAACAAACATTTCACATCACAGGGAGATCTTAACAAAGGGCTTTTACTTTTCCTTCTCGAGGAACTTTGGTGTGGAGTTTCCTCATCTTCTTTCAAATCCCAACCAAATACATGCTCATGCTCACCTCTATAGAAATTCCTCATACCCTGCAAGCTCAATTAGAGTCATCATTTCCCCTCAGGGACAAGCAATTGATTTAAACGAGTTTATTTCCTGGTTGCTTTTGTAGCTTTAGTGGGTCCCTTGATGTGCTTCTAGCAGGTTTCATATGACAAAGACAGGTTTCATAAGAAGAAGGAAGCAGAATGACCAAATGGCTTTCCTGAGTTTGGGTAGCAGCGCGCTCCCTGTGGAATGCCCTCCCTTCAGATGCCAAGGAAATAAGCAACTATCTGACTTTTAGAAGACATCGAATGTAGCCCTGTTTAGGGAAGTTTTTAAGGTTTAATGTTTTTATTATGTTTTTAGATATGCTGTAAGCCACCCAGGTGGGCAAGGTATAAATAAAGTTGTTGTTGTTGCTGTTGTTGTTGTTAATGTTACCACCAATCAAAGTAGGTCTTCCTTGTTTTGAGCACTTGAACTTGTGATGGCTCTCTTCTGTTTTCAATGGTCATCATATTTAAGCTATGTTCTAAAGAGGGATGATGTCTACACTAGACAAGACCTAAATTGTGAGGTCCTTCCCTTAGCCACTAGAAGGCACAGAAGAAGATTTTTTAAATGTACTCTGTGGTTGAAATAAGACAATTATCAAGAAAAAGAACATTCCTTCTGAAAGGGTGTGATGCACCTTGGAGCATTTAATGAAGTTCTTGTCCCTGTCTGTACCATGGCTCCTTCTGGGGTCAACAGGAAGACCAGTTTAGCTAACTGTTCCACCTTTTTCACTAGGATTAAACCCACAACAGAATAGCCCAATGAATCGTTAGCTGCCAGCACATGCAGAATACAGAGCAATAGGATTCTACAAAATCAAAATATAACAAAATATACGTACATTAACCAAATATTAAAAACAGAGCATTGAAGTTAATTTAAATCCAGAAGAAAAGATTGTTTACCCTTTGAACATGCCCTGGCTGTTCTAAGCGAATAGCTTCTCTTATGTGCTACCTTCCTTGTGGATTAACAGCATGGACTTCATGGAGCTTCACTTGCTGAAGATCCCCAGCACAGGACTTAGCTGAGCATGTATAGATGCCTGTGAAATTGGCACCTGTGGCCTGAAATGCTTCAGGATGTTAGCTGAGGTGAACCAAGGTCCACCCAGGTTGCCCATTCAGGGAGGCAGGAAGGATCAGGTCTTTGAGACAACAGCAACAGTATTTTCTCAAGCTCTATAGATGCAATTGCAAGATATAATTATTTTGAGGAGGAACAAGAAAAAATATTCCAAATTGCAGCCAAACCTCCTGCTGCTCTGGCCTGGTCCCTACTGCCCACTAGTGGGCGTTTCAGGATTCTAGGTGGGCGGTTGGGGGTTCTATGGCACAAGCTGAATCCTCCTTCCATCGAGCACTGGTGGGCGGTAAGGAAATTTTACCATCAAGAAAGATGCATTAGTATGCGGTAGGTATAAAAGGTTGACTACCCCTGATTTAGTCACAATTGTCTGTTTTGAATAGAGTTTTAGTCATCATTGGCAATATAAGAGTCTCAGTATAGTGTTGTGAGTGCACCACTCAGCTCTCAGAAACAGACACCATAGTGAGCTTCCAGGAAAATATGACTTCCATGACTCACATTACTTCATCTGGCACGTGTATTTTCATAACTCTGACAGTGAAGAGAGAACATAAAAAAAAAGAACAGCTGTTGATTTCAGAAAACTAAGAGCAAGCTGCAATTCTCTTTTTTTATTATTATTTCATGCACTACAGGGCAAAGTCCTGACATTAATGATTCCAGTGCTGAATCTCAAGTGAAGTCTTGCATATGTTCACATTCTGGGGCCACATTTTATGCAGTTGCTTATCTACATGAATGCATTTTACTTCCGCATAGGAAAACCACATGTACTCTGTGATACTAAGTAAAAGTTTGGGAAATGTGCATGTTCCATGTAACAGGAAGTTGAGAGAAATGGATCCAATGAAGTAAGCTCTTCCTTAAGAAAGCTCACATTACAGCATGTTTCCTGGTCTTTAAGGTGCCACCAAACTCTTTACTATGATGGTGGGTTCTCACCAGGTCTACATGTGTATGTCTGCGTATGTCAGAGTTTTTATTTTGTGTAAAGCAGCTCATATATCACTGTGGCCATGAGTGCACGTTTCCATTGGGTCTAGGGGCTACTCCAGACCCAGAAATCTTTTAAAATTAACATCAGTGGTTTTTTTTCCTTAAAAAATGTTTAGGGGTACTCTCATTTTGACTCAAGAAAATCACCATTTTATAGTTCAAATCGGGAAAAATAAATACAGTAAATGGACAAAAGTACAAAGATTCTCAAAATGTTTAGGGGTATGCGTCCCCCTGCGTCCCTCCAGAAAAAAGCACTGATTAACATATATCATATATAATATCTCATGCATGATATCATACATGATAATCACCCATCATATATCCATCATAAATAAATGCTTCATTGTTATACAGCCATGTTGGTTTGTTTTTCTTTTTTCTTTGACAAGCTACTTTATACTTAATCAAATATCTCCTCGTCATGCTATTTCTGATGAGAAGGTATACAACTGGATACTACTGGTATATCAATCAAACCTATCAAATCAAACAAAGGTTTTGCACTTCGCATGTGGCCACTAGGTGGCCCGCTCGCCTTTGATGTCGCGGGGGCGGGGCGTAGTAGCGCGGCTGCCCAGCCGAAGCCTGACCTTCCCAGCAGCGCAAAGGAGGCGAGCGCGGAGTTCCAGCGCGCGGAGCAAGCGAGAGGGAAACTTTCGCTTTTGTTCGAATTCCCTTTTCCGGGCGTGGGAGGCGGCATCCCGTTGGCCAGAGCAGGGTCTGCGGGGTGGAAGTTGTCCGCCGGGCTCGGAGAAAGAGGATCCCACCTGCCGGGTGTGCGTGAACTTACTCCCCACTTTTCTTCGTCCAGTTATTCGGCGGCCGCGGATTTTGCGCTCCTTTGGACCAGACGCTCGCAAGCCGAGCAGGCGACTCTCCAGGCGGGGTTTGAAAGCAGCCCGGAGACTCAAGAGCAGCATAAGAAACTCCTGTAAGTCCTCTTTGTAGCGATGAGCAGCGACTTGTCCGTGAATTTTTACTCTCGAGAGAGGCGAGTGCCACGATTTCTTTTGCTTGCTTGCTTGCTTGTTTGCTTTATTCGTGCGCTTTCATATTCCTCCAACACCTTCTTCATGTCAGTTTCTCTTCACTTCCTTTCCCGTTTGCATTTAGCATTGCTCCGATTTTTGTTTGTTTGCTAGTTTGCCTTGGAGATCAGTAATAGTTTTAAGTCCCAAGGGAAATTCCACAAGTAGCTCGTCAATAAGAAAGGGCTCTATCCATGCCATCTTTGATCTTCATTTCAGAAGGTCATTGGATAATTTTTTTCAGGAAAGTGAGTGATCTTGCCCTGCAAGATCAGGTAACTACCCTGCAAGACCCATTTGTAAGTTTCCTTCTACACTGGGGCATTTAAGGTGGTAGCAAACCTTCTCTTACGACTATTTTATTCTGGTGAGCATTGCTTAAGCTAAACCTTTGACACATGCGCACACATTTATATATCTGTATATACTGCTCTTTTAGATATGCCTGTGCTGTTTTACTGCTGTTCGTTTTATAGTTAGCTTTTTTCCTGTGGTGTATAATATAAACATGAGATCTTTAAATGTGTATTGCATGTATTCTTGCCTATCATTTTTATAGCAACTAGTGTAAAGCTATCACTAAGAAAAACTATGAGATGAAACCAAGATGTAAAAATGTTGTGCGGTTTGCTGTTCATATCCTGGTTTTTGGCAGTAGTTCCTCTGTTGTTGGATCCTTATCTCCAGACTGTTTCCGAAAGGCAATTGTTTTCCTTCATTTCCCTATAGCAAAATATGGGAAAAACCCATGGAGTTGGGCACATGCGATGACTAGACATAGTTAATCCACCACATGCATATGCAGAGGGAAGCCAGTACCTATAACAGTGATGCTTACATTAATCACCTGTGATGGCCTATGTACATTATACATTTTGTTGCCCACACAGTGTTGTGTAACCATCTCTATTCCCAGTAGCAAAATGACGCTAATTTAGTACTTATCCAAAGGAATTGCAGTGAGCTGGAATTCATTGGCATGTCTAATTGCCTTTATCGGTGCTTGAAAAAGAATTGGGAGTGGCTCTCAGGCTACAGAATGTATATGATCTCCCATATGGGTATGCGTTTGATCGTTTCAGATGATATTCTGTTATTTTCATTTTCACTTTCTCTTGGTTTTCAACCCATTTCTGGTTAGTGCGTTTGCAGTCTTCTCTATGCAGCTGATCAGAAATGGACAGTTGCAAGGCGTGTCACCAGGTTCATCTTTTAGATTCAAAGAAATAAACACATTCCTACTCTTGTCCGTTTAATTGTGACAGACGTACCTAAATGCAAAGAAAGTCAAATATAAGGTTGGAAGTTTTATGTTGCTTGTATGAATTTCATAACCATACTAACCACAGATGTGCTGTGTCTTTATTTTGTTTTTTTCCTCCCCTCTTTCCTTTATAGCTTCTGGCATGAACAAAAGCTTAGGGGAAGCTTCCTATCTGCTATGTTTTCCACTTTCCAAGAAACCCTTTGAAGTTTTAAAGGAAAGGCTGCATAGGGATGCTTTGGATATTTTTAAAAAATCTCTATTAGTTCAGGCATTTGGAAAAGATTGGGTGTGGTACAGCACAAGATGTTGAACAAGATGAACTACTGTTCAACTCCTTTTTCGTTCTTGGATTATGTGTATGACTCTGGACAAGTCCTTTATTTTTCAGCTTCTCTTACCTGTCTGTGAAATGGAAATAACAGCAATTCAGCTCACAGGATTGTTGTGACATTAAGGGCGGGCATGAAATAAAGATGGTAAAGGACATTGTAAATTACCAGCAATACTAACAAATTCCACTGTGTTCTAAATCACTTGGTAGCTTTCTGCCACACAGCCTATCACATACAGTGTACAGTGTGCCAGTTTGCCATCATTTAGATGTCTGCACCCTTAACTGTTGTACCATTTGTATTTTGATCAGTAGTGTTTGGGCACTGACTTAGCATTGGATATTCCGCTGTTTCTCTTGTGCTGCTTTTGAGAGACATTTGGCTGGTTTATACAATTGTCGAAGAAGCTGTCCACCACAAGGCATGCTTCCTCCTCCATCTCTAGCCATCCATACTGAAATGGCCTGTCTGGATGTGAATGAGCACATGTCAAATCCTACACACATGTAGAGGAAATTGACACGTCTGGTTCCCAAATAAAACCCAGAAATCAACTGCACGCTTTTAAGCCTTTACATGTCATCTTATTACTATTTATTGCATTTAGGTTTTGTTTTCTTTTTAATTGTCAAACAACAGCTGAAATCAGTTAACAAGGAGAAAGCGAAATACAATAAACACAAACTTCCTAAAGTGCCCATGCAATAATACTATAAAACAATCCTACCACACGCTG